ATGAGTTCACTGTACTCACATGGCCTCCACAGTCACCAGAACCTAATCCAATGGAGCACCTTTGGGATGTGGTGGAACGGGAGATTCACATCATGTGCAGCCAACAAATCTGCAGTGAAACTGTGTGATGCTATCATGTCAATGTGGAGCAAAATCTCTGAGGAATATTTCCAGCACCTTGTTAAATCTCCGCCACAAAGGATTGAGGCAGTTCTGAAGGCAAAGGGGGTCAAACTCAATACTAGTAAGGTGTACCTAATAAAGTGGCCAGCGAGTGTATTATATCCATTTTCTTTTTCGGCTTAGTCCCTTTATTAATCAGGGGTCGGCACAGCGGAATGAATCGCCAACTTATCCAGCACATGTTTTACGCAGCGGATGCCCTTCCAGCTGCAACCCATTACTGGGAAACACTCATACACTCTCATTCACACTCATACACTACGGACAATTTAAGCTTTTCACCTGTACCACATGACTTTGGACTTGTGGGGGAAACCAGAGCACCCGGAGGAAACCCATGCGAACATGGGGAGAGCATGCAAACTCCACACAGAAACGCCAACTGACCCAGCCGAGGCTTGAAACAGCGACCTCCTTTCTGTAAGGCGACAGCACTATCTACTGTCGCCGAGTGTATTATATTGTAATAGTATTTACCACACTCCGTTAATGAATGCTACATGTAGTATTATTACAGTGAACTGATCCACTGTAATCAATACTGTAGTAAACTTTAGATTTTACTACAGTAAACTGTGGTGTATTGTAGTATAATTTACCCTAAAACTACAGTACTGGATGAATTGTTTACATTACTGTAGGTGTTGTGTTACCGTAATAATTGTAGAATCAGCAGTACTTTACTGTAGTGTGGTTTAAAAACACTATAATTCATTCATTCATTTACTTGTCGGCTTAGTCCCTTAATAATCCGGGGTCGCCACAGCGGAATGAACCGCCAACTTATCCAGCAAGTTTTTACGCAGCGGATGCCCTTTCAGCCGCAACCCATCTCTGGGAAACATCCACACACACATTCACACACACACACTCATACACTACGGGCAAGTTAGCCTAACCAATTCACCTGTACCGCATGTCTTTGGACTGTGGGGGAAACCGGAGCACCCGGAGGAAACCCACGCCAACGCAGGGAGAACATGCAAACTCCACACAGAAATGCCAACTGAGCCGAGACTCGACCCAGCGACCTTCTTGCTGTGAGGTGACAGCACTACCTACTGCTTCGCCCAAACACCATAATAATCACTATAAATTCTTACTGCAGTGTTTTTTCATGTGATTTGTGCCTCCACTAGGAGAATTATTGTCAGCGTAAATGCAATATATGTCACATGATGTAGACATTATACTGATTTGAGCCTTGCTTTCAGTGTTTGTGAGTCAGTAAGTGTGCATTCGTGTGTGTTTTAGGAAATGGAGGAGTTTGTTCAGAGCTCTGGAGATCACGGCGTCGTTGTTTTCTCATTGGGCTCCATGATTAAAAACCTGACATCGGAAAGAGCCAACACTATTGCTGCTGCTCTGGGCCAGATCCCGCAAAAGGTGTGTAAATCACTCAGTGTGCTCAGTGCTCAAGAACAATCACTAATAAGTTGCTCATCCATGTATTTGCACAGGTTGTTTGGCGTTACAGTGGGAAAACTCCAGAAACACTGGCTCCCAATACTAAAATCTACGACTGGATCCCACAGAATGATTTGCTTGGTAAGGAAAGTGCTGTCAAGTGTGCTTATTAATATTAATTGATGTCTGATGCATACTGAATTTATGTAATCTGACAGGTCATCCAAAAACGAAGGCTTTCATCACTCATGGTGGCACAAATGGACTGTATGAGGCTATTTATCACGGTGTCCCGATGGTGGGTTTGCCACTGTTTGCTGATCAGCCTGATAACCTACTGCACATGAAAACCAAAGGAGCTGCTGTAGTCCTTGATATCAACACACTGGAATCCAAAGACCTGGTGGATGCTCTAAAGACTGTCTTAAATAACCCATCGTGAGTTCTGCCACTTTAATCCTGCCGCCAGAGAAAACAAGCATCCGCTTTAACATTCATCATTCTTCCCCAATCAGGTACAAGGAGAGCATCATGAGGCTGTCCAGAATCCACCACGATCAGCCGATGAAGCCGCTGGATCAGGCCGTGTACTGGATTGAGTTTGTGATGCGGAATAAAGGAGCCAAACATCTGCGAGTTCAGGCGCATGAGCTGAGCTGGTATCAGTACCACTGTCTGGATGTCGCGGCCTTCTTACTCTCCATCGCCGCTCTGATCACATTCCTCTGGGTTAAAGCATGCTGCTTCCTTTTCCGCAGATGTGTCAGGAAAACCCGTCCTGAGAGGAAAACACAGAAGAGTAAAAATGAGTGAATGCAAACTGCAGTCCAATAGTGACCAGATAATTCCCCACAGAGATGCAGTATGTGTGTCAGTGGTTGTGCAAATTGTGTGTTTGTGTGTATTGTGAATTGAGAGTGCTTTTAATCAAATAAATGCATGTGCATTTATATGTAAATAATAATTTTTTGAACATTGATTTATTTATTTTTAATTCTGTTTATTCTTCTGAGCTCTACACAGAGACTCCTGCTAGTAGATTAGTGCATATTTTTGGGGAACTTTCAGACGATCAAAATCTATATAGAGCGGGGAAATAAATATTGAACACATGTTGTCATGTATTTTTCAGGGAATAATATTTCCAAAGGAGCTGCTGACATGGAATTGAGGGAGATTTTGGTAAAAACCCAAACGATAAAGACATAACAATAAAACAAAACAAATCTGAGAAATGAGTTGTGTGTAATAACACTGACAGAAGGAGAAAGCGCTGAACTACTGAAATGTGTTTAATACTTTATATGAAAGGCTTTTTTAATGATGTCAGCTTAAAGACGCCTCTCGTATGGAGAATGAAGTCACATGTGTTGCTCAGGTGTCTGACTTCAACAGAGTTAAAATCTTGATGGTTCTGTGGGTCTCGTCTATCAAATCTGAGCTTTATTTTGTAGGTTCAATTGGATTCGGCTCAGGTGATTGGCTGGGCCATTCTACAGCTTGATTTTCTTTCTCTGAAAGCATCTGAGAGTCTCCTTGGATGTGCTGAAATGTCCACCCTGGTTTCATCTTCATCCTCCTGCTAATGTAGATGTTGGACTGAAGCGGCTGCTATTCATTTACACTGAGGAAGAGCAGAGGCTTGCTGAAGAACTACTAAGAGATTTCAGCTGCTGTCTGGGCTTTCCCTGCCGGACTACACCTCAGTTTCTTCATGTGTTCAATACTTCACGCATAACTTCATTTGTAAACTGCTTAGATTTTTTTTTCGAATATGAATTTTGTTTGGCTGTTACCAACATCTGGTGAAAATTTCAAGTCAACGGGACCTTTGGAAATATGTTTTCTGCAAAAAGGGTGACGTGTTAAATATTTATTTTCCCCGCTGTAAATGAAAGCTGAATGATATTGGAGAAATCTAACATTTCAATATTTATTTATCCTGCAATATATATATATATATATATATATATATATATATATATATATATATATATATATATATATATATATATATATATATATATATATATATATATATATATATAGTTGTATTCAGAATTATTAGCCCCCCTGAATTAATTTTCAACACATTTCGAATCATAATAGTTTTAATAACTCATCTCTAATAACTGATTTATTTTATCTTTGCCATGATGACAGTAAATAATATTTGACTAGATATTCTTCAAGACACTTCTATACAGCTTAAAGTGACATTTAAAGGCTTAACTAGGTTAATTAGGTTAACTAGGCAGGTTAGGGTTATTAGGCAAGTCATTGTATAATGATGATTTGTTCTGTGGACTATCGAGAAAAATATAGCTTAAAGGGGTTAATAATATTGACCTTAAAATGGCTTTTAAAAAATTCAAATCTGCTTTTATTCTAGCCGAAATAAAACAAATAAGACTTTCTCCAGAAGAAAAAATATTATCAGACATACTGTGAAAATTTCCTGAATCTGTTAAACATCATTTGGGAAATATTTAAAAAAGAAAAAAATGCAAAGGGGGGCTAATAATTTTGACTTAAACTGTATATACACTGCAAAACCTAAAAAGGTAAGGTAACTCAAACCATTTGGGGAAACCGATTGCAACAAACCATTTAAGTTCGAAAACTAACCCTAATGAGTGCTGTGAACTTAATCCATTTGAGTAAAGAAGCTATTTGAGCACAGCAAAACCTAATAAATTAAGACAATCAAAGCAACTGAGTACTGTAAAACCAAATAAGTTAAGGCAACTCAAACCGTTTGAGGAAACCGATTGCTAAAAACCATTTGAGTTAAACAACTAATCTATATGAGTACTGTGAACTTACTCCATTTAAATTGAAGTAATGAGGTATTTATTAACTCATTACCTTCAACACTGAGTTCAAAACTCTTTTCAGATGAGTTGAATTAACTTTCTGTCAATTTTGAGTTAACTACACTCATTTCACTTGATAAAGTTGATTGTTGGGTTGTACAGTGTGTGTATGTTGCGATAGGATAACAATTTCACCATGATGGCTTAATATCTGTATTCGGAAAGTAAATAATGTTAGATTGAGTTGATCGTGCAGTAGGAGTGTTTCTCCATAAAAATCTAATAAACAGTTTATGAATACATTAAAGATGCAATTGAAATAAACAGTGTTTCATCGTTTTCCAAGTCCTAACAGTAGGTAGAGTAATTGAATAATAAAAATAATTCATTAAAATTACTTGGTAAAGTGGTGCAGTAGGTAGTGCTGTCGCCTCACAGCAACTGGTTCGTGCCCTGGCTGGGTCGATTTGTCATTTCTGTGTGGAGTTTTACATGTTCTCCTCGTGTTGGCGTAGTTCTTGCGTGTGGCTACCGTACGCTTTTTGAGTCTCGCTTCTCTCCATTATGAAGTCTACTTGCGCAACGCGTTTTAGCAGATCGCTTGTCCAATCTCGCCCACCGTACCAGACGGCGTGCGGTGAATCTGGGAGAACATAAACAGAAATGTATAAATGACCAGAATTAAACGAGTATTCTCCGTTTTCCTGCTCCTGGTAAGTTGGAAAAGCAATTAATTGTGTGCTATTTGTTATACGTACGCTAAATTATACGAGTGCAGAGTGTGCTAATATTCTTAAACGTTATGTATACACTCACCGGCCACTTTATTAGGTACACCTCACTAGTGCCAGGTTGGACCCCCTTTTGCCTTCAGAACTGCCTTAATCCTTCGTGGCATAGATTTAAAAAGGTGCTGGAAATATTCCTCAGAGATTTTGCTCCATATTGACATGATAGCATCATGCAGTTGCTGCAGATTTGTCGGCTGCATATCCATGATGTGAATCTCCCGTTCCACCACATCCCAAAGCTGCTCTATTGGATTGAGTTCTGGTGACTGTGGAGGCCATTTGAGTACAGTGAACTCATTGTCGTGTTCAATAAATCAGTCTGAGATGATTCACGCTTTATGACATGGTGTGTTATCCTGCTGGAAGTAGCCATCAGAAGATGGAGACACTGTGCTCATAAAGGGATGGACATGGTCAGCAACAATACTCAGGTAGGCTGTGGTGTTGACACCATGCTCAATTGGTACTAATGAGCCCAAATTGTGTTAAGAAACTCTCTCCCACACCATTATACTTCACCATTATCCGAACCGCTGATACAAGGCAGGATGGATCCATGCTTTCATGTTGTTGACACCAAATTCTGACCCGACCATCCGAATGTGTCAGCAGAAATGGAGACTCATCAGAGCAGGCAATATTTTCCCCAATCTTCTATTGTCCAGTTTTGGTGAGTCTGTGTGAATTGTAGCCTCAGTTTCCGGTTCTTAGCTGACAGGAGCGGCACCCGGTGTGGTCTTCTGCTGCTGTAGCCCATCTGCCTCAAGGTTGGATGTGTTGTGTGTTCAGAGATGCTCTTCTGCAGACCTCGGCTGTAGCGAGTGCTTATTTGAGTTACTGTTGCCTGGAATCAGCTGGAACCAGTTTGGCCATTCTCCTCTGACCATCAACAAGGCATTAGCACCAACAAAACTACCGCTCACTGGATATTTCCTCAATGTCCGACCATTATCTGTTATTCTACAGAGTGCGTAAACACTGGCTAGCACCAACAATCATGCCACATTCAAAGTCACTTAAATCGCCTTTCTTCTCCATTCTGATGCTCAGTTTGAACTGCTGCAGATCGTCTTGACCATGCCTAAATGCATTGAGTTGCTGCCATGTGATTGGCCGATTAGAAATTTGCATTCAGCAGTTGGACAGGTGTACCTAATAAAGTGGCCGGTGATTGTATGTCCTACATCATGTGTTTGTGTGTGTTTTCAGATGCGTTTTTCTGGGCACAGATATGAGGCTGCTGTGTGTGTCGGATCGCTCTAATGGCCAGATTAAACAGGACGTTTGTGTTGACCCTCCTCATCGCAGTCAGCTCTGTGTTTCTGCTCTTCCAGCTCTACAACTACAGACTGTCTGCTGCAAAGGTGAAGAGAAAACCTTCAACATTTCACTCCTCTTGGATGAATAAAATTCATTATTATTATAATAGGCTATTTCGACCTTCAGGATAGAATATTTGTTCTGTAATGCTCTAATATTGCTTCCACTGTGGGAGCACATACATTGCTGTAAATACCAGGCTATAATGGTTTTTATCATGTGCAAATTACGGGGGGGGGTTGCAATTTACTATGGTAAAGTTGGTTTTATATTCGCACATTCATTCAGTGACAACTTATGACATGCTTCCTATATTGTTTACCATGGTACTTTAAATATTCGGTCTGGAATCACATGCAAGTGTGACTTCAAAACAGCATCAGCACTATTCAACTGACTGTAAACAATGTTGTTTGATAGTCATCGGCTGCTAATATGATTCCATTTAGTCAGAGTTTGCACAGAATACTCTTCAGGAATTATATTATTAACCATTAAAACTCTGTCATCGACTTTCGCTTTCAGATTTAAAGGGCTAGCATTGCACTAGACCCCATTAAGTGGTTTCGTTTGAAAGTGTAGAATCTATATTTTATGCACATATGCATCGCTTTGGTTTTTATTTTACTGTACTAAAGTTATTAACACTTAAATACACAGTATTTTGGAGACCCGAGCTGAGAATTGAACATTGTACATTTTCATATTTTTCATATGATTCATATATGACACATGTACAAGTTATAGTGAAAGCTCTTGCCGGTGCTCATACGGTTCTAGCATTCTTTTTACTGAATTATATTCACATATCAAACAGTTGCCGAATGAGCCGCTGTGTTTCCATGCCGCAGAAGTGAAAACAATACATTCATGATCAATAAGCAGCCCCAGATAGCACAGACAGCTGTCATCTCTCACCTTATGCTGTGCGCTTCAGGGCCATTCTCTGTTTTTGAGCTGATGTGCCTAAGTAATCCTTTTATATGTCTGACCAAAATATACAACTGACAAGTAGTTGTATATTTTAGCATATTGCACTTGCATTGTTTGTATAAGTTCCATTAGTCTGTATTTCTCATTATTGCAGTGTATTGATTAGTGCTGCACTTAAATAATGTTCTTTCTCCGACTGCAGAATGGCTTTAACGTCTTGAATAATAAAGGATATCTGTCTGGGAAAGAGGCACATTGGGTAAGTCTAAAGTGAAATTTAAAGGGGACCTATTATGCAGAAATCACTTTTAAAAGGAGTTTGGACACAATTGTGTGGCAACAGTTTCTAAATATAGCCATCCTCTAATGGTAAAAATTAATTATTTCTATGTATTATCATCAGACTTGATATAAACCGCCTGCAGAAACACTTTGGTTGACATTCTCCCTTTGTACGTGTCATCAGAGGGGGAAAGCCCCGCCCACTAGTGCCATTAGCATAAACAGCCCTTAGTGAGAAGCAGCCGTGCGCTGTTAGAGTTTCACCTGCTGAAGATAATGTCAGCGAGTAAATAAAGTAAATAAATAATCAGATGTGTGTTTGTGTTTATTCCAGCATCTGCTGAAGAGGTTTCTGGGCCTGGTCCACAAGTTTAAGCTGCCGGTGTTTCTGGTGGACACGGTCTCTCTGGCTCTGCTGTCCCAGGATGCCGTTCTGTACCGGGACAGTCAGCTGAAGGATCCGCACTGCAGCTTCCTCTGCACACACAGAGACTTCACCAGCTTCGCCCTGCTAGGAAACCTCTGGAAATATGACGTGAGCAAATCCATGCGGTCATTTTTCTCTGAAGTAGGGCTGCACAAGATATGGTTTCAGCATCGATATCGCAATGTGAACACTTTCTAAAGCTGCTGTTGACATGGAATTGAGGCAGATTTTGGAAAAAAAACAAACAATACAAACATTAAAATAAAACTAAGCAAATCTAAATAATGAGTTGTGTGTGATAGCACTGAAATGACAGAAGGAGAAAGAGCTGAACTACTGAAATGTGTTTAATACTTTATATAAAAGCTTAAAGACGCATCTCATGTGTCATCATGCATTTCTCAGGTGTGAGTTTCTCACAGACTTCAACAGAGTGTTAAAATCTTGATGCTTCTGTGGGTCTCGTCTATCAAATCTGAGCTTTATTTTGTATGTTTAATTGGATTCGGATCAGGTGATTGGCTGGGCCATTCTACAGCTTGATTTTCTTTCTCTGAAAGCATCTGAGAGTCTCCTTGGCTGTGCTGAAATGTCCACCCTGGTGTCATCTGCATCCTCCTGCTAATGTAGATGTTGGACTGAAGCAGCTGATATTCATTTACACTGAGGAAGAGCAGAGGCTTGCTGAGAGATTTCAGCTGCTGTCTGGGCTTTCCCTGCCAGAATACACCTCCCTTTCTTCATGTGTTTAATACCTCTTTTTCTATGTCAATTCATTTTATTAACATAACTTAATTTGTAAGCTAATTAGATTTGTTTTCTTTGCATATCTGGATTTCTTTGGTTGTTACCAACATCCAGTGGTAATTTGAAGTCAACAGCATCTTTAGAAATATGTTTTCAGAGAAAAATGGTGACGTGTTCAATACTTATTTCCCTCGCTGTATAGAGATACATAAAGATTTTTTTTCTACTGCGAGCTGATTGGATGCAGTAAAGTGGGCGTTTCATTCAGAAATATTGGGGAAAAGGGTTTTTAGAGAGTAATTAAAGCCTAACAGACTTCTCCTGGGGTCCGTTCTTTGTACCTCGCTTAAATGATCTTAGATGATTTGGCAGATCCTGGATCTTTTAATCTTGATAACTGATCTCTCGCTAATTTGGTTCTTCAAAGAAGCTCGTGAATCAGATTAGAATGTCTGGATAAACTGATCTGAGATCGCTGCGTGTGTTATGAAGGACAGATCTATCGATCCTCGAAATCATGATCAGCAATGCAACGATTGGCTGACGGCACAGCAGCGTAATGACATCATCTGATTAATATTCAATTATTAATGTGAGCAAAATTACATCAAATTAGCAGTAAATGGTTTGTGAAATATTACACCCAATAACCTTCCACATTTGTTGTGAGCTGCAGGCTTTACACTTTCATGTGTCAAGAGTATCATCATGTATTTAGTTCTACATTTAGAAAAGATTTTCTTTATTACAGTAGCCGTTTTTTAATCGGTGTAAAGAATAACTGAATGTTTACAAAAGCATTTTCATATTGGTAAAGGCGTCTGCAACTTTTGTGAAGCATCAAGTCACCGTCATATTAACTGTCAAAACATGTTTATGACTGCATAAATGTGTTATTGCTTTTAAAAAAAGTCACATATTGTGCATTTCTATTATACACAAATTGTTCTAAAGCGATCTAAAAAGTTCATATCAATAAGTTTTCTCTTTGCACCACCAGGTGGCAGTCTTTGTACTTTCATTTCGCAGTGCAGATTGCAAGTTTTAATAATATATATATATATTTTTAACTTATATATGTGTTATTATATTATATATATATGTGTGTGTGTGTGTGTGTGTGTGTGTGTGTGTGTGTGTGTGTGTGTGTGTGTGTGTATAGTCAAGTCAAGTCAACTTTATTGTCAATCAAACCATGCAACATTACACAGTAGACTGAAATTGCGTTTCTCCCATACTTCAATGTGCAATTAAAAAAAAAATAAATAAAAATAAAAATATGACACACACTAGACATAAACTAAACATTTAACTAATATAGTACAAGATAAATTAAACAATAGACACTAATAAACTGTGAACAGTTACCATATATCCTATTGTTCCAGAATATGACCAAGTTGAGGTATTTATTGTAGTGCAATTAGGTGCAGTATGGCAAAAGTGCAAAGTGCAAAGTAGCAGCTTAGAGGTAAGTGAATTTTGTAAACATGTTACACGTGCAAGGAATATTAACATAAAAACATGACAACACATTACATTTATATATATATATATATATATATATATATATACGTAGGCCTCCGTCGGTCAGTGTTGACCATGGATGACGTATCCTAGCTCTTATATTGAGGCATGACTGATTGTCTAAGACAGCGTCGTTGGTGGCTGAAGAGACCAATACGGGAGAGGCATTTTTTACCACAGCAGTCGCATTGATAGGTGGCTCCCTGGCTGACGCTCTGCACCTTTCGGTGAACTCGCTTGTCCTCTGACGCACGCATCATGTTCTTCTCACCTGACTTGAGCTGTTTGGTCAGGGTGCACCTCCATTTCAGGCGGTCTGCTGCGAGGTCTTCCCAGGACTTGGTGTTTATGTCAAGGGCCTTCATGTCCCTCTTCACAACATCTTTAAATCTCAGAAATGGGCGTCCTGTTGTTCTCTTCCCAGATGAGAGTTCTCCGTAAAGGATATCCTTTGGGATTCTCCCATCCTCCATACGGCACACATGGCCAAGCCAGCGCAGGCGACGTTGTCGGAGCATGGTATACATGCTGGGAAGGCCGGCTCGAGTCAAGACTTTGACGTTGGAGACTTTGTCCTGCCAGGTAATGCCCAGAATGCGACGCAGACCTCTTAGGTGGAAGGTGTTCAGTCTCCTCTCCTGTCTTGCATAGGTGGTCCATGTCTCACTCCCATACAGCAGAGTGCTGATGACGCAAGCGTTGTACACTGCCATCTTTGTTGCAGTTGTCAGCCTATGGTTTGTCCACACTCGGGTTGTCAGGCGGGCTAGAGTAGAGGCTGCCTTCCCGATCCTCCTGTCAAGTTCAGCATCCAGGGAGAGGTTATCGGTGATGGTGGAGCCCAAGTACGTGAACTGGTGGACGACATCGAGCTGGTAATCATCTACTGTGATGGTTGGTGGAGTGGCAGTGTCCTGGCTCAAGACATTTGTTTTTTTCAAACTGATGGTCAGCCCAAAGTCTTTGCAGGCCATGGAAAAACGGGTCATCAGCGACTATATATATATATATATATATATATATATATATATATATATATATATATATAGTTTAAAAAAAGTTACTATTTTCCCAGGTGTATATAAGAACTACTGTAAGAAAATATCAGCATTCTGTACAAACGACAGACCGGAAGTCATTCATTTCCAATGGAGAGCAGTCCGGGAGCTGCGTTGAGTTCCGATCATTGCCGTATTTGGAAAATTCGGATTCGAATTGAGCTGCGGATCTGTTAAAATATGTGAACTCCTGCGACTAGACCATAAGCGACCTGCCGACCGGATATGATGTATTCCAGTGTTGTCCAAGCAAAGCCGTGCACGCCAGATGAGAATATAGGAGTTTATTAGGTTTTTTTTTTAATTATTAAAAGTCTATATTACAAAAAAAAGCTTTTCAGTTCATAAATGTAAGTAAGAAAGTCATAAAAATGCACATTTTTAATGTTGTCTGGCCACAGCCATGTCACCCTGCAGCCCAAGACCGGTTACTCACTGAAGCTAAGCAGGGCTGAGCCTGGTCAGTACCTGGATGGGAGACCACTAGGGAACACTAGGTTGCTGTTGGAAGTGATGTTAGTGAGGCCAGCAGGGGGCGCTCAACCTGTGGTCTGTGTGAGTCCTAACGCCCCAGTAAAAGTGAAGGGGACACTACACTGTCAGTGGGCGCCGTCTTTCGGATGAGACGTTAAACCGAGGTCCTGACTCTCTGTGGTCATTAAAAATCCCATGGCACTTCTTGTGAAAGAGCAGGGGTGTAACCCCGGTGTCCTGTCCAAAGTCCCTCAATCGGCCCTTACAATCATGGCCTCCCAATCATCCCCTTCCACCGAATTGGCTCTATCACTGTCTCTACACTCCTCCAATAGCTGGTGTGTGGTGAGCGCACTGGCGCCGTTGTCCTGTGGCAGCCGTCATCATCCAAGTGGATGCTGCACACTGGTGGTGGTGTGGAGAGACCCCCCCTCATGATTGTGAAGCGCTTTGGGTGTATGGCCATACACAATAAATGCGCTATATAAATACACCTTGCATTACATTACAATGTTGTCTCCACATTCCCTCCAATATTTTAGCGCTCTATGAGTTTCTAGTATTCATTCATCCATTAAACCATGTAACCGCACAAAGAATAAAGGCTCTTGCTTTTGCACTCCTTTATTTCGGACAGCGTGAGAATCAGCTTCCCCCCTGTGGTGCACGACAACACTGAAAATACTGTGCGGCTGCCACAAGGGGGCGTATTCCAACATGTCCAAATGTGCAGTGGAGAGGCGGCTTAAGAAGTATGCAACACAGTAAGGAAGAAGTATGTTTGGTTAATATATGGTATCATACAAAAGGAAATGACTGATTAATCTGTTGTTAGTTTAAGCGTTTTTTCTAACCAAAAATAAAGACACAAAAGTAATAAAAATAAATTAGTTTTCCCCCACATTAGCCAATATCTCAGACAGACCTAACGTGAGAATTTAACTGAAGCAAACAGGAAGTGCGTTTTCTGATTTCAATCAAGGATTACAAGGGCAAACTATTGTTGTTTTCATAATGACATACACCGATGAATTGTTTAGCACAAAACTAGCAAAACAAAACCAACATGGTCAGTTTTGATTTCATGCGGACTTCAAATCTGAATTTGATAATGTGATCTTAATTGCCGTTTCTCTCGTGTTTTTGTATGTTCGCAGTGTTAAATCCAGATCTTTCAACATCTCTATTAATCTTCCAACAGACTGACAGACGGCTGATAGTTGTGTGTTTGTGTGCAGGCGGCTCTGCTGGACGCAGCCTCTGAGCGCGGTCTGGAGCTGCTGGAGATTCATGGGAAAGACCCTCGGCTGATCAGCACGGATGATCTGACGGCGAAAGAAATCCCGCTGCACTTCCTGTTCCGCTTTAACGGCCGTGTGGTGCATGTGGTCGTGCTGTACGAGCGCAGCGGGAAGTATCTCTGGCACGGCCCGCTCAGACTCACCGCCAGTTTGGACAGGACTTTCGCACCCTTCGGGAAACTGGACTACGGTCATCACGCTGGGGCTTATGACAGGTGACGGCATCAGTCTATAAACCACACACCGATGTAAAGAAATGTAAAAGTTCAGAAGCATGTTATTCGTCCAAGTGAAAAATTGGTTAGCACCAAGTGTGCCGCAAGCCTGCGTTTGAGAGAAGGTCTCGGCAGTTAGATCGCCCCCTGGGGGCTGGCTGCAGTACAAGTCATAAAGCCCACCTCCTCCGTGTTAATGAAGGAGACTTGAGCCCAAATAAAAAAATGTATTACACTTGCAATAAAATGTCCCGAAAGATAGTTCTGGTGGATTAATTCACTGGTTATTGTGCTGAAATAGGTGCAGATCTTCATTTTTGTAAACAGTTTGTTTTTAGCAGTAATTTAATGCTGGGCGTGTCATCGTGATTGACAGCTGTGATTGACAGTTTCTCAAAGCAGCGCGTCTGAGCTTCGGCAGGAGACTGAAGTGTTATTATTCGATTTCTGTGTTATTTTACCATGACAAAATGAGTTCAGCAGTAAACTATAGTTTCTGACATACATGATCCTGGTGGAACACTGTTTATTCGCTGAGGTCAGGGCTTTTTTCGGGCTTTATTAGTTTGCTGATACACGCCTAACCACCCAGATAGCAAAATACACTCGGGCCAGTTCCGGCTAGATTCTCGCCTGCCGGAGACTTACCCCTCAGACTGACTACCTCTGCTGGACCTACTCCGGATGCCTGGACTCACTGCCCGATTCCAGCCCGAGTCAATCGAGCCAGATGCGGCGGCCGAGCGAGCCGGCGCTGCCGCATGCGACCCGGAATCAGCCCGCGACGCCGCGAGTAGGTTATGCGCTGCGGCCCGGAGCTGGCGCGATTGAATATATAAAACCCTCATATTTGTTAACGTTATTACATCCATTTGTGTTGATATGACAGCAAACGCATGCTGAGAAGTTCGGGGGGCGTAGTTGATTTTACATAAAGCGTTTGGTTGGAAGCTCGACTCATTTTCGCGGCTCCTCCTCTGGCTCCATCAGACAGTCCTTCTGCGCATGTCAAGGCTCCAATTTCAGCAGTCTTTTGCGACAGTTTGTGCCCGTCAAGCAGGCGTTTTGCCCTCAAGGCGTTCAGTGGGAAAAGGGGCTGTCGCGTCCTCCATATTTTTTACAGTCATTGGTTAGCACTTGCGCCTCACAGCAAGAAGTCTGGGTTTGGGGTGGTGAGATGACGGGGCGTTGGATGGTGGAGGGGTGTCGCGGACGAAAGTGAAGAGCGAAGAGATTTGTCGCTGACGAAAGTGAAGAAGGTTGGGGTTCGCAGAAGAAACTGAAAGTGAGCAGTGGACGAAGGCGGTTGAGGACTGGGATCAGTAATATGTGGTGCCGGATCAGATTTCAGAGGTGCCGGATCTGGATCCGGCGTGTTCCGGCAGAAATTAAGCCCTGTTGATAGCCCTGTCTAAACCCATCAGCAAAAACCCTGTTATCAAAGTTCCAAATAAATAGAGATCTTCAATATCCTCCAGGGACAGAGCGGCCAGGCACATGACGCACCACTTCTCCCACCCGTCCATCATGCATCCAGCAGTGAACGTCCCCGCAGGACAGTTGGGTTCCCCCGAACCCAAACTTCTCATTGAGAAGATGGTGTCAATTGCGTTCAGAGACCAGTTGATCAAATCCAAAATTCCTTATTGTTTGGAGAGCAGGGCAAGGAGAGCCTCAGAGATAGTATAAGATGAGACGAGGAGCCAGGAGAGATATGGGAGGGAGAGGAAAAAAAGTGCAACCGCCTTCGCCGAGAGCCAAAGAGAGAGTTTCCATCCCAGTCCAAACACTTATATAGGTGAATTGAACAAGCTAAAGTGTGTGTGTGAATAAGTGTGTATGGGTGTTTCCCAGAACTGGGTTGCGGCTGGAAGGGCATCCACTGCGTAAAACATATCCTGGATTAGTTGGCGGTTCATTCCGCTGTGGTAAACCCTGATAAATAAAGGGACTAAGCTGAAGGAAAATGAATGAATGATTATTTAGTTTGTTTATGTTCATGTCTTCCTCAGGCCGGAGCTCATCCTCACCACTCTTGATGGACTTAATGTGAGGATTCCCAAAAACTTCTCCGGTTTCCTCCATGAGTACTCCAGCAGTCACTTTCTGGAGTGTCGCAGCAGAGAAGCAAAGGCTTTCTTCCAGGTACTGACTGCTGTGTGTCAATATAAACACAACCAAAAAGCCCCTTGAAGTGCTTTGAAATGTGCTTTTTTATGTTCGATGTTTGACGCAATTTCAACCGAAACAAAAGAGAGGGCGGGGCATAGAGTAGCTCCTCCCCCTTTAACAAACAGCAACCAAGAGTGTTTTGCTTTCTCACAGCTCTGCCAGTGAGAGTGGTTGAGCTTAAGCGCATCAAATGAGAAGTGTCTTGAAGGGGGCAGGGCATATCAGATACTAGAGAGCATCTGATTGGTCAGAAGATTTAATGAGAAACTAAAGTATAAATAAAAATGTTGATCCATTTAGGCTGAAGTTACAAACCGCAAGCTTTACATGTTAATATCGGTTTCATATCATCTAAACGCTAGCGTATAGATATCCTTAAAACTAACAATACTGATACTAACATCTAAAAAAAGGTCATTTTAATTTTAATGGATCTTTAAAGACCTCAATCTGCCTGCTTTTTTCTTATTTACGCATTGCATGTCTGTTCAGTTGTGCTTGTGAATATAATGTTGTGCAGCTGTATCCAGAAGACACCTCTCCGGAGGCCGTGGACTTCAGGATGAGGGCTAAAAGTCTGCTTCATCTCGCGTCCAGAGTCCTCTTCACGCTCAGAGTGCCTTTTTGGCTCAGCAGTGGAACTTGTCTGGGTGAGAAACTCTAAAAAAAAATCATTTGATCTGTCAAAAAGCTTGGTGACTAGGCCTAGATAATATCAACATTTCATCAGTTTTGCTAACGGTCTAATCCGATTCAATGATTTATGCTAAGCTAAGCTAAAAGTGCTCACGTTAGACCCAGAGCTCAGATAAATGGATTCAAAACTGGGGAAAAATTCACCTGCTTAACTCTTAATGCTCTCAGGATTAATAAAGGAGCTTTGCTGCTGTAGGTGCAATGTAGATACACCTGAAAATAGTCCCCAGCTAGGTGACTAGGCCTAGATAATATCAACATTTCATCAGTTTTAGTTCACAGTGTAACTGCAGAATTGTCCAGTTTTAAATAGGAAACATTATTAATATTATTATTATTACATTTTTAAGCGAGATGCTAATGGTCTAATCCGATTCAATGATTTATGCTAAGCTAAGCTAAAAGTGCTTCCACTAGACACAGAGATCAGCTGAATGGATTTTAAAATGGTCAAATTCACCTGTTTAACTCTGTCGAGTGAACATATCTCCCCCAAAAATACAGACTGTTCCTTTGATTTGTCCGTTTGAAGGTACTTAATGAGTAACAATAACCAACATTTGCTATTTACTAACTCTCTCCTCAGCTTCATTTAACTCCTTGTTAAAATATTCCAGCGTCTGAAACAGCAGAGCGCGGCTTTAACAGCACCAACCAAACTCACTGGTTTGACTCATAGGGACAGTCCTTCTCGTTTTGAGCGAGATTTTTATAATATTGACTTTATTCTACGCCGGCACGGTGGCTCAGTGGTTAGCACTGTCACCTCACAGCAAGAAGATCGCTGGTTTGAGTCCCAGCTGGGCTAGTTGGCATTTCTGTGTGGAGTTTGCATGTTCTCCACGTGTTGGTGTGGGTCCCAGTGCTGGGTTGTGGCTGGAAGGGCATCCGCTGTGTAATACATATGATGGAATAGTTGGTGGTTCATTCCGCTGTGGCACACCTGATAAATAAGGGACTAAGCAAAATGAATGAATGAATGAACATGCTATTGCATGCAATGGGATCTGTTGCTCTTGTTATTGGTTGATTAAACTGAGTAACTCTTCTCCTCATCCTCCTCTTCCTCAGGTTGGTACAGGCAATGCAATATCATTCCCTACAGTAAAGACGTTGATGTGGGCATTTGGATTAAAGATTACAGGCCTGACATCATCCCGGCGTTTCAGAAGGCTGGACTCCCTCTCAAACACAAGTTCGGGAAGGTACGGTTCATTTAGTAGTGATGTTTGTTTATTTATTTGTCTCTAAATCGATCCGTATTGGCTTGAATTTCAGGTAGAGGACAGTCTGGAGCTCTCCTTCCAAGGGAATGATGTGAAACTGGACATCTTCTTCTTTTACGATGACGGTGACGTGGTCTGGAATGGAGGCACGCAGGCAAAGAGTGGCAGGAAGTTCAAGTGAGTATTTAAGTCCACATGAAATCAAAACCATACTGATATTATCTAGGCCAGGGGTGTCAAACTCAAATTCACAGAGGGCCAAATAAAAAAAAAAAGAACATTGTCGAGGGCCAAATTTTTATTATTAATTTATTTATATTTTTATTATCTTTAAGATACAGTAAACTACTGTATTAACCATCCTAATATATTACAATTGAATTTTGCTTAAATACTGGAATAAGAACAGTTTTAAGAAAATAATAAAAACAAAAACTGAATAAAATATCAGGCTTCTATATCTTTAACTTTATTCATTTTAATTGTAACCTAAATCTTTTCATCAAAGACCATCAAGGCCAACACCTGAAAAAATCTCTTTCAACTTTGAACAGACCATGCCATCAGTAAATAAAATAATATTTATTAATTTTAGTTTTTTTCACTGTTCATTTAGTCTGATGATGCACATGGGTCCAAGCCACTTGGCATCGCTTTTTACATGCAAGTGCATCAATTTCTGGAGTCAGGCTCTGCGCAGAGGAAATCCTTAGGACTGAATGAAGGTGTTCATCGGTGAGACGACTCCTATGTGGTGTTTTGTTCATCTTTATTAACGAAAACAGTAGCTTGCACAGATATGTGCTCCTGAACATAGAGAGCATTTGCGCAGCTTGGGCACGGAGTTCGGGCAGCGTGTCAGGGAGGTAAGGTGGAAATTGCGCAGCACCGACAGTCATATTTTGACTTGAGCGTGTCATGACACTGCAGCTCAATAAGCTCCATTTTGGAGATTGCTTGGTGCGTTATTCACATCAAACGTAAAGGTGTTGCTAAAAAGTTCAAATCTACATTTTTGGGCTTCAAAGTCAACACATCGTCGGGCAAACTCAGCTCCAAGTAGAATGAGTTTTTCAGCGAACTGTGAAAAGGCATCACGTCAGTGGCGCCCCCAGAATATTTTCATAGGGGTGGCTAGAAGAGGCCACACCAAATCTTGGGGTGGCACACAAAAAATAATGAATTCAGTGTAATGTTATATTTTTGTTTCTGGTCAATTAAATAATGTGACTTTAATTCATTTAATTATATTGTCTTAAAATATCGCAATTTATTCCTTGAAATAATTCAGCAAGTACATGTGCAAACCAAATAAAAATGTATATTTAGTTTAAAAACACTTCTCATATATAGAAATAACTTTTCAGTTGTTTTTCACTTACATTTATTATACAGCATACAGTATATGCCATGTCTAAAATTAATTGAGATTAATGAGTTAAATGATAAAACAAACAAATGAACAAACTGAACAAAAGGCATTACTATATACACACAATCACTATACAGACCCTAATAAAATCATTTATCTATATCCCTTTTTGAGCCATTTTATTAATGCAGCTTCTTCTATTGATGTACCTAAAAGTAAATATTACATAGCCATTACTGTCGATTGAAGATGTGTGTGTTTGTGCTGTCAACGACAATCAGGGAGGGCAGTGGTGGTTCTACTTTATGACACCCAGGGCGAACCACCCCATATACCCACCCTCCTTAAATAGTTACATTTATTTTTCAATAAAAATAAAAATGTATTTACATTCATTCTAAATAAATACAATTAATATTAAGATTATTATACAATTATTATTCTAAATAAATAACAGACATCAATCCTAAATGTTACTGGAAAACAATGTAACAGAGTGATATGCTAAGATCACTTAGGAAACCTTTTGCATGAATATTAGTTACGACAAGTCTATAGAATACAAAAATATGTGTTTCATAGAATTATCTGTTATGAAGTCTTACCTCCCTGACTCTTCATCCCTCCTTACTGCTTTATAGCCATGCTTAGTGAAAGTATTATCATCATCATATTATATAAACTTTAGTTTTGTCGACTTTCAAAACTCACTGCGTGCTGACACCTCTTCACAAAAGGCTTACTCCGGTTTCACGGCGCATGAGCGGCGCGTTTTTTATCAGCTTGCATGTAAACAACTGGGATTCACACACGAGTGCATGAGCCGCACGGGAATGGTTTTCTGCGCGCATGCGTCAGTTTGCTTTCACCAGCGTTGTTTCTGTTGCACATAGAGAACGCGTGTAAAAGATGTGAACGGCCCTTAATGTCTTTATTCTGGGATTGCCCCTCTAAGTTAACACACTTGCATAAAGTAAATGGTATCCTAATGCTTTTACTAGGGGATGCTTTTTGTTGCATCATCTCCGCGTGCCGCCCAGCCCCAGCAAGATACTTGTGACGCCGCCCTGGCATTTGGCAAATTGCCCAAATCCGCCACTGGGGAAGAGAGGGGCAGTGAATCAGCTAGGTTGGTGGCACCAACAATAATTTAGTTGCTGCATGTTATTTATTTATCTATAGAAACATTGGGAATTTACATAAGTACATTTAAGTTAATAATACCACCCCTGGCCACCCCTTGGGGGCGCCCCTGCATCACGTCGGTAGCGGTCTGCTCTTTTATGACTTGGCAGCACAAAATATGAGCCAGGTTTCCCTGCTGCATCTGACTCTCCCACAAGTGCAACTTGGTTCTAAAAGCCCTCACGGCGTTGTACATGTCTGTGATGACGTGCGCGCCCCTGAAGCTTCAGATTGAGCGTGTCGTTCATGATGTCACAAAGAAATGCAAGCTCACATTGAACCTTTTCATCCCTGAACTCTGTTGTGTCTTTCCCTTTGCTTTTCATAAAAAGACAAATTTCCTCACGCAGCTCAAAACATCTCTTCGCACATTGGAAACTCCCGCCCGCGGCACCGGCTGCTCTCCTTTGGCCGCGCATAGATGTCGTCGCAGCGTTTTGACGCTCGAATTAAAAATGTTTTAAATTGGGAGTCAAACGCCACCCTTGCGCGACGCTCTGCGCGGACTCAGCGCGGAATTGTGTACACAATGAATGGCTGAGCTGACGCCACCCAGCGATTGACGCGTTCAATGTGTAGGCACCTTTAGCGGTACGTGCGCTATATAACGATGTAGTACATCTTTGAAATCATCTCCTGGGCCAGGGCCTGAGTTTGACATGTCTGATCTAGGCCTAGTCACCTAGCTAGGCGCTATTTTCAGGTGCTGTGTAACTACATTGAGCCTACATGCATGGGTACAGCAGCAAAGCATTAAACAGATGTGTTTTACCACTGCTGAATCCATTCCCAGTACTGGGTTGCAGCTGAAAGGGCATCTATTGTGTAAAACATATGCTGGATAAGTTGGCGGTTCATTCCTCAGTGGTGACCCTGATGAATAAACTAAGCCAAAGGAAAATGAATGAATGAAGGTGTCCTTTAACCTAATGACAAACACACTCAACAACACTTTTATCAAAAGCAGGGGTGTCCACACTCGGTGCTGGAGTGCCGGTGTCCTGGAGAGTTTAGCTTCAACCCTAATCAAACACACCTGAACCAGCTAATAAAGCTCTTACTAGGTATACTAGAAACTTCCAGGCAGGTGTGTTGAAGCAAGTTGGAGCTAAAGTTAGCAGGACACCAGCCCTCTAGGACCGACTTTGGACACCCCTGAGGATTTGGATTCATCTTCTCCTTTGTCACTGTAGCTCACCTATTAACCTGTTCCTGTGTTTCTTCATTAAACGACTTGTTTGTTGTTTCTGGCAGGTATGTGTTTCCACGCTTCAGCCTGTGCTGGACGGAGTTTCTGGAGCTGAAGGTTCAGGTTCCCTGTGAGACGGAGGATTATGTGAGGGCAAACTACGGACCCGACTGGAACATTCCTGTCAAAACCTGGGACTGGAAAACCTCTCCGTTTAACGTCCAGGAGAACGGCGTCTGGCCCTTGAGGGAATGGGATGACGTCATTCAAGTTTACTGAAGCATCATGGGAGTTGTAGTGTTTTAGTAGCGCACATTAACAGGATAGTTCACCCAAAAATGAATATTTACTTCACTCTCAAAAGTCTTTATAAACCTTTATGAGTTTCTTTCTGGTGACACAGTGGCTCAGTGTGGAGTTTGCATGTTCTCCCCGTAATAGCGGGGGTTTCCTCCGGGTTTCCCCACACATTCGCTATAGGGGAATTGAATAAACTAATTTGGCCATAGTGTGTGTGTGTGTGTTTGAGTGTTTCCCAGTACCGGAAGGGCTTCCACTGCGTAAAACATATGCTGGAATAGTTGGCGGTTCATTCCACTGTGGTGACCCCTGATCAATAAAGGGACTAAGCTGAAGGAAAAATGAATGAATGAGCGTCTGTCTTCTGTTGAACACAAAAGAAGATATTTTGAAGAATGTTGAAAACCGGTAACCATTGAGTATCATGGTAGAGTAGAAAAAACAAATGCTATGGAAGTCAATGGTTACAGGCTTCCATCATTTTACAAAGTATATTCTTTTGTGTTGAGCAGAAAGAAACCCATTAAGGTTTTAAACACGTAAATAATGACTTTAATTAAAAATTTAATTTTGGTTGAACTATGTACTTTTTTTTTTTTTTAGATAAACCACTTCAATGCCGTTTATAGAGTATTCTTATTTATAAGCTATGTGTTTTCATTTTGACTGTGAATAATGCTAATCATGCTAAAAATAAACAGATGTCGTGTATGCTTGAGTTTATAACGTATACATAAATCAATGTATACCGTTATGGCTAATAATATTTCAGTATATATTTAATATTAAACAAATATGTGAACTTGAAGGCTGTTTGGACTTATTTTTGTGTTTTTTTTTATAGTATTTTTTTAAAATGTCAAGCTGTATAACAATGAACATACAAAGGCAATGACTGAACAGGAGCACAATAACAACAATTAAAACATATTAAACAAACTATTAAAATACAGTTGAAGTCAGAATTATTAGCCCCCATCTTTTTCAAATATATCCCAAAGGATGTCTAACACAGATACAGGAAATGTTCACAGTATGTGTGATAATATTTTTTCTCCTGGAGAAAGTCTGATTTGTTTTATTTTAGCTAGAATAAAATGAGTTTTTAATTTTTTAAACACTATTTTGAGGACAAAATTATTAGCCCCTTTAAGCAATATTTGTTTTGGATTGTCTTCTACAGCAGGGGTCCCCAAACTTTTCAGCCCACGACCCCCAAAATAACAATGCCAGTGACTCGCGACCCCCAATATCCTCTGAGGTGGTTATAAATACAGAAACCTTGCAATGGCACACACACACACACACACCAATAGACCCAAGTCTATTCTTCGTTTAACTTTTTTTTTTTAATGTATGTCAGTGCTGTAAATGGGAAAGTGTGAAGGAGGAGTGGAGGTGAAATGTTGCAACTGTGGAGGAGGACATAATGCTGCATATGGAGGTTGTGAGGCAACAAAAAGGGCAGTGGAGGTTCAGCAGGAAAAAGAAAAAAACAATCTAACTTACTCTGAAGCAGTAAAGGTAGTGAGGGGAAAGAGGAAGTCAAATGAAACAGTAAGATTGGATTCAGGTAAGAAAAATGAAGGAGAAGAAAGAATTGGTGAAAGTAGGTCATCAGAGGATTTGGCGTTAGTAAGCAAGAAAAATGTTGTACTCTTCATGGTAGAAGAAATTAACTGCACTGCCCAAACAGAAAGAGGAACAGAAAAGATACAAATAATATATAAAGCAGCAGAAAGGTATCTGGAGATAAAGGGTCTGAAGAGTGATGATATAAGTTTAACCTGGTGTTATAAAATCAATCTGCTGCATCTGAAGCTATTGCTGTGTCTTTAATATAATGTCATTACCCCAGGGGTCACAATCCCATAGAACTAGTAACTATAAGCTACTATAGGAACTATATAGTAACTATAAACAACTATTTTTTTTCTCTTCAGCACGTTATGCATAAAATATGGTAATTCTTATGGTTTAATAAAAATAAAGATTTTTGGAAATCACCAGGCGACCCTCCTTCATTGTCCCGAAACACTTTGGGGGGGTCCCGACCCCCACTTTGAGAATCACTGGGCTACATAACAAACCACTGTTTTACAATGACTTGCCTAATTACCCTTATTAAACCCTAATTAACCTAGTTAATCCTTCAAATGACACTTTAAGCCGAATATTAGTGTCTTGATAAATATCTAATCAACTACTATTTACTGTCATCATGACAATAAAAAGAAATCAGAGATTAGAAATGAGTTATTAAAACTATTACGATTAGAAATGTGCTGAAAAAACAGAAACCAGGGGACAATTTTTACAGAGGGGCTAGTAATTGTGACGTCAAATGTATAAATACTCCATATATTATTTAAATGGTAACACTTTACAAAAAGGTTCATTAGTTAATGCATTTACTAACATGAACTAATCATGAACAACACATGTACAGCATTTATTAATCATAATTGAACATTTACTAATGCATTAATAACATCCAAGTCTATGTTTGTTAACATTAGTTAATGCACCATGAGTTAACATGAACTAACAATGAACTACTGTATTTTCATTAACTAATATTGACTAACATGAATAAATACTGTAGTGAATGTATTGTTCATTGTTTGTTCATGTTAGTAAATGCATTAATTAACATTAACTAATCAACCTTATTGTAAAGTGTGACCATTTAAATATACTGCAGAAAGCTGCTATGTTTAAACACAATGCTTGTTTTGGGCTGTAAAAGCTCTCGTCACGAAAACAAAACACGAGCAAGTGACTTTCGTTTATTTTTCTGTTTTGTACAAAACGTATCCACACAGTATCCGACAGATACTCGACAACAAACGGCCAAAGTAACCTTCATGACATTTAATCCTTTCACGGGACAGAAGAAGCAGGAGGTGTGGGAACATCTTACTCCATATATCCCCACCCCCAAAAACAAGCCCAGCTTCAGACAAAGCTAAAGAAACATACTTGATACAAGAGTCATATTTAGCAGTGCCTAAAACACCGGCAGCTATGACCTCACCTAAATGTACAACAGAAATCACAAAGACGGCAGCAGAGTTAGCGGACACCGAAAATCTGCAACAGCCACGTGAGGAACAGTCGGTTCACGAGAGAGAGAAAATAACAGGACAAAGCAGCTCTCAATACTGAACTACACGGAACCAATGCTTAAAAGAGGAACTAATAAGATGGTAAAAAGGATTTTTGGTTTTCACAGTCATTAAAGTTGAACGCACTGCATGCATGATGCTAACAACGGCACGGGATCGAGGATAAACATAAAAAATGCCCAGAAATGTTCAGTTCAGCTTCCTCATAAACATTAAAGGGGTTAGTTCACGCAAAAATCAACACCTATTTACTTTCCCTCAAGTGGTTACACTGCAGTAAATGCTTTATCTTTTGCCTCGTTTCTAGTCCAAATATTTAAACATTCTTAAAATCAAGAAGCATTTAGACAAGTAAAACTACGGCTTGTTTTAAGAAATAATATGCCAAATTTAAATGAGTTTTCATTAAAACAAGCTTAATAATCAGCCAATCGGGGAAGAGAAATGATCTTATTCTTCATTTGGAGATCAGATTATTCTGCTCACCTCATTATTAGATTATTTAGCCTGTTTTAAGGAAAACCTCACTTATTATTTCTTAAAACGAGTTTTTAGCTTGTCTAGAAAATGCTTCTTGATTTATTTGTAGATATTTAAAAAAAAAAATCTAAGAAAAGCTTTCATTTGCACCTTTACTCCTGTTAAACACACAAAAAAATTATTTATATTTTATGAGCTAAAAACCAGTAACCATTGACTTCCATGGTATTTGCTTTTCCTGCAATGGAAGTGAATGGTTACTGGTTTCCAGAATTCTTCTATACTATACATATTTAGACTACAAACAAGGCGAAAGATCTAAATATTCTTAAATCAAGACATATTCTAGACGAACAGAAAATAGTGTCTTGTTTCAAGAAATATGCTAAATTTAATTCAGTTTTTCAAAAAAAACAAAAAAAAAAAAAACAAGCTAAATCATCAGCCAATGGAGGGAAGAGAAATGATCTTATTCTTCATTTAGGGATCTGATTATTCAGTTTTAAGGAAAAACTTGCATAATATTTCTTAAAACAGCAGTTTTTAGTTTGTCTAGAAATTCTTCTTGATTAAATTTGTAGATATTTGGATTAGAAACGACTAAAAATCGTAGAAGAGTATTTATTTGCAGCTTTACATCTGTTAAACACACAAATAATTATATTCAACAAGCTGAAAACCAGTAACCATTGACTTCCACAGTATTAGTTTTTCCTACAGTGGAAGTCAATGGTTACCGATTTCCAGCATTCTATATATATTTACATACACTCTAAACTACACTAAAGATCTAAATATTCTTAAAATCAAGAAGCATTTTCAAGACGAGCAAAAAATTGTGTCTTGATTTAAGAAATTGTGTCAAATATAAGTGAGTTTTACCTTAAAACAAGCTAAATTATCAGCCAATAGAGAAAGATGTATTGTTCTTCATTTGGAGATCAGATTATTTTGCTTACGTCATTGCATGTTAATTATTAATTATTTAGCCTGTTTTAAGGAAAAACTCACTTATTATTTCATAAAACGACAATTTTTAGCTTGTTTAGAAAATGTTTATTCATTTATTTTGTAGATATTTGGATTAGAAACGACTAAAAATCTAAGTAGAAGCATTTATTTGCACTTTGACGTCTGTAAAACACACAAAAAATGACATTTAAGCTGAAAATCTGTAACTATTGACTTCCATGGTATGTGCTTTTCCTACAATAGAAGTCAATGGTTACCGGTTTCCAGCATTCTTCAAAATATCTTCCACAGAAGAAAGTTTGAGGTTTGAAACAAGTAAACAGAGTTTTTATGGGTGAACTATCCCTTTAACTATTTATATATATATATAAAAAAAACAGATAAATGAAATAAACACTATCTACAAAGTGATTAATAAAAAAGGGAATAAAAGTGAAGTGTTTCCCCCCTATCTCCGGTATCGGCCTCTCTCCTTTTCTCTCTCGCGGTCTCGAATTCTCTCTCTCTCGCGGTCCCGCTCCCGTCCACGTTCTCGCTCTCGGTCTCTCCGTCCGTCTCTGGGTCGGTCACGCTCTCTCTGACGGTCTCTCTCCCGCGGTCTGCTTCTGCGTCCGCTCACCACTGCCTGCGTTCGCCTTAGAAAATCATCCACGCGCATGTCGTAATCATGCTAGAAAAAAATAAATGCAAAAGAATGAGCATGATGAACATCACCAAACACATCATTCAGTAGAACCTAAATGAGTGAAAGACATTCACCGGCCACTTTATTAGATACACCTGTCGAACTCTGTTAACACACATTTCTAACCAGCCAATCACATGGCAGCAACTCAATGCATTTAGGCATGTAGACGTGGTCAAGCCTACATCCATCCTTCCATCCCTTTATAAGCACAGTATCTCCATCTTCTGACAGCTACTTCCGGCAGGATAACCCGCCATGTCAAAGCGTGAATCATCTCAGACTGGCTTCTTGAACATGATAATGAGTTCACTGTACTAATGGCCTGCACAGTCGCCAGATCTCAATCCAATAGAGCACCTTTGGGATGTGGTGGAATGGGAGATTCACATCATGGATGTGCAGCCGACAAATCTGCAGCAACTGTGTGATGCTATCATGTCAATATGGAGCAAAATCTCTGAGGAATATTTCTAGTAAGTCTAGTAAGGTGTACCTAATAAAATGGCCGGTGAGTGTAATTTATTCATTTATCCATATTATTCATTTACAAACAAATTCTGCTGTTGCTCTCCATTTTATTTTATCATTTAAAGCAGTGTTTCTCAACCATGATCCTGGAGGACCACCAGCACTGCATGTTTCGGATGTCTCCGTCTGTCACACCCATTACAGGTCTTTCAGTCTCTGCTCAGAGCTGCGCATGGATGGATTTGCTCTTCAGTGTTTGAACTTTCAGCAGTGAAAATTAACACTGAACTGAACTGAACTAAACTCTGAAAACTGGACTGACACCGTTTCAATTTACTAGAACTAATATGTTAGGCTGCTTTGACACAATCTCTTAATTTCTACATTGTAGAAGCGCTATAGAAATATAGATGAATTTAATAATGATCTGAATCCGGTTAAGGAGACAAGGAAAATGTGCAGAGCTGGTGCTCCTGCAGCAACATGGTTGAGAAACACTGATTTGAAGGGATAGTTCACCCCAAAACTTATATTTACTTAGTTTAATCTTCCTCGAGTGTAAAACTGTTACTCTGTTGAACACTGAAGAAGATCATTTACAAGCTTTAAACTGGTAACCATTGACTTGCATGGTAGAAAAAAAAACAATAAAATGGAAGTGAATGGTTACCGGTTTCAACATTAAAAAAAGTACTTATTTTGTGTACATCACAAGAAGGGAACTCAGAGGTTTGCAAGATGTGAAGATTAAATAAATGACATTTTCATTTTTGGGTGAATTATCCCTTTAAATTCACATAAATAACAATTAATAATTCACAAACATTTTACAAAATTGACAATGCTGACATATTGCACTTCAATTTTTAAAACATTATAATAAATCGCCAGGTAATAAGTACAAAGTGTTCTCTTATTAATAAATAATTATATAAATCCAAAAATACTGAACATAAAATATATAATTCATAACAATATTAATATTTTTAACTCTAACATATACATTAATATAAAAACTATAATATGTAGCAGTCAGAAGGTACAACAATTCATAGTAGATGTAGTTATACACTTTTTATTGACGTCATTACTTTTGACTTGTGTATTTATAAATAAAACACATTAATTTAAATGAACAGCAAGATAATGCTACAGTAAATGTAAAGCATCATCAAGCATATCAGAGGCAGCTACACAGTTTGCAGCTTCATCAGCAAACATGCAATAATATCAGTCGTATCTGATGCCTTGCAGGCAGTATCTGAGTGTGCTTTAAGAGGCAAATCATTACCAAACTGGAGGCGAAAGAGCGGACAACCCTCTTTTCCCTGAAGCGGGCATCATGGGGCATGGGGTGGTGTCCAGAGTAAGGCGGGTGGGCCTGGGGTGGAGGAGGGTGGTGCTGGTAATACGGGTGCTGAGGAGGATGCTCCATACCAGGGTATGGGGCCTTCACATCAAACATATTAGAGTGTTACTATAAGAGCTGCAAGATATTGTATAAACCACAACCAATATTTTTACAGTCAGCTTGATGGAGACTGAAGTGAAAAGGCCAAAATTGATCAATCATTATTATTTATTAATACCAAAAGACTGAAATGACAATACACAGGCTTGAAAATAACTCATGTATGGTATTTTTAAATGGTATTTAAGTGTTGCAAGAGGGATTTCTTTTTTATTTGTACAACGTAAACCCAAATCATAATCAAAACTGAACCAAAATACACATCAAATTTAGTTTTATTCAATATAATTCAATCTTACCATTCCTTGCCAAGGTGGTGGAGGCCCAATGTTGTGATGGAATTCTCTCATATAGTCGTTGTAGGACTAAAAATAAGAAAACAAAACGTCAAGTATGATATTAACTTCATTACATGGTTTGTTTGATACATGCAACTTTTTACAAAGCCACCAAATCAGTCATGAAGGTCCATTTTCATAAACTGAGATTAACACAGCATCTGAAAACTGAATAATTAATAAGCTTTCCAGTGATGTATGATTTGTTAGGATAGATTAATATTCAGAAAAATATTGAGAAAATCATCTTTAACGTTGTCCATATTATGAAAAATATATATATATAAAAATAAATAAAAATTAAATAAATAAATATAGACATACATAGAGGAAAATTTACAAAATGTCTTCATGGAACATACTTAATACTCTGGTTTTGGCATCTCTCATATAGTCGTTGTAGGACTAATTAGAAAACAAAATGTCAAGTATGAATATTAACGTCATTACATGGCTTGTTTGATGCACGCCACACACATCCTGGCCAGGATCTCTATATTTGGTTTTGTTTTCCAGTTTGTAATAATTGCTTGATTTCCTGAACAAAATCACCAAACCAGTCATAAAGGTCAATTTTCATAAACTGAGATTATACAGCACCAAAAAAACACAATAAATTAGCTTTCCATCATCTATGACCAATTAGAATAGCTCAAAATGTAGAACAATCTGGAATCTGAGGGTTAAAAACACAAAATATTGAGAAAAATCACCTTTGAAGTTGTCTTAAGAAAATAATAATAATAATAATATTAAATACAAATAAAAATTACAAATTTTTTTTTTAAAATGAATAAAAAATTTAATAATTAAAAAAAAAATAAAACAATTAATAAAATCAAATTAATAAAAATAAAGTAAAATTAAAAATGTAAAAATAAAAAACAATTAAAAAATAAAACAAAAATATTTTTTAAATAAATAATAATAAAAACAACAAAATAAAATAAATAAAAAATTAATTAAAAAAATAAATAAAGAAGAAAATATAATTAAAATAAATAAATAATGATAATACAATACAATGAAAGTGTATAAAATAAAGTAAAAAAATTAAAGAAACAATATTATTTTTTTAAATCAATCAATAAAATAAATAAATAAATAAAAAGACAAAGACATTTATGGAGGGAAATACATGATAACACTAATGATTTCTGGCATAAAGTAAAAATAAAAACAATTTTAACTCCGATCAACAAAACGGTAAGAGTCTATTCCCATCTGTTGTTGTTTGTTTTAGTGACTAATTGATTAGACTGCATAGCTGCATCGGCTAAATAATAAAAACAGTTATATCCTATTCCTTTTTCAGCTGGTACAGTAAAAAAAACACTTAATATATTAAAAATATTCAATAAAATGACCAACAAATGGCATTTCAAATCCAAAAATAATAAAACTTACTCCATTAAGAAACACGTCTCTTCTAACACCAGAAAAGCGCCTGTAGGGAGACAATGTTAATATAACTTAATAAAGTAATAATGTACGTAATAAAGTTATGACACAAGCCCCATTTTTAAGTAAAAGACAACCAACCTGTCCACAGGTGGATTTCGGGGATCTTGCATAAAACCTGAACACACAGTAAATATGAGATTTTACCAGTGACAAAAAGCATAACACAATACCTCCAAAACAACTCAAAAAACATTAATGCTAACACTTATAACCAACCAAATATACCATCTTTAACCCTTCACAGAGCACTCACTGAAATACTCATTAGAGAGTTATGCTAAGACTATTATTAATCAACATCACTGAAGTTACCATACACGGTTCTTCACCCGATAAAGAGTTAAAACACAAGTAATTAATCCCAATTAATCTTTAGGTGTCCTTCATTCACAAAGCAGAGGATTGCGTATATTGACCTGGTCTTTGGGGGAATTCTGGGGTGTAATCAATCCTGGGCCGCTTCCGGTTGTGCATGTCATATTCCTCCGGTCGACGCCTACGTAAATCAGGTACATTAATGTGAAAGACGGCAAAAAGAGCAGAATAAAGCAGACATGAACCATGCAAACAGTAGCACTCATCAATCATTAGTGTGTATACAGGGTTACATACTTTAGCAGATTTCGTTCTCACCTCATAATTTGACATATTTCAGTTTGCATGACATGCTTTGAGTTTAATTAATAACATTGCCCAGTGATTACGTAAATACCTGAATTGCATGACACATGAAGTGAAACGTTTCTATGCAAGTGCTGTATGTACATTGACACAAATCTACCCTAGTGCTTTTGCATTAGATCCTATTGTCCAGCATGTGAAGTAATCTAGTGATGGCATTTGTGGCATAATGCTGATTAGGGCTGGGTCACGACTGATTAAATGATTATTTTTTGGATTGGAGTCGCGTAAATGATCTGGTTTAAAAACATAAATGGAAAAAAAAACGATGTTGAAATGCTGTTTAGAGAGTGTAAAAGCATACAAGAACGAGACTTGGCGTACTGAATTGATGTTTAAGGGACTTACAACTGTAAAGATTTTACCTTGACATCATAAAGCATGCAGAGCAGACATTTTAAAGCAGATAGGCATGAACAAATTAGTCACAATTGATGCTATTAAATCCGGCTTTTTACCTTCCTATTATTAAAATGTTCATTAGTAGTTATGAAGAATGATCTTATTCTACATCCCGAATACAACACAAAACCTAAACCCAACTACTGCCTTACTAACTAATACACCAGGGTTTCTACAGGTTTCATCAAGTCAAAATTAAGACTTTAAGACACTTTTAAGACCATAATGAATGAAATTTCAAGTTAAAACCTTTAAAATACCTTAATGTAATGTAAGGAGTATAATTAAACCATATTAATGAGTAAATAGTTAATGAATAAACCTTTCCTAAAACTTTTATTGAAGTATATTTTTGATGATTGGATGGGTGTTGGCACAATTGGGTATAGCTTTGAATGCAAATAGAAACAAAATTAAGACCCATTTAAAATTATTTAAGACCTAAAACACAATATTTCAGTGGATTTAAGACTTTGGTTTTTGAAATTTAAGACAATAAGAGATTTTAAGACCCTGCAGATCCCCGGCACACAGCTAATTAGTGGTTTATTCAGCTAGTACAGTTAGTTAATGTTTGTAAATATCATGAATTGTGTCCTAAAGTGTTATGAGAAATACAAAAATCAACACAATGCCACAAATACTGTTCCTAGAGCTTATCTTAAGCTGAAGCCAGAATAGGCTTTATTTGTTGTTGTTTTCCCTCAGTGTTCAATCCTGAGCAGAGCTCTACAGTTCAACATTTTCATTCATTCAAATGTGAAAACTGACCCGCACACCTGTGCATGAGAAAGGCGACCCCTATAAGCCGGTAACCTGACCATTTGGCTGCTTTTGCTTCAACAGTCAACAGAGAAATGACAAAACATTGCTAATCTGCAAGAATGCACTTTATATAATGTGTTATATACGCCAGGGCCTGATTAGATTTCCAAGATCACCAAAAATGTGCCTCCAAACCATGTCACGCTTGTTTGTGTTCAATGCCATTTTTCAGCTTCTGTAAAAGCTTGTAAACCCTTAAAATAATTGCATGAGCAATTCCAGCATTATGGATGCGACATTTGCAGTAAAAACTGAAAACATAAATGTTTAGAAGATACATGTTAACATTATATTGAAGCTTTTCTTTATACTTTCCAGAACAGCTGACCACAGAGATATGGGATCAGAAAAATATCAATCTGTAAACATGTTTTGTACTTTAAATGAGGAAACTAAACATGAGTTAAGGACGCGACAAAAGTCTGTGGGTTTACAGTATACAGCACACTCTGTAGATATTCTGTGAATTAAACTGCACAACCCAAAACAAATGATGCTAATCAAAAGGATGAGAGTCGGCTCTCTAAAAAACAAAAAGGATTGATTTTATTTAATATTTTCACATTTATACGTAAAAAAAAAAGGGAAAAAAAAGTGTCGTTATCGATGTGACATTTCTCCATTATTTATGTGACAGATGTGGAATTGTCACTTGTGTGACTTTGGTAAATCAGATAGAATAGTGTGAAAGCATTGACTGATGCATTGAGTATTTCTAAACTACTGTAAAATACTTGCTTGCACTAAAAACCCAGAAATGGTTTCTGTATTTTGGTAAAAACTTTTTTTTTCATGGCAAGGTTGACATGTCGATGAAATTGGTCAAATATAATTTTAGGCAATATGCTTTTCTTACCATGTTACCACCAAAATAGTTAGTAAAAAAAGCATATTGCAATTTTAAAAAACTTTTGCACTAAAAACTCAAACTGTGCTTAAAAATAATGTTAAAAAAACACTTCAAAATGATGAATAAGTTTCTCACTGTCTAGCTATTTTTAAAGTCCATTTGACTTTCACAGACATTGTTTAACTTGTTTAACATTGTACTTCATGAATTAAACTTTTATACTTTTAATAATGTGCTTTAGTCATTTTCATTAGTTAAATATATATATGGACAGTTTGGATGCAAAAACCTCAAACTAAATGCCGTTCTGTATTTTCTTCTAAAATGAGCATTTTTCTCAGCCTTACTAATATTACTTTTATAGTGACAAGCAAGTTCTTTTTATTGCCTTTAAAGTGAAATAACCAAACATAAACACAGGAGGCTGATAAAAATGCTAATTTTAGGAGAAAATTTCAGATGGCATTTAGAGGTTTTTGCATCTGAACGCTTTAAATATGTATATACAGTTTAAGTAAAAATTATTAGCCCCCCTGTTTATTGTTCCCCAATTTCTGTTTAACAGAGCAGATTTTTTCAACACATTTCTAAACATAATAGTTTTAATAACTCATCTCTAATCACTGATTTATTTTATCTTTGCCATGATGACAGCACATAATATTTGACTAGATATTTTCAAGACACTTTTATTCAGCTTAAAGTGACATTTAAAGGCTTAACTATGTTAATTAGGTCAACTAGTCAGGTTAGGGTAATCAGGCAAGTTATTGTATAAAGATGGTTTGTTTTGTAGACTATCGATAAACTGATTAGCCCAAAGAGGCTAATAATTTTGACCTTAAAATGGTTTTAAAAAGTAAATTCTAGCCAAAATAAAACAGTCTTTCTCCAGAAAAATAATATTATCAGACATACTGTGAACATTTCATTGCTCTGTTAAACATCATTTGAGAAATATAAAAAAAATAATAAAAAAAAGAGGCAAAAATTCAAAGGGGGGCTAATAATTCTGACTTCAACTATGTTTGTACGTATATATATGTACGTATATGTATATATATATATATATATATATATATATATATATATATATATATATATATATAGAAACACACACACATATTGCCTATAATATGTTTAAGTTAATTTCAATGTGAACTCATTTCTTATTTCTCTGTTGACCTCAAAAAATAAAACATAACATACAATCAACCTATTATAAACGTCTTTGAAAGTTTGAGTAAAACATTTTTCACATTTGCGATTGATCAATTTAAAACAAGCATTGTAATATTTCATTATTATTACAAACTATACTTGTATATCGGTCAAAGCTGCAATTTAATAATTAATATAGACTATCAAGTATGTTTGCATGCGCTCTCTCTCTCTCTCTCTCTCTCACACACACACAACCATAGAGCCCTGCTCAGAATTGGATAACTGTCTAGCTGTCCTAATAAATAAACACTCCTCAATTGTGTCATGGTGGACACTTCTGACGTGTCTTGCAATACTACACTAACATAAATCACAAATCTATTAAATAAACAAGTGCCCTTAGTGAAAATATCATTGTAAACCAAAGGTAAGAAACCCAATGTGTGAAGAAAAACAAAACAGTATCTATAGTAGAGAACAGTAAGATCTGGTTGAGAGTGTGACATACCGCATTCTTGTAGTTTTGTGACTGCTAACGTTGGCAAATACTTTAAAGAGTAAAAGTTCATATAAAAGTCCATCTTATGCTTTTAACACTTTTGTTTTTAAATGGGTGGGCTCGGTAAAGCAGAAGAAGGGGGGAGTGATAAGGAGTGGTGCAGTCCATTGCAAAGCAAACCAAAAACGGACCAAGAGAAGATCCAGACCTCTGGAAATAACCCTTCTCTTGGGGTACTCAGTCCATGGAGGGCTCAGAGAAACACAGAAGAAGGGAAGGGTGGAGGCATCATTTTTACACCAGCTTTAGTCCAAACCGCCTACCTACCACCAGCAGGAGCATCCCAGCGATTGAGCAAGGGGCTTTTCTCGTAAGATAGAGGGTGGGGAAAGGGAAGGGACCGTGTAAACACTGTAATGCATCCCAATTGGAGTCCATCAGTTGGGGCAATGCAAAAAAAACAAGCATGAGTCCTTTTTTTTGAGGGCCAACAACAGAGTTCATGTAAAGCAGTGCTCTATAGGGACAGTCCCTGGTGCGATCTGAGTCCATTAGCACTGCAAACGGGACGGCTAACCCCTCCGGCAGCACCGCAGAAGAATTTATTTACTTTCCTCCTTCCCTCCCTGTCTTTCCCTCTCTGTTTTCATGCCGTTTTGACGCTACACCCCAATGCACACTTCAATCACTATCTACATCCTCAAGCACATTTTTTTTCTCTGCAAAGAAGTCCCAAAACACGCTCCTCTTGAACGCTCTTTTTAAACCAACGACTGCTTTCTGCCCCTCAAAATCGACGTGCCATCGTCTTCTGTTTAATTATAAAGGCTCCTTTTAAAAAGAGTCCCAAATTTGACTGGCTCTATCCCCCACGGACACTCCTGCAAGAAAAGGCTTTGGGAACAAATTTAAACAGTCTCATCTATGGAAAGACTACACAACCATTTCTGAGGCTTAAGTTGTTAGCATTTAACATGTATATATGTATAAAGATATCAAATGACACCATTTCAACTCCCGTTATTATCAACCATGAATATTATTAGCAACGGATGATTTACGCAGTGACTTTTTTTTTTTTTTTCCCCACAAAAAAAAAGCGCCGCAGCCTGTCCCGGTCTGCTCTGGTGGGCTTGGCTCGTGGTGCTCTTCTCTGACCCTCTCTGATGAAGGCGAAGGTGGAAAAACAACCGAAAACACACACTTGCTCCCTTGGCATCAGGTGACAGGGACACAAGTGCGCACTAGCAGTCCAAAGAACATTTCTAACCTTCCCATGTCCCGAGGGACGGGCTCTCTGTGGGGCAGTCGGCCCCGAGATCGAGGCTCTGAGTGCATCCTCCTCTTGTGGCGCATTTTGTGAATGACCTGATACAAATCAATGCTCTCGTCGTGGGGGAAGAGCATGCAGAGCTCCGTCCCGCACTCTGGTTCAATCTCCTGCAGACGGCCGTTCGCAGACGTCCCACACAATCACATGGCACAGAGAAGAAGACAAAAAAAGGAGAAAATTAGTGTTTGAACAATCAGTATGACTTGCACATTATATATCGTTTTAGCATCGATATCGCAATGTGCAAATCTGCAGTAGTCACATCACAAAATCTGCAATGTCATATTGAGATTAAAATAACATTACTAAAGGTAATGATGGTTTGAAAGACCTGTGATTAAGATCATTTAAACCAGTGGTCCCGAACCACCAGGTCGCAGACCGGTACCAGTCCATGGAACAATTAGTACCGGGCCACATAAGAAATCAAATTATTTCTGTAGAAAATATTCCCCCGGCAACTTGGTTTCTTCCACCCACCCCCGCCATCTCACATGAAATGGACTATGCCAAAATCCACCACGCAGCGGGAAGAACTCTCGCTAGAATATAGCTCAGTGGATGTTGTTGATAAAGTTATAAAACAGGTATCATAGAGTCCAAATCAGCAGAGCATTTAAGGATTGTGCATATATGTGTGCGTGCCTTGCTTAGTAAGTACCCGAAATCATTGCAATATGTATCTATATGGAGTTTCACATAATAATACTCATTGAGGGCCTACTCACACTATGCCATCCGTACCGTGCCCAGGCCCGTTTCCCGGATCATTTGAGAAGTGTGAGTGCGCTGAATCGGGCGCAGTTCACTTGGGCTTTGGCGCTGTACACTTGTGTGTGAGTGCAAAAGGCGCCAAAGCCCGAAACTGAAAGCAAGACGTGACTTTTAAGGGGCTGTTTCATATGGACTTATTAATCATTCTTACTGTTCAGTGAACACAAACTGCCGTAGTTTATTAAAGACGAGAACTCCTCACTTCACGACAGCTGCACGCCTTCAGCAGACCTCTTCATTCCTGCAGCACGAGGGCTTTATGATTGTTTATGAGCACCAAAAGTGGCGGATCTGTTTGGCGAAATATCTGACTGTGTGTCATGGCAACCTTAAGGACTGTTTGGCGAAATATCTGACTGCATGTCACTGCATATCAAACGACTGAAACAATATAACTAGAGAAATCTCCTCTGTGCTGCTGAGTGAGAGTGCTTCTTACTGAACAGCGCAGCAGCGATGACGCAACCCGATATGGTGTGAGTGCGGGCCGTCGGTGGAGACGGAGGGGGGACAAGCGTGCTTAGGCCCAGTTTGAGGCAACTGTACCTAGTGTGAGTACGGCCTAAGGCTGTAACATGCCAATGCATACATTTAATTCGGCTATACGCTTGTATTATTGTTAATATGTTCGTCAGTTTAAATGTTTGGCACAGATGTTATGTATTTGATGCATACAAACCTTGATTGAAACATAATCAGACCGCGATAGTACAACTAGCGCATGCGCACCGAGTTGTTCATGATTAACCTGGATGCACGAGCGCAGCAGACCTCAAAGTGAAAACTGCAAACACACTGAAAAGTTTGCATCTCCATAAATCTAATCTTCATGGCATCTTCTTCGCACAAGAACGCCCTCTGGCCTTCGGTTTATTTATTTCTGATCGCAAAACCGTGCTTTTCTGACAAGATGTGCATGTCGATCACAACTTTGCAATTTAATTATTATTAAATCACGCTAATTGTCCCACTGAATGTGACAGTTACACCCCTGGGTTATGGAAGGAGTTTAAACAGCTAACCTGTCCGTCACGTCCGATCTTCACAGGCTTGTGCTCATTCCATGGGTTAGCAAGATGAGCCGTTTTGGTGAAAGGTAATTCCCGCCTTCAAGCAGAATGAAAACAAACCTCAAAAAATCAATAACAGTAAACAACAAACAAAAGCCAGACGTGAACGCGCTCTTGATTTTATACCTGCAAATCCAGTCAATTTTAAAGACCCCTCCAAGCATCTTGGCATTCATGCCTGCAGGCAAAACCCAGTGTATGGGAGATCCTCCATGATGAGACTCTGAGGACAGCCGTGCAAAACCTGAAACATAAACACAAATGAGTACATGAACATAAATCAAGCCATGTGAAATTAATTCACATTTATTCAGTGAAAAGATAAAGTCAATGCATATATATATATAGAATAATAACTAAAAATGTGGACATGAATTCAAGTTTGGCAAGTGGATCTTAATAAAATCAATACATAGTAAAATGCCATAGTCATTACAGAACATAGGTCTCAAACTGGATTCCTGGAGGGCCGCAACTCTGCAGTTTTGCTCCAACCCTTATCAAACACAGCTAATCCAACTAATAAAGATGTTCAAGACCACTAGATACTATTAAGCAGGTGTGAGTTGGAGGTGGTTGAACTAATTTATGCAGAGCTCCGGCTCTCCAGGACTTGAGTTTGAGAATATTTGTTACAAAGTCTAAGCTAAAGGCACAATATGTAAGATGTTTTCATTAAAATATCCCAAAACTACTAAAACAGTGTTATATATTTAGTTGACTTGTGTACTTTATCAAGTCCCAATGACGATAAAGAGCTCAACAGTCATGACATCATCAAACTACGCCTTTGTTTGTGAATACACACCCTCTAGTGGTGAAAATGACATACTGTTGCATGTTTTTCTTTTTTAACGTACCTTGAAATTTCCCACTCTCCCTGACTGAAAAAATGAGCACAACACTTCGAGCAGCGCGAAAAGCAGCATTGAGTTTTTTCTCGTTGACAGGCAGAGTGGACCACACGCCCTGCGGAGAGATAAATATGCCAGATTAATAAAGTAAAGCTTCCATTAAATGCAAGTTTGTTCAAACTCTACACACCTTCGCTTTAGCCAGGGAAACGTTCTCATGATTGTTGCTCTTAATGAGAAAAAACCTGGCCTCTCTCAAGATGTGCTTCAGCTTGTTGATCCGATCTTTAAAAAACAAAGACATTACAAAAACAATGCATTTCAAAACTGAATAAAATTTGATCAGATTCTAAACTCTAATCAGATTTATTTTGCTTATTTCTAAATCATAATTTCCAATTTATACCATCTTGGGCCTGGTCTACATATTTTACTCAATTTTGAGGCCAGCGATGTTAAATCTTGAGATGCAGCGTGGGGAAAAAAAACATGTCGGTACATTCAAATGGTTCATAAATTGGAAAGAAATACCTCATTTCAAACTAAATATCCTGAAAAGTTTTTTAGTAAATTAATTGTCATCACATAAGTCCAGTCCAAAGACATGTGGTACAGGTAAATTGGGTAGGCTAAATTTTCCGTAGTGTATGAGTGTGAATGAGTGTGTGTGGATGTTTCCCAGAGATGGGTTGCAGCTGGAAGGGCATCCACTGCATAAAAACATGCTGGATAAGTTGGCGGTTCATTCCGCTGTGGCGACCGCGGATTAATAAAGGGACTAAGCCGAAAAGAAAATGAATGATTGTTAGTATTGGTCTCTTTTTCTTGAAGCGTACAGTGGTTCCTGTAGGATTTTTTCCAGCTTTTACACAGATCAACCAACTACCAATGGCGTTATTTTAATACAAATGTCATGAACGCAATACTACAAGCCGAGATCGGATTTAAGTAATATGAGCATGTCAATCTCTTTGCTTGTGTGCTGATTTCCTCTGTTTTTGCACATCCTCAAATATACGCTGCTTAAATGCAGATCTTCTTGTGCGCTCTCAAATAAACGCTGCTGAAGTGCGATTTAGGGCATTTATGTACGAGTATGTCTCCAACATTCATTAGATTTGCTAGGAATATTTATGAATGTCTCATATAGACCTAGAGAGCGGCATTGGTGTGTCCTGAAGTAAAGTGAAACGGCTATAAACTCCAGCAAGATAAAGTCATTGTGTGCAGAAATACAGACCTTTATCTATAAATAATGTATAATCATGGAAACTGTGTTCATCTTAACTCTGGGGTGTCCAAACTTTTTGGGCCGAGGGCCAGATGCAAAAAAACAAACGTTGTCGCGGGCCAAATTTTATATACATCACACAGACACACATATACATATATATATATATATATATATATATATATATATATATATACAGTTGAAGTCAGATTTGTTAGCCCCCCTAAATTATTAGCCCCCGTTTATTTTTTCCCCAATTTCTGTTTAACGGAGAGAAGATTTTTTTCCACACATTTCTAAACATATTAGTTTTAGTAACTAATTTCTAATAACTGATTTATTTTATCTTTGCCATGATGACAGTAAATAATATTTGACAAGATATTTTTAAGACACTTCTATACAGCTTAAAGTGACATTTAAAGGCTTAACTAGGTTAAGCAAGTTAACTTGTTAAGTTAAGGTAATTAGGCAAGTTATTTTATAACAATGGTTTGTTCTAAAGACTTAATGGGCTAATAATTTTGACCTGAAAATGGTTCATAAAAAAAATTTAAGCCGCTTTTTATTCTAGCCGAAATAAAACAAAAGTCTTTCTCCAAAAGAAAAAAAATATTATCAGACATACTGTAAAAATGTCCTTGCTCTGTTAAACATCATTTGGGAATTATTTAAAAAAGAAGAAATAAATCAAAGAGGGGCTAATAATTCAGACTTCAACTGTGTGTAGATAGATAGATAGATAGATAGATAGATAGATAGATAGATAGATAGATAGATAGATAGATAGATAGATAGATAGATAGATAGATAGATAGATAGATAGATAGATAGACAGACAGACAGACATACCGACAGACAGACAGGCAGACAGACAGGCAGATAGATAGATAGATCATAACAAGAACTGCTGCTTAATTGAATGCATGTAATAGCGACACCCGGTGGTTATTTTTTGAATTACGTTTATTTTTGTATAGCGGGCCAGATTCTATTGATATTTATAAAAAGCCTCGCGGGCCGCCAAAAAACTGATTGCGGGCCGCAGATGGCCCGCGGGCCGTAGTTTGGACATGCCTGTCTTAACTGAAAGCTACGTCGTGTTTGCTGGCCTCACACAGTCCTGTCAGTCAGTATGTAACCTTAAAGGGTTAAGCAAATAACGCACAGCACTACTATGGTTACAGCAAAGTTCATATTTAAATATGTTTTGGTGCGATTATAACCCACTATAAATAAACAAAAAAAAGCAACTGACTGAATGTTTGAATGAGAAGCTCTAATGTAGTGTGGCGCCCGGCCATGGAAGAATGAATGTAGCAGAAACCATGCGTACACATCATATGTCTCTGTGTGAACATTTAGCAATGCATATGATGTATGAGTGTTAATACATTTTCAGATGTGAGTGTGAAGTTCTTACCCTTCCTCACATCTCTGACAGACGAGGACAGTTTTTCATGTTTCTTTTCAGAACCTAAAAGTCAGAAACACACCACACGTTGACATTCAGAAGTGTTTAAGGGGCTGTTCACATATTGAGCGTGCAATGGGACGATAATCAGTTTCTAAGCAGACTCTTCGTTAGCTCATACCTGACGCGTCTGAGCCTGATGCTGAATGCACAGACTCTTCATCTGAGAACGACACCGACTCAGAGCGGGAGTCACTGGCCTCACTGCGAGTGTCATAGTCATTCTGTTCATTTCCCTCACGAGCGTCCTCCTCCTCCAGCACATACTCTTCCTCTTCATCATCGTCGTCATCTCCCTCTTCTTCTTCCTCCTCTTCCTCCTCTCCTTCCTTCTCTTCTCCTTCCTCCGGCATGGCTCCTTCCTCTTCAACGTCTGAGCAGTTTCCTTCTGACGAAGCCACGGAGCTGCCGGTGGCATATTCTTCTGAATGAGCCTCCTCTTCCCTGGAGGATCGACTTGCTCTGCCTGCACTCTCCTCACTGGTTCTCCGCATCTTCTGGAAATAACATAAGCGCATGCATTACACTACATACTTTAGTAGCGTACATGTTTAAAGGTCCAGTGAAGTGCTTTGAAATGCGCTTTATTTAATTTGATGTTCGACTTAATGAAGAGAGAGTGGGACAGAGTAGCTCCTCCTAGAGCTGTAATCGGGCCATAAAAATTAGTCCCGATTAGGGTTGTAACGGTATGAATTTTTCACGGTATGATAATCGTCTAAAACAATACCACGGTTTGACGGTTTCGCGGTATACGGTATGTTACAAATGTTACAAAATAATAGAACAGTGAAGCAAATTTGACTTTTTCCAAATAATATATTTTTAGTTACTATAAACAACACCACTTACAATGAACAAATAAAAATAAGAAAATAATAAATAATGTGTCAAAGTCCAAATAAAGTCCAAATAAACATGGTGCAAATCCTCAGTAAAAAATAGATATAAATATTTACTATACTATAAATAGTTACATAACGAAACTAGATTCAATATGGAACATCCTTAGGGTTTATGTGCCAGCATGGATATGGTTGTCTGTGGATATGGATTTGGATATGGTTGTCTGCAATGCAGACAAACAGCTGCACCTTCATTTGCGTCTTTTGAAAACAGCAAGAGCAGCAGTTCGTCTTTGCTGTGTCACTGTTTTGTCATGTTTCTGTGCTGCTGTGCATGCAAAAGTACTTAGTATGAGAATTATTTCATGCAAAACATTTTTTTTTTGCGTTTTATTTAGCCGTGCATAAATGTATGCCTATCTCTCATTCCGTGTTGTTCAAAAAGCTTGGTCCACAAACAAAAGCGAAACCTATGCTTATTGGTTGTGATATAGCGAGTTTGAACCAATCTGGGCATGGAGGAGGGATAATGCATCAATGTATCATGTCTGATTTGTCCGGAGACACAGTGACGAGCGTTTCTTTGTCAAATCAGCGTTGTCAAATGTTGATGACGTAACCGCACTGATTCCGGAGCTTCTGAAAGTCCGCGAATGTTATGTGATACAGCACTGGAAAGCTGAGATTCTCTTCTTTATGCCAATCTTTGAATTGTATGAATCAGATCAGCGGATCAAAAGTTATTAAACATTTAAGAGCAATACTTATTTTTAGCCGCGGGCGGCTGTCTCGGTCTTTAAGGGTTAAAACCGTTGATATGCAATTGTTCATGGTATGATAATCGTGCACGTTCAAATCGTGGTAAACCGTCATACCGGTATATTGTTACAACCCTAGTCCCGATAGGGCCCAAGCCCAACAGAATTCGGTCCAAGCCCAACAAGTACATTTTGATTGACAGCTTTTAAAAGCCCAAACCCGTTTATAGCTAGACATTATTCAAATGTGCACATGCACACAGCTCTTTTGCCTTTTTTCAAGAAGGAGTTATTTTTATGTTTTAACAATTTAAGCCTGGTTTTGCTTCTGCGTCAAGTGACTGGCTTAACCAACGGCGCATGCAACACGCGTAGCTGTGCATTTATACTTCTGCGCGCTGTTTCTGTTGGTCTGCATTAACACTTCTAACGCTAGTTGGCAGTGAAGTGTTAATAGCCCCTTACACACAGTGGTACCAGTAAATATCTGGAAAATTTCCGGAACGACTTTACTGGTAAATACAAAAAAGCGCTGTTCACACAGGCGAGGACGTTACGGAATTTTTACGGAAAAAGAGCATTCACACATCCATTCCAAAATACTGGTAAATTCTGACATCATTCACCACAAATGAGCTTTAAACGGCTGCGCTTGTGTTTGTAAACATTTGACTACATCACAAACTCTGTGGATGATCAGTATTGTGAACAACTTCGATGAAAACATATAGAGAAACACTTTCGCATGTCGAGATGTACATGATATGTGTGTGCTGGCGCTCATGGGCTGTTTCACAGGCACACGCAAAGCTTGAAGGTGAACAAACAACGGCTTATCATAAGCATCTTATCGATAATTATTTACACAGTTGGCATTAAGATGAACATATAAACGTGATCTGACTAACATCTAGCAGCTAAATGTGTCTGGAAAAATTTTCAAAGGCTTTTATTCTCATAAACCGCGCGGATGTGAATACGCCTGACTGTTCTGATTGGCTAAAGCAGACGTCTCACGTCAGCAAGTTCTAGACGAGCACGCGCTTTTTCCGGCAATCATCCTTCTGCATTAAAAATTAAATCAGCCTTTATTCGTAACAAACATAGGCTATAGGCGACTTGGAAGTTAAAACAAAAAAATATATATATATTCTTTGTAACATCGTAACATCTCAGCACTCTAAATAGATGCACACTTAGCCTTTAAATTGGCCAACACGCCAATAACCAATAACGAAATTAAGATAAAGGCTCTGCGAGATTTGTTTCGCCACTTCTCTTTACATTCTGACCTTAAGTCGACGGTGAAGCTGAACAATTAAAAGAATAATGCCAACATTAGCCTGTATATTCTGACTACATTACAATTTTATGATTAAATTAATATTTATTTATAAATTTAAAAACCCATTACTCACCAAGATTAGGCTACGTGCTTTTGTGGAGGAACCGTTCTTTTTGAACTGACGGCTAGCCTGACCGCAGTGAAAATTCAGTCTTTTTGACTTCTCCGTCATCATTTGTTTCACCTTTGCAGGGAGGGATTTTAATGTTGTAACAAACAATTTGATTACTTTCTCGCGCTCATCGTAATGCATCACATGACTGTTCATTTACAGCGTAAGCCAAGCCCAGCCTGACCCTGTCTAAAATGATAGAAATTAAACCCGAACCAGTCAGGTCCCGTTGGATCCCATCGGGTTCGGGTAAAGATCTTCAGCTCTAGCTCCTCCCCTTTTAAAAAAACAGCCTATAGCGTTTTGTTTTTATTGTAGCTCTGCCAGTGAGAGTGGTTATGCTAAAGCACATCAAATGAAAAGCAAATGAGAAGAAGGGGTGGGGCATGTCACACTAGGGAGCATTTGATAGGTCAGAAGATTTGATGAGAAACTGAAGTATGAGGTGACGTGAAAAAAATTGGTGATTGCTTTAGGCGGAAGTGACAAACTGTAAGCTTTAGGTGTTTATATCAGTTTTATATTTTGACACTGTTTTGGAGCACACTTGCTTATAGACATCTTAAAACTAACAGACTGAAACTAACAACATTGTACTTTAATTTCACAGGACCATGAATTGCTTTGAACATTTTTAAAAGCGTCTAGGGGTAGTTCACACAAAACTGAAAATTTATTTATTCTCCCTAATTTGTGTTAAACTTTAATAATTTTATCTGTTTAACATAAAAACGATATTTTGAAGAATGCTGGTTGCTGCAACCCATTGACTTCCATAAAAGGCAAAAAAAATTCTGTGGAAGTCAATGGGTGTGAGCATTTATGCTTCAATACACTTGTGTTGAACAGAGGAAAGAAAATCAAACAGGTTTTAAGCAAGTGAAGAGTTTCTATTTATGGGTGAACTATCCAGGTGTTTCAGAGTACTGGGTTGAGGTTGGAAGGGCATCCGCTGCATGCGTAAAACATGCTGGATTAGTTAGTGGTTCATTCCACCGTGTCGACCCCTGATTAATAAGGCAGTAAAGCTACTTTTCTTGGACAACTACTGTTAATAAACTGAACAAAAAATAAACCAAATTCCAAAAAAGCATGCACATCACTTTAAATGGGTGCTCGGCCAAACAGCAAAAACTGCAAAAATATATTTAAAAGGCTCCAAAAAAATGCCAATTTATTTAATTAATATGACTGAAGCAAAGCGTATAACAATTCAAGCACACCGGCTCTTCATCAGACAGTCTGTGCTTGAAACGTTACATGCTTTGTGTCAGCCTTTTTAATTTAATAAATTGCCATTTTTGGAGCGCTGTTGTTGCTGCCTTTTTAAACATCTTTGCAAAAAATAAACTACACAATGATTTTAATAAGCACACATTGGTTGACCAAAAAACTTAAAAAATTTGCACCATGGTACTGTGTTCTAGCAGAAAATTGTGCTAAATGGATTAGAAACGGGGGCTTGCTTTTTACTTTAATCAGCTAAAATCAGATTCTGATAATAAATCTGATTCTGACAATAAACCTCATCCGAAACTGATTGGTACATATGTGTTATAAATATAATTCTGTATCCAGCCCTACACCTTAACACAACCACATAAAAAAACAAATCTGTTCATCTTAAAACAATTTATTCAAGCACTTTTGTCGATTATATTTTTTCTCTTGGACTACAAATTCTGTCCCGAGTATTTAAGCTGGTACTGGCAACCCTAACAAATTAGGATTTTGTTTGCATCCATTCTGAACTACAAAACATTTCCAAACAGCTTGCTCAAGTATAAATCTTTTATTTGGCATTAGAAATCGCACAATCCATCTGCATTTGTATTTGTCATTCTGTTATTTGCACTGCTTGTTTGCATTAGAAATCATTAAAAGGATCTTTAATTTGCACAGTTAGCAGATCACTGGCAACTTCACACTCACGTCTGTGCTTTAATGGGATTGCACTCTAATTTGCCCTATTTAGGCCCCGTTTACACTAGTGCGTTTTAGTTTTAAAACGGCGTTTTAGAATGAAAACGATCCGCATCCACACTCGCGTTTTACCCAGCGTTTCTGAACTGCTCTCCGTCCACACCAAAACGCTGAAAACGGACATCACGTGACCACACACACACACTTTGGCAATCGCTGGAGCCCATCTACCCAGATGAGAGCTCTGCTAGTCGGACTTCTCATCAAGCATCTCCCGCTGGATCTAATCTCACTATATTTATTAAACGGGATATTTCATTCATCTTGTTGTCTTTATCTAACGACATATTCCCTGACTTTGGTCATTGGAATCTATTACTTGTTCTCAGGTAACGTGTTTTGGCTGAGCGCAAAGATAAGTTAATGATTAATGTAACCACGTACATTCTGTATATTGACTGATCGCTTGCCTTTATTTCCTATAATGTATAAACTTATTGTATGTTATACTTTTATAATGGCCATTATCGATTATTAAAACTGATATTCAGCAAAAGAGAGGGTATGTTTCGTATTTTCACTGAAATTGAAAGGAGGCAGTTGTTATCGGCTCCGTTTTGTTATAAATATCCACACAGTGAAGATGACGCTCATATATGCGGCACGGCGCCTCAACATTTCTGCTGTCTGTTTAGTTGTTAATATTAAAATAAAAATAGGCAGTTCCTTAAATCATGTTTACATTTTATTGTTGAGAAAGTGAAACAACGTAGCCAGGGTGACGTGAATGAAGTTATAAAGTACACTGTTCCCTTTGAAGATTGACGTGTGTCCTCTGTATGTTTTCCATATCAAACTGAGAAGAAGAGATGCAGCCTTGATCAAACTTGCGAAGTCTGAACTTACACGGAGAAGATTCAGGACTGAACTGTGTGTTAGGCTACTTAATATTGAGGAAAAGCCCCAATCAGAGAGGCGAATGTCTGCAGCCCCGCCTCCGTTTTCAGATGTCTCCGTTTTCCATCATCCACACTGAGACGGAGCAGCAGCGTTTCAGAATGAAAACGGCCTCTCCAGCGTTTTCGAAACGCTCCGTTTTCGGCGCTCGAGAACTCCGGCGTAGTGTGGACGGATTGCGTAACCGTAGCAAAACTTATACGTTTTCAAACTAAAACGCATTAGTGTAAACGGGGCCTTAGTAAACCTGGGTCAAACTTTCCATGTTTGCTAACAGCTACCATTGCACTGTGAATGCATCACAATCAGTATCACAAGAAGATATTGCTGTGAACAAACAATAAGTGTTTGCGTTGGCTGAAACGCATAGACTTGCGTGAAGATGTACATCAAAACAAAGATACCAATGAAAGATTTATGGAGATATTGATGATTTATGTTACCAATAAAATATATTTGAATCGTTTGTCAATAGAATCATGCATTAATCCATACTGATGCATCATTAAAACCAAATGGCGTTAGTTAATTTAGTTTCTTCCCCTATGGCAGGGACGTCGAACTCTATTCCTGGGGGGCCGCAGCTCTGCACAGTTTAGTTCCAACCCTGATTAAACACACCTGATCAAACTAATTAAGGGCTTCAGGCTTGTTTGAAACCTACAGGTAAGTGTGTTGGAGCAGGGTTGGAACTAAACTGTGCAGGGCTGCGGCCCTCCAGGAATTGAGTTTGACATATCTGCCCTATGGGAATAGTTAAAGGGGTAGTTCACCCAAAAATGAACATTTACTCACTGGTTGTTAACTCAATCGTGAGTAAACCATTAAACCCTAAAGTGTTTCCAATCTTAATTAGCTTACTTTTTCTATTGAACACAAAAGATGATATTTTGAAGAATGTTGGAAAGTGAAAGCCATTGACAATCAACAGTAGGAACAAAAACTCTATGAAAGTCTATTGTTGCTGCCTCCCATCACAGAAAAAAGAAACTCAAACAATTCTGAAACAAGTAGAGAATGTATGGGTGCACAATATCTATTGTCTTACCTCTGTCAGCTCAGGCATCAATGGTTTGATCCGTCTCTGTGAGTCTCTGCTGCTGGACAGGCCTTTTTCACCATATCCTTTCGACAGATCAGCCCGAGACGCACCTCCTCTTCCAGAATGGTTCTTTCTGTCATCATATAGATCTTCTGGTGCGTGTCTTCCTCTGGGATTGCTGGTCTTTTTACCGTTTGACCCAGAAGAAGGAGCAGCTCTTTTCATTGGTTGTCTGGTGTTGTGTCCTGAAGCTCGCAGGCGCTTCGCATCCTGAGCATCCCCTCGATCGTGCTTCCTTTTAGACCCTGAGACGTTAAAGTAAACAACCGGTTAATGTGGAAACACTTTTCTCCAGAAAATGGATTTTTACTAGACACAGAAAAATTCTTTAAAGGGACACTCAACTAATCTGGAAATAAGCTCATGTTATAAGTCGCAGAGTTAAACAGCTGTTTGTTATGAGTTTTCAATGCATTCAGATGATCGCCGGCTGGTGCACTTTTAGCTTAGCTTAGCATAGATCATTGAATCGGATTAGACCATTAGCATCTCACTCACTCAAAAAAAAAAAAAAAACAGTTCAGATAATTTTCTTATGTAAAGCTCGACTCTTCTGTAGTTAAATTGTGTACCAAGACTGACAGTAAATTAAGAGTCGCTATTTTCTAGGCTGATATGGCCTAAATTTAGATTCATACTTAATAATCAAGAAACTGCTGCTGTACCATGGCTGCAGCAGGAGCAATGATTTACACAGAGCCGGATTTCTTCATAATATGCATATTTTTGTTAATATTTTAGCTTTGTGTTATCAGACAATGTAAAAATATATACATATAACATGTATAAAAATATATAAAATATAACATGCGCTTATAAATGAGCTTAAATAAGTTTCAAGCTAATTATAAATAGATTTATTTTTCTGTAAAAAAAATGCAATATATAAAGGCAATTGTGAGTGCATTTGATCAGCAAAGCCGGTTCTGTAATCAGTAGTAAATCTCAAGCAACTGTTTTCAAATATGCAAATATCACATGCATAATTGCAGATAACTTAATTGGGGGAATCTGTTCATGTCCGCCATTCCAAGTCTATACAAAATTAAGCATTTCAACCAACAGTGGACCTACACATAGGCCTAATATTATTATTATTGTCGTATAAGAAATAAAACTAATAATAGCCTACTCATGTTAACCTTTATTTAACATCTACAGAATCCTGATCTTGATTTTAGGCCAGATGAATCGTGATTCTCATTTAAGCCAGTATCGTGCAGCCCTTTATTACATGATAGTTTGCCAAAACTTGATGCAGTGAAGAAAACCTGGTTAAGGGTTTAAAGTGCTGTACCTTTTTTCTCGTTAACATCATGTTCACTTTCAGGATTGTAGAGCTCGTCGTCCTGGTCAGGAGCATCAGTCAAAATGTCTTCCAGCACATTGAGTTCCCCGTCTGGAGATGGAAGCACACCAAAACATTGCATTTTAGATACTGACACAATACACAGCGGGATATACTGTGTTTTTACACACGTGCTGTGTATTATAAAACTTCGAATCGATGTAAACAACATGCAAATGCTATGATTCTTCTCTAGTAGAAAATCATCCATTGTTGTTGTGCTTCAAATCCTGGTGAGGTTACATAATGTGCTTTATATAAGATCTAAACTTGAAATACATCTCTTATACACACAAATAAAATAAATAGAAATATCACTTGACGTTTATAAAAACAAAATAATGACATTTCTCAAGTAAATAGATTAATATAAACAAATAACCTCCATGAAAACATGCGTTAGCATCATGCTAAGCTAACTACTTATCGACGGTATGCAAAACATTAACAATAACGTTACATATTTTTAAAAACAACGTGAATGACTTTTTGAAAGCTTGGTTAATGAGTAATGGCTAATTATTTATTTTATAACCAAACAAAATCCTTTGTTAGTGAATCTGTGGACACAAATGTGATCGTTTACCTTTCTCGTCTCTCCTGTCGACGGACATCTTGAGCCCCGCGTGGATTTAACACACTTTAAAGGCCCTCCTCTCGCTTTCTCTCTCTCTCACTTTGTTCTTAATAACACTATTTATTAATAGTTATGTCTGAAAATCTTACAGAGCACTAAATGTTTGGTGGTCACGGTGTATTCGTCTGCTTCAAAATGGCGGATTGCCTTTCTCCCGCATGAGGGTTGCCAAATACTCAGAGGAAATCACACGCCTTTGTTATTGACCACACGCTTCGGACAAATAACTCATGTCTGAATAGTTTCTTTGTCACTTATTGTAGCCACATGTCAAATGTAAATAAACATGGACTTTAAAAAAATATAATTCTAGATCACTGGATAATAATTTGTACGTATACAATATTAATTTAAATGTGTGAAACTTATAAAATCACCACATCCAATCGAAGCCTGTCCCGTTTGTGACGTCATTTCTCCCTAAAAAGTTTAACGACAGTTTTTGATGCACTTATTATTGTTAACAAAAACACAGCAACGTGTTGTAATGTGATACTTAGCTGGCCACATCCAAATCACTGTTTTCCCACAATATTTATGTTGTGGTGCTTTGAAAAAATATGTAGATTTAAAATAATAGATGTGTTTTACTTGTCACTTTTGATCAATATCAGAGATGGCAAAAGTACACAAATCCTTAAGTAGAAGTACAGATACTCATGTTTACAACGGCTCCAGTTAACTGACTACACTTTTGTACTCAAGTAAAAGTAAATAAGTATGGCCTCAAAAATGTACTTGAAAGTACCCATTACTACAACACATTTTATATTTACTAGGTGGGTAAATATCCGGTCTCCCACATTTGATTGTTTTAGTACTAAAAATCTTTCCACAAAAAACAAAACACTTTTTTTTCACGGTATTAGATTGAAAGATCAGAGAGATTCTTGCAGTATGATCGTACGTAAACAAAAGACTGTTTACCTCAAGCATATGTATGGCATATTTTTGATCTGGAATGTGTCTCTCTTGTTTACCTGTGGTCTGATCGAGCAAAATGTCTCTAATAACCGAGTAAACAGGGCAACATCAGTCATGTTAAATTCACCGTCTCCCTCTGTAGTCATCCTTGCCTTTCTCAGAGTAATCGTCATAAACTTGCCTACATACGGCATGCGATAGCCTTGGTTGAAAAAGCCACACACTGCAGCACGCAGGCACAAAATATAGACAGACTGCATCAAAAAGGCACTCAAATTGCGCAATGACAAGACATAATATAGATTGCGCCGCCAAACACAGGAAAATGAAAGTAACAAGCCTGATTTGAAAATGTAAGGAATAGAAAGTACAGATGTTTATGTAAAAATGTGAGGAGTAAAAGTTAAAAGTTGTCAGAAAAACTAGTAGTGGACTAAAGTACTTTATTCATTCATTTTATTGTCGGCTTAGTCCCTTTAGTAATCCGGGGTCGCCACAGTGGAATGAACCGCCAACTTATCCAGCAAGTTTTTACGCAGCGGATGCCCTTCCAGCCGCAATCCATCTCTGGGAATCATCCACACACATTCACACACACACTCATACACTACGGACAATTTAGCCAACCCAATTCACCTGTACCGCATGTCTTTGGACTGTGGGGGAAACCGGAGCACCCGGAGGAAACCCACGCAAAGGCAGGGAGAACATGCAAACTCCACACAGAAACGCCAACTGAGCCGAGGTTCAAACAGCGACCTTCTTGCTGTGAGGCGACAGCACTACCTACTGCGCCACTGCCTCGCCGGAGTAAAGTACTGATACCAGAAAAATCTACTCAAGTACAGTAACAAAGTATTTGTACTTAGTCACTTCCCATCTCAATATGTTTAACCAAACTCTGGAACGGCATTTTCCCAACCAAAACTATTTCAAAGTAATGATAAATATATTCAGAAAATTGGTCTTTACCTGTTTTTTTTTTTTTTTTTGGAGTGCACTGCATACATTATCTACGACTGCTTGATATAAATAAAAATATAAAAATAATACATATACAAATACATATTAATAAAACAAATGCTTTATTTTACAACTAGATATTTACATTTTATTAGCACTATGAGCTAAATAATTTAGATCATGTAGACTAAATGATTCCAGCGACGCTCCAGGGACAGACGAGTCTTCGCTGAGGCCAGCTTCCAGCCTCCACCACGGCGACTGAAGTTCTGCACAAGACTTTGGCCAGCGGAGAAATTAAAATGGTCGTGCCAAACTGAGTCTGGTTCTCTCAAGGTTTTTTTTCTCCACTCCCATCAGGTGAAGTTTTTTTTCCCTCTCCGCTGTCGCCACTGCCTCGCATGGTTCAGGATTGGTAGAGCTACGCATCGATGAATTTGCTCTTCAGTGTTTGAACTCTCAGTAATGATTAAATCACACTGAACTGAGCTAAACTGAACTGAACTTAAACACTAAAAACTGAACTACACTGTTCCAGTTACTATGACCATCTATGTGAAGCTGCTTTGACACAATCTACATTGTAAAAGCGCTCTACAAATAAAGCTGAATTGAACTGAATTGAATTAATAAAGCATTATAAAATGAATAGTCCCGGTCATTGATTCTGGACGGCTGAGCCGTGTTCAAAGCTGTTGTAAAATACTTTACAATCAAACAGCTGATACCTGGCAACCATTCCACTTTCATTTCGAGTTTCATTTGCTTTAATCTGTAAAACATTGCTACATCTATGTAGGCTTGTCACAGTAATCAATATATCGACTTTAAGTGCAATACTTGGAGATGATCTCAATTTTTGCCATTGCAATATACATTTCCAAATATCCATATATTTTTAAAGCTATTTTACAATGACATTTACGTTCTACCTCACTGGTGTCAACGTATATAATTGGACATTTCCCTAATTGACCATTTAATAGTAAATATAACAGGACATTCACCTTTTTAACATCAGATTAAAGAATCTAAACAAGCTTAAGAATGATGCATATTTTACAGTGTTCATGGCTGTTGCATTATTATGCTGTTATATAATCATTATATAATTAATGGCATTAAACGATCTCAGAATGACAATAATTATGCGTGACAGGCCTACATTCATTCATTCATTATCCTTCGGCTTAATACCCTTATATATCAGGAGTCGCCACAGCGGATTGAACTATTCCGGCATATGTTTTACACAGCAGATGCCCTTCCAGCCGCAAACTGGTACTGGGAAACGCCCATACACACTCATTCCCACACACACTCATGCACTACAACCGATTTACGGCTTTTAATTGCAGTATCTCAGCAGTTCAGTGAGTACTGTACATGCATTTGCATTCACTCCTTTTTATTCTTCTGTCTTTTCCTCTCAGGACGGGTTTTCCTGACACATCTGCGGAAAAGGAAGCAGCATGCTTTAACCCAGAGGAATGTGATCAGAGCGGTGATGGAGAGTAAGAAGGCCGCTACATCCAGACAGTGGTACTGATACCAGCTCAGCTCATGCGCCTGAACTCGGAGATGTTTGGCTCCTTTATTCCGCATCACAAACTCAATCCAGTACACGGCCTGATCCAGCGGCTTCATCGGCTGATCGTGGTGGATTCTGGACAGCCTCATGATGCTCTCCTTGTACCTGATTGGGGAAGAATGATGAATGTTAAAGCAGATGCTTGTTTTCTCTGGCGGCAGGATTAAAGTGGCAGAACTCACGATGGGTTATTTACGACAGCTTTGAGAGCATCCACCAGGTCTTTGGACCCCATTGTATGGATATCAAGGACTACAGCAGCTCCTTTGGTTTTAATGTGCAGTAGGTTATCAGGCTGATCTCCAAACAGTGGCAAACCCACCATCGGGACACCGTGATAAATAGCCTCATACAGTCCATTTGTGCCACCATGAGTGATGAAAGCCTTCGTTTTTGGATGACCTGTCAGATTACATAAATTCAGTATGCATCAGACATCAATTAATATTAATAAGCACACATAACAGCACTTTCCTTACCAAGCAAATCATTCTGTGGGATCCAGTCGTAGATTTTAGTATTGGGAGCCAGTGTTTCTGGAGTTTTCCCACTGTAACGCCAAACAACCTGTGCAAATACATGAGCATATGATCACTAAAACAGGTCTACAGAGTTGGCTTCTGTAAATGCTGTATTTATTTTAAACACGCACTAGTCATTTTGATCATTCAGAGCTTCAGCTGTGAATATACTATGCTAGAACAGTGATTTACAAAATAACCAAGTTACTTTTTTGAGATTAAAATTAGAGAATTGCGATGATTGTGTTGAACCGATTGGTTGATTTTTTAGATTTTGCACACGTTTTCTCTGATTAATCTGTGTAGTAATAGCTCAAATCTCCATTGCTAGCTTTAAAACAGTGCTTTTGGAATTTTAAGAGTCAGTTGCGTCGCGCCATTTGTGCATTTGCTGTTTACATGGCAGACTTTGTTAGTGGAAAAACTGAGCACTTCACTAGCAATAAAACAGTTAAACAGAGCATCTGCAGCGCGAGAATGAGAGATGAGCCCCCTCATTATCTACTTTCACCTTCACTCTCGTGGACAGGGAAACATGTTGTACGCACAGACATCTATTAGCCTACAAATAATTAGATTCGTTTGTTAAGCGCAAAGATTTGCTTCAAAACTATTTCTAAATTCAGTTCTAATTTCCAGCAAACTAATAAATGAGCAATAATAATGAAGTGTGCTCAAAAACCTGAGTTATATCCTAAAACACATGCTGCGCCCCATATGGTCTAAAACCTGACAGGTGGGCAAATCTAAGCTTGTTTTTAATAAAACAAATATAAATACAGTGGCGTAGCGGACAATTATTTTCAATAATTGAAAATCCAGCAACCGCAATAATCAAACTCTTGGGAACAACTGTGGCCGGAACCAAAGTTCACAGGTCTGTGATCTCTGAACTCCTCTCAAGCGGTGGACTAGTTCATTATGATTGCTTGCCGCCGTACCGCGAGAACCGCCCACACCGGAGAAGACGCGCCGCGCTGTTTCTCGCCGCCGGTTCTCATTGAAAATGAATGACTTCTGGCTACTTTGACGCTCTCGCCGCTTTCGAATGGTGATCGTTTCTCAGTTTGTGAAGGCGTTGTCGCTCCACCTGCCTCCCTTCCCAGCTCCACAATTTGTGCTTGCTTCCCCGTGTTGTCCACCCCCCCAAACAGGGAGCCCCGTTAGTGATCCCTGCAGGGGGGCCTCCGCATTTTGCGCTACGCCACTGTATAAATATGCATATAATAAATAATACTGCTAATAATAATAACATTATACAAAAGCAAATTGTCACAAACAAACTGAAAAAGCCCCCCGAGATGAAGAAGGCATGAAATGTATGGTATTTATATTCATGTGGGCTAGAAAATATTATGTTTTGTAATATTTTAATTCTTTTTCATTTGTAAAGATATTTGCGTATTGCATCCTGTGTATTGAGCAATGTGTAAGCGAGGCGCACAACTAACGCGCTCTGCGCTGGACTTTAGACCTACTTTGATCTGGTCTGTTGAACAATCTATTTAAGTTCCTCAAAATAGCAACGCGCCAGCATTGCACCTCAACACACCTCCTTTTTTAGATCAGAACGCCTATGGGCGCACATATGAGCGCAAATGCATTTGCTATTTAATCAGCGTGACGCAAAATGTCAAAATGACTCTTGCGCCAAGCTAAAACTAGCAACATATGCGCTGGGTGTATGATAGGGCACTAAGTGTTGAGTACTTTAATTAATACTTGTTTGTTTTGAATACACGCCCTCTAGTGGTGAAAACTGCATATTGTGCCTTTAAATATCGAGATTCATATTGATTAGTTTAATAATGAACTTAAATTCGAAGGACATTAATTCTATTTTTTTACTAACTGTTTGTAATTCACAATAATAAGTGCACAAATGCCTCAATAAAGACATTAATTACATTTTTTAGTGTTTGGGATTGAAATATCTACGGATTAAATTTGCTGGAAATATATTTACAGAACTGAAACAGCGGAAAAATTGAGTTTTTTTTTTTTTTTTTGCTATACAAAGTGATTTACACACCTTTTGTGGAATCTGCCCCAGAGCAGCAGCAATAGTGTTGGCTCTTTCTGATGTCAGGTTTTTGATCATGGAGCCCAAAGAGAAAACAACAACGCCGTGATCTCCAGAGCTCTGAACAAACTCCTCCAGTTCCTATAAGGCAAAAATGAGCACATGCCGACTCACACGTTTCAAACTGAAAACAACAATTGAAGCAGCATATAATCTACTTTATATTTATTGATATTTGTTTATATAAATGTCATGACATCATGGGTTAAAAAATATCTCTCTCAAAACATAAAAATAAAAAATAAAACATGAATTTTAAATATATATATATTTTTCTATTACAATTATGATGGCAAAATGTGCTACATAGTTTGAAAAAAATGCAAATACACTGAAATCAACAAGAGTCAAATGGGATTCCTTTCATACTTTATCCTCTGTCATGAAGTTTAAATGTTGCTCTGACTGGTCAAAGATTGCTTAAAGGGGTCATGAACTGAGAAACCAAAATTCTCTTGATCTTTTAACATATGAGGACTCGTAGTACTATAAAAACACCCTGTAAGTTTCAAAACCCAAAACCTTGTGGTTCCTCCAAAAACAGCTTATATTAAAGAAAGTCTGACAAAACCACAGCTTCTGGAATGCTCTAATCTATGATGTAATAGGGAGGATAAGCTCCGCCTCCACAGACGATCCACGCCCACTTTTAGTTTGCTGCCTGTTCAGCCTTGTTAATATGCAAAAATATTAGCTAATCAGAGTGCGTTTATCTCTGAGCTTACAATAGGCCACGCCCATTCAAACAGAGCGTGTTGATGAGGGTCTCAATTTTTCTTCGGCTTAGTCTCTGATTTATCAGGTCACCACAGTAGAATGAACCGCCAACTATACCGGCACAAGTTTTATGCAGCAGATGTCCTTCCAGCCATAACCCAGTACTGGGAAACACCCATACAAACTCATTCATACACACACACACATACACTACAGCCAATTTAGTTCATACAATACACCTATAGTGCATGTGTTTGGACTGTGGGGGAACCACAGTCCCCCCACAGTTCCCCCGAAACACCCGGAGGAAACCCACGCAAACACTGGAAACCCATGCCATCAATCAAGTAAAGGGTTTTCTAGTACTGCGTTGCGGCTGGAAGGTTACCCACTGTGTAAAACATATGTTGGAATAGTTAGCGGTTCATTCCGCTGTGGCGACCCCTGATAAATAAGGGACCGAGCCGAAAGAAAATGAATGAAAACAGGTGAAGGAATCAAGAATATTTTGAAAAAGCATACATTGCTCAAGAATACCTTCGACAGGGGTTTGGCAGGTTTGCAGTGCAGTCCTCCGACAAATTTAAAATTAGGCGGGAATGGACGCGGATACTCGAAATCCCAGTACGTTCTTATCAAGCAGATGTCCACTTTTCCCATGGTCTCACACATAGTTGTGGGTTTACCTGTGACACACAATAACAATGCAACCCCAGTTAATGTTGAATGATGGATCACCTAGACATCTGGTTCACCTATAGCGCATGTGTTTGGACTGTGAGGGACACCGGAGCACCCGAAGGAAACACACGGCAACAGGGGAGAACATGCAAACTCCACACAGAAATGCCAACTGACCCAGCCGGGACTCAAACCAGCGACCTTTATGCTGTGAGGCGACAATGCTAACCACTGAGCCACTGTGACGCCTTATAATAAATATTATTTTTAAAGGAATTACGCAGTAAACACGCATTATTAAAGCTTATTATTTATTAGTTTCTTGGTATAAACTAGCCTATTACCACATCCAAAATACTATGGTAATTTATAGTAAACACTATAGTGTTTTTGAACCATACTATATAGTAAACTGTATTATACGTACTATGTTAGTGAACGCTCCAGCGTACTGTAGTATTACTATAGTGAACTGATCAACTGTGAGATGTTGTAGTAAAGTTTTCTAACTATAGTAAACTGTGGTGTACTGCAGTATAATATACCCTATACACTACCTGACAAAAGTCTTGCCGTTGATTCCAGTTGTAAGAGCAACAAATAATAACTTGATGATGAAGGTGGATTTTTCTGATGAATCATCTGTTGATCTGCATCCTAATCATCACAAATACTGCAGAAGACCTACTGGAACCAGCATGGAGCCAAGATTCTTACAGAAATCAGTCAAGTTTGGTAAAGGAAAAGTCATGGTTTGGGGTTACATTCAGTATGGGGGCGTGCGAGAGATCTGCAGAGTGGATGATCAACATCAACAGCCTGAGGTGTCAAGACATTTGTGCTGCCCATTACAAACCACAGGAGAGGGACAATTCTCCAGCAGGATAGCGCTCCTTCTCATACCTAAGCCTCCACATAAAAGCTCCTGAAGGTCAATGTGCTCAGGATTGGCCAGCCCAGTCACCAGACATGAACATTATTGAGCATGTCTGGGGTAAGATGAAGGAGGAGGCGTTGAAGATGAATCCAAAGAGTCTTGATGAACTCTGGGAGTCCTGCAAGACATTATTCTCCATTCCAGATGACTTAATCAGTGATTTAAGTCATGGCAGAGATGTATGGATGCAGTCCTCCAAGCTCATGATGGAGTCAGACACAATATTCATTCCGTCTCCACTCCAGCAGGACTTTATATTCTATACTGGACATTATTTCTGTTCAGTGACCAGACTTTAGTCTAAGCAAAGTCAGACCTTACTGCCCTAATGAAATCATTCATAATCAAGGCATGATCATATTTTAAATCTTTGGTCAAATAAGCATAATCTATAGGCATTTACCTTTCATATAAGCCACTTCTGAGACCAAATGATGAACTAGAAGTCAAGTTATTATTTGTTGTTTCTAAAACGACAGGACTTTAGTCAGGAAGGGTAGTGGAAAACTACAGTATAATTATAGTTTTTGTTATTATAGATTGACCACAAAAGATTAATTCAAGTACTTTGCTATATTATGTTAATGTGGTCTAGAGTATCAGATGGCCCACATTACCCAGTATTTCAGAGTAGTAGCCATCGAAAGTAAACGTCGCAACCAATGGAAACGCTATTGAATGCACGATGTAGAGCAGCATGTTTTCAACTCTCTCCATGAAGCTCATGCGGTCGGTGAGGTGATCTGTCAGAGCCACTGCAGGAACATAAGACGGAGGAGCGGGCATCTGACCACACAGTCTCTCCGCTGCATACGCGAAAGTAGCGCGCATGGAGATGACCTGCGGGATGTTCAGCTTCTGCGCCATCAGGTCAGAGAACGGCATCATCGGATCAGAGAAGAGCACGTCATAGTTAGAATCCCGAAGCGTCTTCAGAAGACCAACATCAAACAAGCCCCTGAAATAAACATCTCCGAACTCCACGAACTTGCTCATCACTTTCCACATCACGAATTCTCCCTCGTATTTGGCGGCGGTGTCATTCGTAAATAGATGAATCATGTCTCTCATCGCAGCATCAGCTTCTTCTTTCTCCATGTTGACTTTGAAGACGTGGTATTCAAAGCGCTCCTTCTGTGTGTGCGGTACTGTAGGAGATGAAGAGCCGACCAGAACCGTCACACTGTGGTTTTTATCAACAAGAGCTTCAATTACTGGACGCATGTTGTGCCAGTGACTGTACTCGCCTGGCATCACCAAAACCCTGCCAGACCAGCCGACATCTACTCCACACAGCAGTAGACACACTAATAAAGCCCCTGAAGTCATGCTGGATGAGTGGAGAATGAGGATACGAAGATGATGTTAGGTTTTGTGCACAGCAGGGTTCGTCCAAAGGTCACGTTGCATTGTAATGACTTTGTCCTCAATATACTTCCTCGCTATATCTGCTGATACACCCATGCAAAAACTTTGGCTCATATGTAAACAATCGTCTAATGGTTCTTCTTCTATTCGTTTGAACTCAGGTTTCACACCTTCGTTGAAGAGCACAGCGCCATACAGTGGAAAAAACACATTATTAGTACACTTGATGTTTTTTGTTGAACTTTGTTACCCAGCGGGCATTCACTGTATGTCAACACGACATGAAAAGGCACATTAAAAACGATAATGCAAATCGATTTGATGTCAGTTGACTACCTTGATGTCAAAACGATATGTAACACAGGCGCCAAAAACTCCACCTCGCTCTTCCCGGCCACTTTATTAGGTACACCTGTCCAACTGCTAGTTAAAGCAAATTTCTGATCATGGCAGAAGCTCAATGCATTTAGGCAAGTAGACATGGTCAAGATGATCTGCTGCAGTTCAAAGCGAGCATCAGATTGAGGAAGAAAGGGGATTTAAGTGACTTTGAACGTGGCATGGTTGTTGGTGCCAGATGGGCTGGTTTGAGTATTTCAGAAATTAAGCTGATCTACTGGGATTTTCATGCACAACCATCTCTAGGATTTACAGAGAATGGTTCGACAAAGAGAAGGTATCCAGTGAGTGGCAGTTCTGTGGGCGCAAATGCCTTGTTGATGCCAGAGGTCAAAGGAGATTGGCCAGACTGGTTCCAGTTACAACCGAGGTCTGCAGAAGAGCATCTCTGAACACACAACACGTCCAACCTTGAGGCAGATGAGCTACAGCAGCAGAAAACCACACCGGGTGCCACTCCTGTCAGCTAAGAACAGGAAACTGAGGCTACAAATCACACAGGCTCACCAAAACTAGAAGATTGAAGAAACGTTGCCTGCTCTGATGATTAAATTTTTGCTGTGAGTGCGACATTCGAATGGTCGGGTCAGAATTTGAAGTCAACAACATGAAAGCATGGATCCATCCTGCCTTGCATCAACAGTTCAAGCTGGTGGTGCTTGTGTAATGGTGTGGGGCATATTTTCTTGGGTCCATTAGTACCAATTAAGCATGGTGTCAAAACCACAGCCTACCTGAGTATTGTTGCTGACCATGTCCATCCCTTTATGAGCACAGTGTCTCCATCTTCTGATGGCTACTTCCAGCAGGATAACACACCATGTCATAAAGCGTGAATCATCTCAGACTGGTTTCTTGAACAGGACAATGAGTTCACTGTACTCAAATGGCCTCCACAGTCACCAGATCTCAATCCAATAGAGCACCTTTGGGATGTGGTGAAATGGGAGATTCACATCATGGATGTGCAGCCGACAAATCTGCAGCAACTGTGTGATGCCATCATGTCAATATGGAGCAAAATCTCTGAGGAATATTTCCAGCACCTTGTTGAATCTCTGCCACGAAGGATTAAGGCAGTTCTGAAGGGAAAAGTGGGTCCAACCCAGTACTAGTAAGGTGTACCTAATAAAGTGGCCGGTTAATGTATATTACTTTTAGTGTCGTTATTTTGGTGGTCAAAATGATGGGCATCAATATGTGTGGATGTCAAATAGACGTCAAGGTTTTCACGTCAAAACAATTAACATTTTTGACGTACTTTATGATGTCATTTTGTATAGAAGATATCACTTTATTACATGTTTATTACAACTTATTTGAGGACGCATATATGCATCTATTAGTTTTCCTTAGTGCCTTATTTATCAAGGATAGCCTAAGCGGAATGAATCACCAACTTATCCAGCATATGTTTTACACAGCGGATGCTCTTCCAGCTGCAACACAGTACTGGGAAACACCCATACACACACACTCATACACTACGGTCAATTTAGCTTACCTAATTCCCCTATAGCGCATGTGTTTGGACTGTGGGGGAATCCAGAGCAACCGGAGGAAACCCACGCCAACACAGTGAGAACATGCAAACTCCACACAGAAATGCTAACTGGCCCAGCCGAGACTCGAACTAGTGACCTTCTTGCTGTGAGGACATAATGCTAACCACTAAGCGCCCGTTCAATTGCAGGGTTGAACTCAACATCAAGCAGAGCAGAGATCAACATCTCATCATACATTTCTTAACCGTAAATAAACAGAAAACACCTGTTAAAACACCTTTTACATGAAGATTCACATTAGGTTCATTAAGAACATTCCAGTTTGGAATATAAACAAAATGCACAATCATACACGTCTCAGGACCAAGCGGCAACCTCCCGCTCTCCCTCAGGAAGCCAATACGGAAGTAACTAAAACTGCAATTCATCTGAAATTCCGCTAGTCCTGGCCGCTCCTGGCTCCAAAACAGAGCAAATTTCAATTGAGCCCACTGTTAGAATGGCCAACTCTACAGCAGAACAAAAGGTGTTTACAGCCTGGTACAAAAAAAGATTTTGCTTCATAAAGCTAATATTACCCTTCATGACAACTGTGAGGGGGTGAATATTTTCATAACTCATCCGTTTCCTTTATATTAAGTTATATTAAGTTTGCATAATTAAGGGAGTGGCCACTTGATTGACAGCTAGGTCTCGTTGGTCGCCGTCACGTCGCCTCAGCTGAATCCTGCAGATTAGCAACTGAACTCGGCATATTTATCGTATTTCTGTGTTGTTTTATGTGGCTTTACACAGTCAACTGCCTTTTGGACTTGTTTCCTACAATTATTAGATGGCATGGCATGCTGAGTGCACTTAATTGTGCTCACAAACCATTCACGTGGCCTCCGTTTCCCATGTGAGTAAAGTTATATACTTATCTACCATCTCTATACATGTATTTGTTTTATTTAAGATCATTTATTGTTTATATTTATATTTAGAGCTGTAATGCACTCCAGAATCTGTCAGATTGATTAGCTGTAGGCTCTAGAACAGTCATCTGAAGCGTTGTCATACAGTGTTATGCTGGATTTCATCAATAGTCTTACATTAACTAACACAGACTATATCTGAAGTGTTTGTAAGTAATTCGCGTTTTCCTCCTGTTGAAAAACGTCATAAGAACAATGTTTAGCGGCTCAATGTGTTACAGCAGTGTTTTTAAAAGTCTAAACACTTTATTGATATAGTGTACAACCAAGCACAAGTGGTCAGAATACAAACGAGTCGCAGGTGATAAAGTATTAAGCATTTCTCCCAAAGTAAACCAGGTGTCTGAACCAGGTCCAAGCAAAATGCAGCATGCGTCTGTAGCTCCGCCCACTCTCCGCCTCTTTGCCCAAGTTTGGTATCCCGCTGTGGGTGTGATGACGCGCGAACAAAATGGCGACGGTTGGCCGCGCTTACTTGTGGCTTCTTTTGTGCTCTTTAGAAACCTATGGGTGATGTCACGGATACTACGTCCATATATTTTACAGTCTATGCTCAGGACGCACACTGCAGCCGCATGACTGCATTATTTTTATTGGAATCCTACTTTGCATTCACTCCTTTTTACTCTTTCTCTCAGGACGGGTTTTCCTGACACATCTGCGGAAAAGGAAGCAGCATGCTTTAACCCAGAGGAATGTGATCAGAGCGGTGATGGAGAGTAAGAAGGCCGCTACATCCAGACAGTGGTACTGATACCAGCTCAGCTCATGCGCCTGAACTCGGAGATGTTTGGCTCCTTTATTCCGCATCACAAACTCAATCCAGTACACGGCCTGATCCAGCGGCTTCATCGGCTGATCGTGGTGGATTCTGGACAGCCTCATGATGCTCTCCTTGTACCTGATTGGGGAAGAATGATGAATGTTAAAGCGGATGCTTGTTTTCTCTGACGGCAGGATTAAAGTGGCAGAACTCACGATGGGTTATTTAAGACGGTCTTCAGAGCATCCACCAGGTCTTTGGATTCCAGTGTGAAGAAATCAAGGACTACAGCAGCTCCTTTGCTTTTCAAGTGCATTAAGTTATCAGGCTGATCTCCAAACAGTGGCAAACCCACCATCGGGACACCGTGATAAATAGCCTCATACAGTCCATTTGTGCCACCATGAGTGATGAAAGCCTTCGTTTTTGGATGACCTGTCAGATTACATAAATTCAGTATGCATCAGACATCAATTAATATTAATAAGCACACATAACAGCACTTTCCTTACCAAGCAAATCATTCTGTGGGATCCAGTCGTAGATTTTAGTATTGGGAGCCAGTGTTTCTGGAGTTTTCCCACTGTAACGCCAAACAACCTGTGCAAATACATGGATGAGGAGATTATTTACAGTTCTTTAAGGGCATTAACACTGCAACAGGTTTATGCATTGTGATGAACATTACATTCATTAATTTTCCTTCAGCTTAGTCCCTTATTTATAAGGAGCCGCCACAGCGGAATGAACCGCCAACTATTCCAGCATGTTTCACACAGCGGATGTTCTTCCAGCTGCAACCCAATATTGGGGAATCACACATACACACTCAATCAAACACACACTCATACACCTACAGACAACTTAGTTCATAGCGCATGTGTTAGCACTGTGGGCGGAACCGGAGCACTCAGAGGAAACATGGGGGAGAACATGCAAACTCCACAGAGAAATGCCAACTGACCCAGCCGGGACTCAAACCAGCGACCTTCTTGCTCCCCCGTGCACAAACATCACAATTTTCATTGAAAGACAGGTCACAGGAGGTAGCATTTGGAAAGGCACATCAGGAGAGTCAGGCTAAAAAAATACCTCTAACCTTGCTCTTAATTAGAGCAAAGTGAGAACAGGGAGAAAAACAGCCCATCTAGCACAGAGAGCACACAGACAAGACACAATATTGACACAGAGGATGGGAACAGGGGATATGGATGTATTCCGAAGAGGGCGGGCAGCCATCTGGTCCTGCAGCCATGGAGACGCTGATCGCAGACCCGCCCACTCCTCCCGTGGGTGAAAGCACACGAAGGCGTTTACATGTTATCACATATTACTCATGAACTGAAATTATAATACATGATATTAAATAGCATGATATTAAATGCGCTAAACAGGCAAGCTCAAACATGCATTACTAGGATTAAACAGCTTGAATTGTATGGATCACTTTCATTATGTCTATTTTAATTATAAAGCTTGGATATTTTTGTGGAAGGGAATTTCAATGGAGGGGCAAAAATTCACAAAAATTGTGGCTAAAGCTTCTTTTCCAATGATGGTTTTAGCCAACACAGGCTCATTCTGAAAACGTGCCCCTGTATACATTTCTGGGGAGCGCGAATTATGTATCCAGAGCTACGTATGGCTGCATTTCGTCTTTAATAACATTTGCTATGGGGCGGCATGATACCGTTCCTTTACGCGCTTACCAGCTGACCGCTTACCTCGGGATGGACGGCTTTCTTGCTAATACCAGGCTGTCCAGTTAGCTAGCCATGCACGTCGGTGGACTTAAGACGCAGACAGGAGTTGACAACAATGACGGGGTCTGAGTCCAGCGAAGAGCGGTTCCAGAAAGCAGGTTAGACAAAAGCAGAAGCCAAACAAGTAAATAACAGGGTGAGAATGTGGTAAAAATCAAACGAGGGCTTTCCTTTTTCTGGATTGCTTATTAAAACTGTTGGTTGGGTTTTGGGAACGGGGTGATCGGGTCAGTCTGAGCTTTTGAAAACACTATCGGTTGGGTTCAGGGAAGAAGGAGAGTGGGTCAGTCGATCGGTCAATCAGTCAGTTGACAGCGGCCTCTGGTGGACTTGCTTGCAAATGGCACTTGTGAGAGAAATTTGAGATCTCAAAAAGCGTACACAGCGGCCTCTGGTGGATTCGCGAAAACAAAAACTGCAAAAAATAAAAAATAAAAAAAGACATAGCTCCTGGGATGTATTTGGCGCTCTCCAGAAATGTATATAGGGGTACATTTTCAGAATGAGTTGGTTTTAGCATTTGCGATTAAAATGTGTGTACAGATATAATTTATATTTAAAGTTATTCCAAAACTGAGACTGTTGTTATATAGTTTTTGCCTTACAATAAGTGAGTCACACACCTTTTGTGAGATCTGACCCAGAGCAGCAGCAATAGTGTTTGCTTTTTGCACGGTCAGGTTTTTAATCATGGAGCCCAATGAGAAAACAACGATGCCGTGATCTCCAGAGCTCTGAACAAACTCCTCCAGTTCCTAAAAGACACACAAATGAGCAAAGAAAATAATACAAAAAAAGATGGTATCTCTTACTGGCTGTCCGGGAACATGATTGGACACTCCTACTTCATAAGCTAATCAATGCTTTTTATATATCATAATGCGCTGAATTCACTGTTCAGAAATGATGGATCACAGTATAAAGTCTTTATATCTTATTGAAAATTAAATAAATGTATGTGAACAGAGATAAAGGTGAAATATTAGCATGACTAAATTATTTCCAGCATAGGTCTCAAACTCAATTCCTGGAGGGCTGCAGCTCTGCAGTTTTGGCCCAAGCCTTTCAAAAACAGCTGATCCAAATAATCGATGTGTTCAAAAGAGTCATGAACACCTTGATTAGTTGGATCAGTTGTGTTTGATCAGGGTTTAAGAAAAACTGTGCAGAGCTGCGGCGATCCAGGAATTGAGTTTGAGACCTATGATGTACAGCAAGGAAAATAAGTATTGAACACGTCACCATTTTTCTCAGAAAACATATTCCTAAAGGTGCCGTTGACTTAAAATGTTCACCTGATGTTGGTAAAGTAATCCAGATATGCAAGGAAATCAAATCTAATTAGTTTACAATTGAAGTTATGCACAATAAACTGAAATGACGCAGAGAAAAAGGTATTGAACACATGAAGAAAGGGAGGTGTAGATAAGCAGTGAAAGCCCAGACAGCAGCTGAAATCTCCCAGCAGTTCTTCAGCAACCCTCTGCTCTTCCTCAGTGTAAATGAATAGCAGCCGCTTCAGTCCAACATCTACATTAGCAGGAGGATGAAGATGAAACCAGGGTGGACATTTCAGCAAGACATTGATCCAAAACAAAGCCAAGGAGAGTCTCGGATACTTTCAGAGAAAGAAAATCAAGCTGTAGAATGGCCCAGCCAATCACCTGAGCTGAATCCAATGGAAAATACAAAATAAAGCTCAGATTTGATAGACAAGATCCTCATAAGCATCAAGATTTTGACATTCTGCTGAAGTCGGACATCTGAGCAACGCATGTGACTTCATTCTCCATACGAGAGGCGTCTTTAAGCTGCCTTCATTAAAGAAGCCTTTTATATAAAGTATTAAACACATTTCAGTAGTTCAGCGCTTTCTCCTTTTGTCATTTCATTGTTCTGAACTTATTCTTCAGATTTGTTTGTTTTTTAGGTTTGTGTTGTTTGGGTTTTTACCAAAATCTGCTTCAATTCCATGTCCACAGCTCCTTTAGAAATATTATTCCCAGGAAAAAACAAGACAATGTGTTTAATACTTATTTTCCCCGCTGTATAATTCCACCACAGCATGCATTCATTAACACACCTTCATTTTATTGAAACTACATAAATGAGTAGCATACTGTGAACCCAAATCAATCACGTAGAAGCAAAGCGCATAATTTAACTGATAAAAAGGCATCGAGAGCTTTTCAGAAAGCGTTAAAGTCATTACCTTTGCCAGGGGTTTGGCAGGTTTGCACTGCAGTCCTCCAACAAACTTAAAATTAGGCGGGAATGGACGCGGATACTCGAAATCCCAGTATGTTCTTATTAACCAGATGTCAGTTTTTCCAATGGTCTCACACATTGTTGTGGGCTCACCTTTGACAAAATAAAATGTAATGCTTCTCAGTGTATCGTTGTACGGCAAGTAAAGTTTTTAAAAGCCTCTAATTTGTATGCATCTAGAATATTTTTATTCATTCATTTTCCTTTGGCTTAGTCTCTAATTTAAAGGTCGCCACAGTGGAATGAACCGCCAACTATTCCGGCATATGTTTTACAGAGCTGATGCCCTTCCAGCCACAACCCAGTACTGGGAAACACCCATACACACTCATGCACGATGGCTAATTTAGTTCCTCAAATTAACCTATAGCGCATGTGTTTGGACTGTGGGGGAAACCGGAGCACCCGGAGGAAACCCACACAAACACGGGGAGAACATGCAAACTCCACACAGAAACGCCAACTGACCCAGCCGGGACTCAAACCAGTGACTTTCTTGCTGTGAGGCTACAGTGCTAACCACTGAGCCACCCTTATCTAGAATATTTATAACTGCAAAAGTTTTAAAGCGAAAGTTTACCCCAAATTTACTTATTATCAAGTAGTTCCAAGCCTTTTTAGTCCTCCTGTTGAACACAAAAGAAGATATTTCGAATGTTGGTAGCCACTGACATCCATAATAGGAAACAAAATACACAATGGAAGTGAGTGGTGGTTATTTTTTTCAGAATATCTTCACTAGTGTCACTAGAAACTTACGTTTGTGAATAAATTACTTTAATTTTTGGGGTTAACTGTGCTTTAAAATTAGTAGGCCATGGTAAAATAGAGGGGCGAGGCAGTGGCGCAGTAGGTAGTGCTGTCGCCTCACAGTAAGAAGGTCGCTGGTTCGAGCCTCGGCTCAGTTGGCGTTTCTATGTGGAGTTTGCATGTTCTCCCTGTGTTCGCGTGGGTTTTCTCCGGGTGCTCCGGTTTCCCCAACAGTCTAAAGACATGCGGTACAGGTGAATTGGGTAGGCTAAATTGTCCGTAGAGTATGTGTGTGTGGATGTTTCCCAGAGATGGGTTGCGGCTGGAATGACATCCGCTGCGTAAAAACTTGCTGGATAAGTTGGCGGTTCATTCCGCTGTGGCGACCCCGGATTAATAAAGGGAGTAAACCGACAAGAAAATGAATGAATGAATGAATGAATGAATGGTAAAATAGAGTTTTTTGTTGTTGTTGACATCTGTATCAGTCCAAAATGTTTTTTTTTTAATCCTATCAGTGCATCCCTAATAAATACTGTAGTTTATTTCAGTTCAGGGAACTGTGTTGTATTGTATAATTACTCTAGACCAGTGGTTCTCAAAGTGGGGGTCGGGACCCCCCGAGGGGTCGCAGGGCAATGAAGGGGGGGGTCGCCTGGTGATTTCCAAAAATCTATTTATTTTTATTAAACCATAAGAATTAACATATTTTATCCATAACTATACTGAAAATAAAAATAGTCGTTTATAGTTACTTTATACTATATAGTTACTATAGTAGCTTATAGTTACAAGTTCTATTGGATTGCGACCCCTGGGGTAATAACATTATATTAAAGGCAGCAATAGCGTCAGATGCATTTTGATTTTATAACATCAGGTTAAACTTTCTGGCACATTTAAAGCACTGACACAAATTTAATTGGTGTGTCTGCGTCATTGCATGCAAGGTTTTTGTATTTATAACCACCTCAGAGGATATTGGGGGTCACGAGTCACTGGCATTGTTATTTTGGGGGTCGCGGGCTGAAAAGTTTGGGAACCCCTGCTCTAGACTACAATATTGGGTCATTTGTTTATATTACTATAGTTGTTTTACCATAGCAACAGCAGAATTACTATAAGGTTAAGCACTTTACTAGAGTATAAATCAAACACTGTATGAAACGGATCCTAGTGTTTACTGTAAATTACATTTTTATAATTATATTGGATAGAGCATCACGGTGGCTCAGTGGGCAGCACGTTCGTCTCACAGCAAGAAGGTCGCTGTTTCGAGTCTCAGTTGGCATTTCGATGTGGAGTTTGCATGTTCTCCCCGTGTTCGCGTGGGTTTCCTCCGGGTGCGCCGGTTTCCCCAACAGTCCAGACATGTTGTACAGGTGAACTGGGTAGGCTAAATTGTCCGTAGTGTATGAGTGTGTGAATGAGTGAGTATGGGTGTTTCCCAGTGATGGGTTGCTGCTGGAAGGGCATGCGCTGCGTGGAACATTTGCTAGATAAGTTGGTGGTTCATTCCGCTGTGGCGACCCCTGATTAATAAAGAGACTAAGCCGACAACAATATTGTTTTGTCAGAGGAATTTACTGTTTACAATCATTTTCTGACAAATTCTGTAACATTCATTGATGAATTTAATTTAGATCAAATTTTGTACTTCACATCCCACATGATAAATGTACTATAGTTAATACTATAGCGTTTTATAATCATACTAGTGAACTTGAGTGTATTATACTGCATATGATAGTATTTACAACTTTGTTAAACAATGTTACAGGATACCATTAACTACAGTGAACTAATAAACTGAAGTAAATAATACTTATATACTATATACTAGCGATATATATATACTATATACTATATACTAGCGATACTATATACTATATACTTGCGATATACTTATATACTATATACTAGCGATATACTATATACTAGTATATAGCAAACTGTGGTGTACTGTAGTATAATGCAGTGTTTCTCAAAAGTCGCGATTTTTAACTTATTTTTTTAACTTATTTGGCTTATACCGGACTTTTATTTTGAAATTCATGCGCGACAACCATGACGTTTGACATCTTAAATTTCATTTAATTACAGCAACAAATATGTCGTAGCGCAACTCCGAATATGTAAAGTATGGATTTACATATATTGACGACAAAAAAGACTTAAAGCCTCAGTGTCATATGTAGTGAGGTGCTCTCACAAGAGAGCATGAAACCTTCTAAATTAAAACATTTAGAAACCAGAAAACATGTTTTATTAACAGTTCAGTTTAGTTCATAGTAACTGAACATTTCCTATACACTGTTTACAGTATTTGTCGTTTTTACTTTGTAATATTTTTATAATTTCATCCATTTTGTTAAATGACTGCAGTAAAATATTGTTTATTTGTAAGTTTCGGTGAATGTCTTATGATTTTCTGTCACTACTTGTGTATGTTAACAAATAAATTATAATTCCTTAACTTATATTATAGTTCCTAAAAGTTTGGGTCGCGGCTTGATGACCATGTAAAAATGTGGGTCCCATGGCCAAACCAGTTGAGAACCCCTGGTATAATGTACAACCCCAAATCAGAAAAGGTTGGGACAGTATAGAAAAAGTAGTGATTTCTAAATTTACTTTGACTTGTATTTCATTGCAGACAATATGAACACAAAATATTTCATGTTTTGTCTGGTTAACTTCATTTCAAGAGCAGTATAGGGCTAGTAATCAGGTAAATTGCGGTAACACTTTACAATAACAGTACATGAATAATGATGTATTAATATGTAAACTAAACATTACTTTATTATGAATTAATGATGAGTTAAGGTATGCACTAATCATGAATTAACTTTAACTACAACATGAGTTCATGTGTAAATAACGACTACCTTAATTACTTGTTAGTACTAGTAATGTATTAATTAACATTTAAGTTTAGGCTAAATGTAACCAACATGAACTCATGAGCTGTTAATGTATAGCTATGTCATGACTTTACTTGGAGGGGCACATCACTATTAACTCATCCTTAACTACTTATGAACTCCTCTTCATGTTGATGTTGACAGAACACTTTTCTATTGTTATTCATTGTAAACTCACTAGTTGGACGTGCATAAGGAGTTCATGAGTAGTTAAGAATCGGTTAATGATGATGTGCCCCTCCAAGTAAAGTCACAACATAATTATACATTAACATATCATGAGTTCATCATGGTTAAATTAAGCATAAACTAATGTGGTAATTAATACATTAATTAACAAACAATCATGAACTAACAAGTAATTAAGGTAGTCGTTATTTACACATGAACTCATGTTGTAGTTAAAGTTAATTCATGATTAGTGCATATCTTAACTCATCATTAATTCATAATAAAGTAATGTTTAGTTTACATATTAATACATCATTATTCATGTACTGTTATTGTAAAGTGTTACCTAAATTGCTTAAATAATGATGTGATTTGGTGACAGGTGATGTCAACAGTTCAATATGATTTGCTACAATTAGATCCAAGAAGATCTAATCACTTAAAGAGACTTTGGATCAATTCAAGTACTTTACTCTAGTATGATTTAAAGTTACTGTAGTATTTGTTTCAATTGGGATGACATAAACAAGAAAACCAGCCAGAAAATTACCCGATATTTCAGCGTAGATGTGATCAAAAGTAAACTTCGTGGTCAGCTGGAACATGGCCGTGTGTGTGATGTAGAGCAGCATGTTTTCAACTCTCTCAGTGAAGCTCATGCGGTCAGTCAGATGACCCTGAGCAACTGCTGCAGGAACGTATGATTGAGGAACAGGCATCTGACCACACAGTCTCTCTAATGCAGAAGCGAAAGATATCCGCATGGACAGAACATGAGGGATGTTCAGCTTCTGCGCCATCAGGTCAGAGAACGGCATCGTCAGGTCAGAGAAGAGCACGTCATAGTTAGAATCCCGAAGCGTCTTTAGAAGACCAACATCAAACAAGCCTTTGACTAATTCCTCACTGTGCGCCCTGAATAACGACATCAATTGCCAGACCTCGAGTGTTTTCTCGTATGTGCTGATTGTTTCATTCATCCAAAGCTCGTGGAAATGAATCCACAAATAGTCGACCACTTCTTTCTCCATGTTGACTTTGAAGACGTGGTATTCAAAGCGCTCCTTCTGTGTGTGCGGTACTGTAGGAGATGAAGAGCCGACCAGAACCGTCACACTGTGGTTTTTATCAACAAGAGCTTCAATTACTGGACGCATGTTGTGCCAGTGACTGTACTCGCCTGGCATCACCAAAACCCTGCCAGACCAGCCGACATCTACTCCACACAGCAGCAGACACACTAATAAAGTCCCCGAAGTCATGCTGGATGAGTGGAGAATGAGGATACGAAGATGATGTTAGGTTTTGTGCACAATATAATTCGTCCAAAGGTCGCGTTGCATTAAATAGTTCCTTAAGTCACTGAGGTAAAGTTGGTTTTATATTCGCACATTCAGACTTTCTCCTTGGTAATATTTTAGAAAAGTATTCTTTGCAAATTATACATAGGGAAATCACATTAGCAGCCAATGACTATTAAAGTACAACATTGTTTACAGTCAGTGAATAGTGCTGATGTTGTTTTGTAGTCACACTTACATGTGATTTCAGACTCAATATTCAAAGTAGCGTGGTAAACAACAGCTACGCTGTTCAAAAATGACAGAATGTCCGAATATAAGGCGAACTTTACCTCAATCTTGAAGTCATAGTGAAGCATTCCTGCTTCTTGGAAGTGTGTATGTGTGAACTGGGAAATCAGGATCCTAATATGACACGCCCATAACATTCACTAGATTTGCGTGAAGGTCGCTTTGTGGCTTTGTTTTCAATCACACTTCAATTGTTATTACTACAGCTTTTTATTAACCGCAGTATCCCCATATTCCTGTCAGTGACTTAAAATAGTAACTATTGTTGTACGGTAAGTTATTTTTTTGTAATAATATTAATAATTCTCGTTAACTTCCGGCCTTATCTGTATCCCTTTAAGTCTACCACAAGTCATGCAACCTGCAAAGTTTTTTCTTCTTTTCCTTCCCCTGAGATTTTGGTTGGCGATTTGTAAACAAGACATGCATTATTACCGCCATCTTCCGGAGTGAGGTGTGAACGAACTCATTGGGATGTCGGTGTATTTATCCACTCACCGGCCACTTTATTAGGTACACCTGTCCAACTGCTCGGTAACGCAAATTTCTAATCAGCCAATCACATGGCAGCAACTCAATGCATTTAGGCATGTAGACATGGTCAAGACGATCTGCTGCAGTTCAAACTGAGCATCAGAATGAGGAGGAAAGGGGATTTAAGGGACTTTGAATGTGGCATGGTTGATGAGTCTCCATTTCTGCTGCCACGTTCAGATGGTCGGGTCAGAATTTGGTTCAACAACATGAAAGCATGGATCCATCCTGCCTTGGATCAACAGCTCAATCCAATAGAGCACCCTTGGCAACTGCGTGATGCTGTCATGTCAATATGGAGCAAACTCTCTGAGGAATATTTACAGTTTCCTGTTGAATCTATGCCACGAAGGATTGCAGCAGTTCTGATGGCGAACGGTGGTCTAGTGCGGTACTAGTAAGGTGTACCTAATAAAGTGGCCATTGAGTGTATATATATATATATATATATATATATATATATATATATATATATATATGTGTGTGTATGTGTGTATGTGTATATATATATGTGTGTGTGTGTGTATGTATATGTGTGTGTATATATATATATATATATATATATATATATATATATATATATATATATATATATGTGTGTGTGTGTGTGTGTGTGTATATATATATATATATATATATATATATATATGTATGTATATATATATATATATATATATATATATATATATATATGTGTGTATGTATGTATATACATATACAGTTTTTGCCATTTGGAGATATTGCTACAGTAAGAAATTACAACTCGCATTAACATGCACAGTTTATCTGCAGAATAAGAGTGATCACATCATTTATCTGAGGTCCACTTTATTGCTCTCGTTATTGCTTTATTATTTCTGTATTACAGAAGCAGAAGGCGAAAGAGACAGAAAGTCACCGCCGAGCCACAGAGAAGTCTTTGGTGAGCTTTAATGTTTGCAGTTAAGCTCACGAAGGAGTGTTACATACAAACACACAGAGGTTGATTATTGGCTTTCCACACATACAGCATGTCTGACAAAATGCTTTTATTAATTAGAAAAATTAGAACTAAACGACTTTAAAAATCCAAACAATAATGTACAGTCCACATCCAAAATGATTAAATCCAGATATGATAACAGCGTATGACCATGAGACAACATTTAAAGCAGCGTTCGTTTATCTTTTTTTAAAGGTGTGCAAAGTTTCCAGAGTCAATTTTAACAACTAAAGGATGATCTAAGGAGGACTTTTAATGTACAAAACAACAATAATGAACACCATAGAAAGGACATTAAACACTCACGCTACATGTGACAATTAAAGTAGATGTCACTTTATTTTATGATGGTCCCTTTTGCACATTTATTTCATTATATGTCACATTGCAACTAAATGCAAACTAATTATCATTGCAGTGTTAATAAACTGTCTGTTTATAATGTGCTGACACTACTCCACCAATACACATTTAACTGACTATAAGAAATTTAGCAAGTACATGTAAAAATCACACTGACCCTAACCATATTAATCTAATGAGAATTAGCTAGCAATGTAGTTGCAATGTAATTTATAATCAACAAAGCGTGTTAAACGGATAGTTCACGCAAAAATGAAAATTCACTGACTATTTACTAACCCTCAAGTGGTTCCAAACCATTATGAGTTTCTTATAAACAATAAAGAGAGCTGAAAACCAGTAACCATTGACTCCTATAGTAGGAAAAATTAATACTATGTAAGTCAGTGGTTACAGGTTTCCAGATCACTTCAAAATATCTTTATTGTTTAACAGAAGAAAAAAACTGCAACCATTTTATATCTTGAAGAAAGCTAAAAACCGGTAACCATTGACTCCTATAGTAGGAAAAAGGAATAGTATGGAAGTCAGTGGTTACCGATTTACAGCTTGTTCAAAATATCGTCTTTATGGTTTAACTGAGGAAACAAACTCATAAAGTTTTGGTACCACTTCATCTCAGCAACCACTTTATATTTTGAAGAACGCTGAAAACCGGTAACCATTGACTTTCATAGTAGGAAAAATGGGTACTATGAAAGTCAATGGTTACAGGTTTGCAGCATTCTTCAAAATATTGTATATTGTTTAACAAAAGAAAATAAGTGTTAAGGGTTTGGAACCACTTTATCTGAGTAACCACTATATATTTTAAAGAACGCTAAAAATGGGTAACTACTGACTTCCGCAGTTGGAAAATCAAATATTATGGGAGTCAATGGTTACAGATTTGCAGCGTTTCGCAAAATATTGTCTTTATTGTTTAACAAAAGAAAAAAACTCATAAAGGTTTGGAATCACTTTATCTGAGCAATTACTACATATTTTGGAGAACACCCAAAACCGGTAACCATTGACTTCCATGGAAAAAAAAATACTATGGAAATCAATGGTTACCGGTTTCCAGATTACTTCAAAATATCATCTCTATTGTTTAATAGAGGAAATAAACTGGAACCTCTTTATATCTTGAAGAAAGCTGAAAACTGACTTCTATAGTAAGAAAAATTAATACTATGGAAGTTAATGGTTACAGATTTTTCTAAATATTCTCTTCATTATTAAACAAAAGAAAATAAGTCATAAAGGTTTGGAACTACTTTATCTGAGCAACCACTTTGTTTTGAAAAAAAGCTGAAAACCTGTCACCATTCACTTCCATGGGAAAAACGAATACTATGAAAGTCAATGGTTACAGATTTGGAGCGTTCTTCAATATATCGTCTTTATTGTTAAACAAAAGAAAGAAACTCATAAAGGTTTGGAACCACTTTATCTAAAGAATCACTTTTTATTTTGAAGAAATCTTAAAAACCGGTAACCATTGACTTCCATAGTAGGAAAAATGAATACTATGGAAGTCAATGGTTACAGGTTTCCAGATTTCTTCAAAATATTGTCTTATTTTTTAAGATAAGAAAGAAACTCATAAAGGTATGAAAGCACTTTCTTTATCTTCACTTTATATTTTGAAGAAAGCTGAAAATCGGTAACCATTGACTTCCATAGAAGGAAAAACAAATACTATGAAACTTAATGGTTACCGGTTTTCATCTTTCTTCAAATTATTGTCTTTATTGTTAAACAAAAGAAAATAAGCGATGAGGGTAACCATTGACTTTCATAGAAGGAAAAACAAATACTATGAAACTTAATGGTTACCGGTTTTCATCTTTCTTCAAATTATTGTCTTTATTGTTAAACAAAAGAAAATAAGCGATGAGGGTTTGGAACCACTTTATCTGAGGAACCATTTTATATTTTGAAGAACGCTAAAAATGGGTAACCGCTGACTTCCATTGTAGGAAAAACAAATACTATGAAAGTCAATTGTTACCAGTTTTCATCTTTTTTCAAATTATTGTCTTTATGGTTAAACAAAAGAAAATAAGTGATAAGGGTTTGGAATCACTTTATCTGAGCAACCATTTTATATTTTGAAGAACGCTAAAAATGGGTAACCACTGACTTTCATAATAGGAAAAACAAATACTATGGAAGTCAATGGTTACAGGCTTTCAGCATCCTATAAAATATCATCTCTATTGTTTAACAAAAGTGAGACACTCATAAAGGTTTGAAACCACTTTATCTAAGCAACCGCTTTATATTTTGAAGAAAGATGAAAACTGGTAACCATTGACTTTCGTAGTAGAAAAAAACCAAATACAATGGAAGTCAATGGTTACAGGCTTGCAGATTACTTTAAAATATCATCTTTATTGTTTAACAGAGGAAAGAAACTGGAACCACTTTATATCTTGAAGAAAGCTAAAAATGGGTAACCATTAACTTCCATAGTAGGAAAAACAAATACTATGAAAGTCAATGGTTACAGGTCTTCAACTTTCTTCAAAGTATCTTAATTTCTGTTCAACCGAATAAAAAATACTCATAAAACAACTAAATGATGACAGATTTTCCTTTGAGTGAACTACCCCTTTAAAAGGCACCATCAGAATAAAGTGATACCTTAAACTAGTATAAGAATCAATGAGTGTAAGACAACTGGATTAAAGCATGTCATTGTTCAAACTAAAATCAGTAAAAGTGCACTCAACTATTCCCTGATAAAGCCGCTCGTTTTCCCCAATTCAGCCAGTGTCTGAAGGGAATCGCTGGTCCAGATTCAGCCGCTGGACGTCCACAGGCCTCTGCATCAGAAGTGTGTTTTCCTGATTGGTTTGTTCATGTGTGTTTTGTGCGTCCGCTCAGGGCAGGAGCGAGCCGCCGTCCACTGAAGGCAGTTTTTCGTAAAAGCAGATGGTGTCGCTGGCCACGGTCGGATCCTGCTGAGATAAACTGCTGTTGGATCCTCCCAGACCGTTCTCCGTCTTCTGGAAGCTTCTGACCGCACTGGGCACCTGCAGACCTGTGGACAAGATCAGACCACCACACCACACCTCAAACACACACACACACACACACACACACACAGTTAGTTATGCTACTGATTTAGCGGACATTTTGATGTTAGCGCACGATTTACAGGGTAGCGTTCTAGGCTAGTTTCTGATAGCAGATGGCGTTCTAGGCTAGTTTTTAACAGCAGCAAGCTCTAGGCTAGTGTCTAAACTAGCTTTTTGATAGCAGATGGCGCTTTAGATCAGTTAATAACAGCACATAGCACTCTAGGCTAGCGTCTAGACTAGTTTTTGATAGCAGATAGCGCTCTAGGCTAGTTTTTAACAGCAGATAGCACTCTAGGCTAGCGTCTAGACTAGTTTTTGACTGCAGATGGCACTCTAGGCTAATTTTTAACAGAAGACAGCACACTAGGCTAACGTCTAAGTAAGTTTTTAGCAGCAGACAGCTTTCTAGGCTAGACATTGCTAGCAGATAGCCCTCTAGGCTAAGGTCTAGGCTAGTTTTTAACAGCAGGTAGCACTCTAGGCTAAAGTCTAGGATAGTTTTTGACAGCAGATGCCACTCTAGGCTAGTTTTTGACAGCAGATGGCTCTCACGCTGATTTTTAACAACAGATAGCACTCTAGGCTAACGTCTAGGCTGGTTTTTAACAGCAGACAGCACTATAGGCTATGGTTTACGCAGGTTTTTGACAGCAGATTGCGCTCTAGGCTAGTTATTAACAGCAGAAAACAATCCAGGCTAACATCTAGGCTAAATTTTGACAGCAGACTGTGCTCTAAGCTAGTTTTTGACAGCAGACAGCACATAGGCTAACGTCTAAAACTAGCTTTTTGATAGCAGATGGCTCTCTAGGCTAGTTTTTGACAGCAGACAACACTCTAGGCTAGTTTTTAACATCAGCCAGCACACGCTAGAGTGTAGTCTATTTTTAGACAGCAGATGGCGTTCTAGGCAATTTTTTTTTACAGCAGATAGCGCTCTAGGCTAGTTTTTAACATCAGCCAGCACAAGGCTAACTTCTAGGCTATCTTTTGACAGCAGATGGTGCTCTAGGCTAGTTTTTTGCAGCAGACAGCACTGTAGGCTAGAGTTTAACAGCAAACAACACTCTAGGCTAGCGTCCAGACTAATTTTGTAACAGCAAACAATGTTCTACGCTAGTTTTTAACAGCAGATAGTGCTCTAAGCTAGTTTTTAACAACAGATGGAGCTCGAGGTCAAAGTTTACCAGCAAACAACGCTCTAGGCTAGTGTTTAGGCTGGTTTTTGCAGCAAACAGCCCTCTTTGCTGGTTAATAGCAACAAACCACGCTCTAGGCTAGTTTTTAACAGCAGACAGCACTCTAGGCTAGCGTCTAGGCTAGTTTTTAACAGCAGACGGCGCTCTAGGCTAATTTTTAACATCAGCCAGCGCTCTAGGGTAACATCTAGGCTAGTTTTTAACAGCAGACAGCATTTTAGGCTAGCGTCTAGGCTATCTTTTGACAGCAGATGGTGCTCTAGGCTAGTTTTTTGCAGCAGACGGCACTGTAGGCTAGAGTTTGACAGCAAACAACACTCCAGGCTAGCGTCTAGACTAATTTTGTAACAGCAAACAATGTTCTACGCTAGTTTTTAACAGCAGATAGTGCTCTAAGCTAGTTTTTAACTGCAGATGGAGCTCGAGGTCAAGGTTTACCAGGAAACAACGCTCTAGGCTAGTGTTTAGGCTAGTTTTTGACAGCAGATGGTGCTCTAGATAGGTTTTTAACAGCAAACGGCACTCTAGGCTAGCGTCTAGGCTAGTTTTTCACAGCAGATGGCGCTCAAGGCTAATAAATGATGTAAATAAATGGATAACAGTCATTAAAAGTCAGTCATAATTTCATGAATAAGTCAATTATTGTACCTTAATAACCATGAGCACAGATAAAGTTGTGTTATATAATTGCACTTAAAAATCACATGCTTTTAACATTAGTACACAATTAAGCAACTAACTATCCAGATTATTACTTTTTTCTGTATTTTTTCTTGTAGTCCAGTTTATTAAAACATATTTTATGCATGATATGTGGAAACACTTGGGAATTCTTTTCCGAAAATAACCCTCATTTACATGTGCATATAACAAGTATAAAAACATACCATGAAAGCTGGCACAACAGGTTGTGTGAACTTCATCTTGAACATATGCAGCAATTGTTTGTTTTCAGCATTATAGAAAGCAAGTTGGCCTGAAAATAAAAAGCACACACACACATGATAAATAAACATGAGTCACATATAATGCTGCAGTTATTCAGCTGACGCAGGACAGAAAGCAGCCCGCAAGCAAAGCATGAATGGAAATGCAGGAAACTGGATCTGCAGGATCTGATGGCAGGGTGGATGTAATGATCCCTGCAGACTAAAACAGTCAGAGGAATAAAGCATGACGCCAACATTCAACATCATTCTTACATTTACTTATATCTAAAATCAGTACAAATATTTCCCTGCAGAACTACACCATACAATCTGAATCTTGCTGCATACATCAATAAAAGGCATGTCTAAACTTGGTCCTGGAGGGCCGGTGTCCTGCAAAGTTTTGTTCCAACCCCAATCAGACAAACCTGGGCTAGCTAATCAAGTTCTTACTAGGCTTTCTAGAAACATCCTTGCAGGTGTGTTGAGGGAAGTTGGAGCTAAAATCTGCAGGACACTGGCCCTCCAGGACCAGCATATATATATATACATATACAGTTGAAGTCAGAATTATTAGCACCCCTGAATTATTAGCGCCCCTGTTTATTTTTTTCACCAATTTCTGTTTAATGGAGGGAAGATTGTTTTAGCACATTTTTTAAGCATAATAGTTTTAAAAACTTATTTCTAATAACGGATTTATTTTATCTTTGCCATGATGACAGTACATAATATTTTACTTGATATTTTTCAAGACACTTCTATACAGCTTAAAGTGACATTTAAAGGCTTCACTAGGTTAATAAGGTGAACTAGACAGGTTAGGGTAATTAGGCAAGTTATTGTACAACGATGGTTTGTTCTGTAGACTATCGAAAAAAAATATAGCTTAAAGGGGCTAATAATTTTGTCCCAAAAATGGTTATTAAAAAATAGAAAAATGCTTTTATTCAAGCTTAAATAAAACAAATAAGACTTTCTCCAGAAGAAAAAATATTATCAGACATACTGTGAAAATTTCCTTGCTCTGTTAAACATCATTTAGGAAATATTTAAAAAAATCAAATAAAATCAAAAGGGGGCTAATAATATATATACATATATACACACACACACACACATATACATATATATACATACACACACACACACATATATATATATATATATATATACACATATTTTTTATTTTATTTTTTTATGCTGTATTAATCACATTAAGGATGTGAATTACTGTTCATTTTGTGTTCAGGTGACCAGCAGTGAAGAAAATACTATGGTAAATCATAAATAATAGCAATCAACTAACAAGTCATGTTGTCCAGCAGGACCGCTGTGCTACATAAATAAACATAATCATAAATATGAACACAACACTGGATGCAAAAGCTATTTTATAAGTAAATATGATTTCCCCAGATGATTTGAACAGCTCTATTTGGAAAGATTTCCTTAATTTAGGTCGACTGGGGTGATCGAGTCTTTTTTTCTATGCAGTGCATCATAAAATAAAATAAATAAGGAGCATATATAAATACGACAGAGCAGAAATAAAGGTTAACAGTCCTGTATGGTTTTCTGGAGAGTCTAACAGTATTCAAGTACAGAAATTAAATGATCAGACATAAAATAACACGGTTATCCTTTAATTCATTCATTCATTTTCTTTTTGGCTTAGTCCCTTTATTTATCAGGGGTCGCCACAGGAGAATGAACCGCCAACTTATCCAGCACATGTTTTATGCAGCGGATGCCCTTCCAGCTGCAACCCATCTCTGGGAAACATCCATACACACTCATTTACACCCATACACTACCGTTAATTTAGCCCTGTGGTTCTCAAAGTGCCGGTCGGGACCCCTCGAGGGGTTCGTTGGACAATGAAGGGGGGGTCGCCTGGTGAAATCTGTTTATTTTTATTAAACCATAAAAATTGACATATTTCATCCATAACCTACTGAAGAGAAAAAATAGTCGTTCTTAGTTACTTTATACTATATAGTTACTATAGTTGCTGATAGTTACTAGTTCTATTGAATTGCGACCCCTGGAGGAATGACATTATATTAAAGACACAGCAATAGCTTGAGATGCAGCAGATTGATTTTATAACACCAGGTTAAACTTTCTGGCACATTTACAGCACTGACATGAATTAAAAAAATTAAGGAAGAATAAACCTGGGTCTATTGGTGTGTGTGTGTGCCATTGCATGCAAGGTTTCTGTAATTATAACCACCTCAGAGAATATTGGGGGGTCGCGAGTCACTGGCATTGTCAATTTGGGTGTCGTCACCTAAAAAGTTTGGAAACCCCTGATTTAGCCAACCCAATTCACCTCTACCACATGTCTTTGAACTGTGGGGGAAACCCACGCAAACGCAGGGAGAACATGCAAACTCCACACAGAAATGGTAACTGATCCAGCCGAGGCTCGAACCAGCGACCTTCTTGCAGTGAGGCGACAGCACTACCTACTGCGCCATTGCATCGCCCCATCCTTGTATAAATAATTAAAAAAATAATAATATTTAATCTAGTCCTGTGATGAAACTACTGCGGACACACACATTGTGATATCGATGCTCAAACTATATATTGTTGAGCCCCAATATAAACAGACACAATGGTATACATTACCCCGATCAAAGTCGCAGTAGACTCCTATGCTGTCCGGCACCGGCACGTCCAGATTCTTGGCCTTGTTGTTGTGTTTTGCAGCGAATGAGTTTTGCAGCCAGTTGTTGACGTGGATACACCAGGAGGTGCAGGTTTTGCCCAGCTGGTCAAACTTGCCCAGGTTTCTGTAGGCCAAACCAACGCTGTAGGACTTACAGTCTTTCTGAGGCTTCACTTCCCAGTAATGCTGGCCGGACTCTATACTGGTGTCACCTACATAGACAATAAAGAGTCCATAAAGTCGCATTTCTGTCACCCTATAAAATATAGAAGCTTCACGGTAATAGACAGGAAAGTAAGAGTGTTAATATTGTAAAAATGATCAATCATAAACTTAATATCAGAAGATAATGTTAATATTTAGTTCAATACAGCGGATTTCATTTACAAAAATGACATAGTCAATTGCTGTTTTCAATAGAGCCTACATGCAAGTTAAGGTATTTAGGCAAGTCATTGTATAACGGTGGTTATTTTAGTACCCAGTACTGTGTAGGACTCTCCGGTGAAGCGATCTCTGGCTCCTCTGGGGGCTGGTGAACGGGTCACTGATGTCCGTTTCGGGGATGGAGTTCCACTTCTGAAAGCATCATACAGATACACACAGTCTCAACACGTGCATACAAAGCAAACTGTTTTTAGACAAACATTTATAGATGCAAGAAAAATCCTCAAAACACACAGTAGTAGACGCAAACACAAACTCCAAATCCCACAACACACAAGAAGAGAAGAGAAGAGACGAAATAAGACAGAGCAAGAGATGGGAAGACAAGATAGAGCAAGAGAAGAGATGAGAAAACATGAGACAGAGCAAGAGATCAGATGAGATGAGAAGAAATGAGAAGACAGAAAAGAGATGGGAAGACAGAACAAAAGACGGGATGAGATAAGATGAGAAGAGATGAGAAGAAATAAGACAGGAGAAGAAGAGATGAGAAGACTGAGCAAGAGAAGAGATGAGAAGAGACGAGATGAGAAGAGATGAGATGACTGAGCAAGAGAAGAGATGAGAAGAGACGAGACAAGATGAGAAGACTGAGCAAGAGATGAGATGAGAAGAGACAAGATGAGAAGAGATGAGAAGACTGAGCAAGAGAAGAGATGAGAAGAGATGACTGAGCAAGAGAAGAGATGAGAAGAGACGAGACAAGATGAGAAGACTGAGCAAGAGATGAGATGAGAAGAGACAAGATGAGAAGAGATGAGAAGACTGAGCAAGAAAAGAGATGAGAAGAGATGAGAAGACTGAGCAAGAGAAGGGATGAGAAGACATAGCAAGAGAAGAGATGAGAAGAGAAGAGACAAGATGAGAAGAGATGAGAAGACTGAGCAAGAGAAGAGATGAGAAGAGACGAGACAAGATGAGAAGACTGAGCAAGAGATGAGATGAGAAGAGACAAGATGAGAAGAGATGAGAAGACTGAGCAAGAAAAGAGATGAGAAGAGATGAGAAGACTGAGCAAGAGAAGGGATGAGAAGACATAGCAAGAGAAGAGATGAGAAGAGAAGAGACAAGATGAGAAGAGATGAGAAGACTGAGCAAGAGATGAGAAGAGACAAGATGAGAAGAGATGAGATGACTGAGCAAGAGAAGAGATGGGAAGAGACGAGACAAGATGAGAAGACTGAGCAAGAGATGAGATGAGAAGAGATGAGATAAGAAGAGATGAGAAGACAGAGCAAGAGACGAGATGAGAAGAGATGAGAAGAGACAAGATGAGAAGAGATGAGATAACTGAGCAAGAGAAGAGATGAGAAGACAGAGCAAGAGACGAGATGAGAAGAGATGAGAAGACAGAGCAAGAGACGAGATGAGAAGAGATGAGAAGAGAGCAAGAGACGAGATGAGAAGAGACAAGATGAGAAGAGATGAGATGACTGAGCAAGAGAAGAGATGAGAAGAGATGAGATAAGAAGAGATGAGAAGACAGAGCAAGAGACGAGATGAGAAGAGATGAGAAGAGACAAGATGAGAAGAGATGAGATAACTGAGCAAGAGAAGAGATGAGAAGACAGAGCAAGAGAAGAGATGAGAAGACTGAGCAAGAGAAGAGATGAGAAGACAGAGCAAGAGACGAGATGAGAAGAGATGAGAAGACAGAGCAAGAGACGAGATGAGAAGAGATGAGAAGACTGAGCAAGAGACGAGATGAGAAGAGATGAGAAGAGAGCAAGAGACGAGATGAGAAGAGACAAGATGAGAAGAGATGAGATGACTGAGCAAGAGAAGAGATGAGAAGAGATGAGATAAGAAGAGATGAGAAGACAGAGCAAGAGACGAGATGAGAAGAGATGAGAAGAGAGCAAGAGACGAGATGAGAAGAGATGAGAAGACTGAGCAAGAGACGAGATGAGAAGAGATGAGAAGACAGAGCAAGAGATGAGATGAGAAGAGATGAGAAGAGAGCAAGAGACGAGATGAGAAGAGATGAGAAGACTGAGCAAGAGACGAGATGAGAAGACAGAGCAAGAGACGAGATGAGAAGAGATGAGAAGACAGAGCAAGAGATGAGATGAGAAGAGATGAGAAGAGATGAGAAGACAGAGCAAGAGATGAGATGAGAAGAGATGAGAAGAGAGCAAGAGACGAGATGAGAAGAGATGAGAAGACAGAGCAAGAGATGAGATGAGATGAGAAGACAGAGCAAGAGACGAGATGAGAAGACGGAGCAAGAGATGAGATGAGAAGAGATGAGAAGAGAGCAAGAGACGAGATGAGAAGAGATGAGAAGACTGAGCAAGAGACGAGATGAGAAGACAGAGCAAGAGACGAGATGAGAAGAGATGAGAAGACAGAGCAAGAGATGAGATGAGAAGAGATGAGAAGAGATGAGAAGACAGAGCAAGAGATGAGATGAGAAGAGATGAGAAGAGAGCAAGAGACGAGATGAGAAGAGATGAGAAGACAGAGCAAGAGATGAGATGAGATGAGAAGACAGAGCAAGAGACGAGATGAGAAGACGGAGCAAGAGATGAGATGAGAAGACGGAGCAAGAGATGAGATGAGAAGACTGAGCAAGAGACGAGATGAGAAGACGGAGCAAGAGATGAGATGAGAAGAAATAAGACAGAGCAAGAGATGAGAAGACATAAGACAGAGCAAGAGAAAAGATTAGAAGACAGATCAAGAGAAGAGATGAGAAGAAATAAGATGACAAGAGATGAGACAAGAGCAAGAGACGAGATGAGAAGAGATGAGAAGAGATGAGAAGAGATTAGAAGAAATAAGACAGAGCATGAGAAGACAGAGCAAGAGATGAAATGAGAAGAGATTAAATGAGTTGAGACGAGATTAGACTAGAATAGAAGTGAAGAGATGATATGAGACGAGACGAGAAAAGAAGAAAAGACAAGAAGCAAAGCAGATGTGTTCAGTTAGTGATCAAACACAGCATGTCTCAGCTTGTGATGCCTATAGCTGATGGCGGTGAGAAATAAACTGATAACTCTACATGGAAAGTCTAGAAAAGCAATGTAAAAGCAGTGCACACATGTTAGCCACAGCAGCACAAGCGATGTAATCAACTTAACATCTACTACAACGAAAAACACAAAACAAGTGTTATCTATCTCGATAAACTGAGCAGCAATGAGTGTGAAACAGGTATTAAAAATCAATTAAGCATGAACATTAAAGGAAAACGACTGTTATTATGTATTTTCTAGTGTACTTGACTTAAATTTCAACATTCAAGTGCACAAATTAATGTGTTTTTTTACTATATTTAATGGCAATAAGTGAGAAATATTAAATAAATGCAAGATTCTAAAGAAATCCATTAGAGCAGCTCTTTGTGCAAGACTTGTGTATATTTCATCCTTTATCCATATGCAAGATCCTGCACACTGAACAGCTGCCGGCTGAAAGACGATCCAAACAAAAGGAAGCCATCCATTTTAAAGGACGTCCTAAAAGACTGAGCACTGTCTTAGCACAGCAGATGGTGGAGCTACCACGCATGACAGGTGTAATCACATGCAAAATTGATGAAGTTTTGTGCACTTTCGCCATAATGGAATGACTGATGAGAAAAGCATACAGCGGTGATTTCAGACGGAGGGTTACTCACCGCGGTCATAAGGACGTGAGCATGGAAAAGCAACTTTGCATTCAGAATTATACTCAATTAAAAGCTGCAGCACTAACATTTAGACTTTAGTAACAGTTCTGTTGGGGAAAAAATACTTTGGTCATCATCAGAACTAATGGAAATATAATGTATACAGTAATTCTAATGTTACATTCTGCTGATTGTAGCTTCAGTAACACCCACAAGCATCACATGCATAATCCCGAATCAATACCGTCATTTAGAAAAAGCACTCAGTTTAGAAACACAGAAAACCCCTCAGAGAAACAGAGATTTCATTAAAAAGGATCACAAGATATCACCATTAAAACAAGATGCATCCTTAAACTGAGCAATAATTACTACTTTAATAATCCTGTCATTAATTTATGAAAATACTCATCAATAAAATAATAAAATACATTTTATTTAAAGAGTAAAGAAACTCAAGATCACTGTACAACACATACAGTTAAAGTCAGAATTATTAATATATTTTTTCCACAAGTTTAACAGAGAGCAGATTTTCTCAACACAATCATTCATTCATTTATTTTCTTGTCAGCTTAGACCCTTTATTAATCCGGGATCGCCACAGTGGAATGAACCGGCAACTTATCCAGCAAGTTTTTACACAGCGGATGGCCTTCCAGCCGCAACCCATCTCTGTGAAACATCCACACACACACACACTTATACACTACGGACAATTTAGCCTACCCAATTCACCTGTACCGCATGTCTTTGGACTGTGGGGGAAACCGGAGCACCCGGAGGAAACCCACGCGAAGGCAGAAAGAACATGCAAACTCCACACAGAAACGCCAACTGAGCCGAGGTTCGAACCAGCAACCTTCTTGCTGCGAGGCGACAGCACTACCTACTGCGCCACTGCCTCTTCCTTCTCAACTCATTTCTAATCATATTAGTTTTACTAACTGATTTCTAATAACTGATTACTTTTCTCTTTGTCATGATGACAGTAAATAATATTTAAATATTCTTCAGGATACTAGTATTCAGCTTAAAGTGACATTTAAAGGCTTAACTAGGGTAATTTGGGTAAAGTTAGGGTAATTAGGCAAGTCATAAATATGGTTTATTCTGCAGACAATAAAAAAACAACCCAGGCTCATTATTGATAAATACCACAAGATACATTTCTGGAGAGAAAAGACTAGATGAGAAGAGAAGAAACAAGACCAGGTAAATAAAAAAGAGATGAAGAAAAAAGAAACGACAAGAAGAAAAGAAATGAGAAAAGACAAGATGGAATTAGAAGAAATGAGATGAGCCAGGACGAGAAAAGATGAAAGGAGAAGAGATTGAAAGAGAAGACATGAGATAAGATGACATGAGATGAGATAAGGTAAGAAGAGACAAGAGGAAATGAGAAAAGATGAGAAGAGACCAGAAGAGATGAGAAGATTCAAGAAGAGATGGAAAGAGAAGACTGAAGAAGAGATGAGAAGACAGAAGTAGGGATGACGAGACCAGATGAGATCAGACAAGAACATAGGACATGAGATAAAAAAAGAACAGAAGACTAGAAGAAACTAAAGAGATGAAACAAGACAAAAGAAGTAGAGATTAGATGAGATGAGACAAGAAACAAGACAAAAACAAAAAAGACTTATTCTATAGGCAATAAAAAAAACCTAGCTCATTATTGATACGTACCCCTATATACACTTCTGGAGTGCACTAAATATATCCCAGGAGCTATGTTTTTTGCAGTTTTTGTTTTCGCAGATTCACCAGAGGCCGCTGTGTATGTTTTTCAGCTCTCAAAATGCTTCTGCGAATGCCATTCATGCCTGCTGTTCTCGTGTAAATCCACCAGACGCCGCTGTTGACAGACTGACTGACCATTCGAAAAAAGCTATCCAGAAAAAGAAAACTCCTCGCCTGATTTTTACCACATTTTCAGATTTTACCACAAGAATGGTGAACCGTTCTTCACCAGACTTGAACACCATCATTGTGGTCAACGTCTCTATACGTCTCAACTTCGCTGACGTACATGGCGAGCCACTGGACAAACTGATAACAGCAGAAATCCGTCCAAGCCATAAAGCTGGCAAGCGCAAAATCATACCGCCCTGTATCGTTCGTTTTAAACAAGAAATGCAGCCATAGTAGCTCTGGTTACATAATTTGTGATCTCCAGAAATGTATACAGGGCTACGTTTTTAGAATGAGCCTGCGTTGAAAAATAATATTGCTAAAGGGGATTAATAATATTGACCTTAAAATGGTTTTAAAACAATTCGGCTTTAATTCTAGCCAAAATAAAACAAATAAGACTTTCTCCAGAAGAAAAAACATTATAGGAAATACTGCGAAAATTTCCTTGCTCTGTTAAACATCATTTGGGAAATATTCGCCAAAGACTTTCGACTTCAACTGTACATATATACACAATTATTACAAAAGTCAGCCAATCTTGTGATCCTCTTTTATGAAATGTTTTGCTCAGAGCTGCCGCGGTGAACACACTGCATACAAAGAGCTAAAGGTAAATCTAGCGCTAGCGTTGGTTTAAAGTAGCTAAAGAGCTAACAGACACACGCCGGTCACCTGGACATATTCTTCAGATTGGTGATATGTGCACTGTGGTTGGTGGAAGAGGAAACACAAGAGCATTAGGGAATTAACTGATAAATAAAATCCAAAGCGGATAAGCTGTGAATTATTTCTCTGTTATAATGATCAATAATTATCAAATGGTGCATTTTAATAGGCTATATCATTCATTTTCTTTGGGATTAGTCCCTTATTTATCAGCATATGTTTTACGCAGCGGATGCCCTTCCAGCGGCAAGCCAGTATTGGGAAACACCCATACACACTTATTCACACACTCATACATTACGGCCAATTTAGTTTCTTCAATTCCCCTATAGCGCATGTGTTTGGACTGTGGGGGAAAACGGAGCACCCGGAGGAAACCCACGCCGACACGGGGAGAACATGCAAAAGAAATGCCAACTGGCCCAGCCGAGACTCGAACCAGCGACCTTTTTGCTGTGAAGCAACAGTGCTAACCACTGAGCCACCGTGTCACCCTACTTTCATTTTAGTTTAAGGAATTAATTTGCCAACTGATTTGTATATTTTCATGCAGCTTTAACTTTTTTAACTCACTTTTTTAGTGATTTTAATGATTCAAATGAAACATTCATTACATTTGTAATTTTTATTTAATTTCATGCAATATTTAGATTTTATTTATTTATTTATATATCATTCATTCATTTTCATGTCGGCTTAGTCCCTTTATTAATCCGGGGTCGCCACAGCGGAATGAACCGCCAACTTATCCAGCAAGTTTTTACACAGCGGATGCCCTTCCAGCCGCAACCCATCTCCGGGAAACATCCACACACACACTCATACACACACACACACACTACGGACAATTTAGCCTACCCAATTCACCTGTACTGCATGTCTTTGGACTGTGGGGGAAACCGGAGCACCCGGAGGAAGCCCACGCGAATGCAGGGAGAACATGCAAACTCCACACAGAAACGCCAACTGAGCCGAGGTTTTGAACCAGCGACCCAGCGACATTCTGACATTCATCTAATCAACACTGGATATTAATAATGCATTAGTAAATGTTAAACTATGGTTAATAAATGCTCTAAAAGTGTTGTTCATAATTAGTTCATGTTAATAAATACATTAACTGATGAAGTGTGAGCAATAATTTTACTTGCACCAAAACACTATAAAAAAAGTGTGTTTAATCTCATCCAAGACTGAGTCACTGAAAGAATGAGGCTTTATTTTCGTCTTCTCACCTGCCCTTGTTCTCCTTCCCCTTGCCTTTGCTGTCCAATGCTTTTCCCGCCTGCGGATCCCATTCAACGCTTTGCTCCTCCACCTTCAGGTTCAGATGAGACGACGAGGAGTCAAAGCTGAAGTTAAACGCTGATACAGAGAAACAACAACCATCAGCAATACAATCAGATTTTTAGTACCACTAATGTACTCTACTGCGAGTACGAATCTACTGCTTAACGTTTGTGGTCTGTAAAATATTATTACAATTTAAAAAGGCTGGGGTCATATTCACAAAACATCTTATAGATAAAAGTAGTGCCTAACTAGCGAATTTAGAAGAAAAATCTTTAAAGGGTCACGAAACACCAAAACACATGTGTTGAGCTGTTGACAGTCGTATTTGTGTCCCACACTGCTATAAACACTATTAGGACACCTATATTTCACTAAAAAGTGTAAATTGGTTGTTTTTGCCTTATTTCAAGCAAATTCGTACTTCCGGTTTGAAACTAATTTTTGAAGCTGCGTCACGGTCATGACATAATAGCGTGTATTCCAGCGTGCAGACTGGACGTCTGTGCCAGAGTGTGTCTTATTACGTCTTACAGTGTGCTGCATTAATGCATGAGTAAGGCTTGGTTCAAACCGCTCTATTGTGCAACTTCATTAATATTCATTACTGTCACAGTGTTTAGACGACAGAGACGCCACGTTGTGTTGGCAAAACAAGCAAAGTGTTGCTTTTATAGTTTCCTGCAGTTAAGTTTTGTTTTCATTTTCTCTCTGTGAGAGCGCAGCTGGAGTCACGTGTGGATTAACAGTGTACGCGACGATCGACAACAATAACTTACGTGTCTAAGGAGGCACATTGTTTACCTGAGAGCTGTTCTTATCTGCAAACGCTGAGATCCGGATTCGCTTGTAGTCTCCTCTTAATAAAGACGCAGCTCTAGTTGCTGGTGATTGTTCTGTCTCTACAGATGTCTCTACAGAGCGACCAGTGCTCTTTGTTTATTCAGTTTGTTCGTATCGAACTAAGTTAACTATTGCACCGAGTGTAAACATGTTAGCACCACAACCAAACTTTAACCTCGTGTAGGATTTTCACCACATTTTGTGACCGGAATAACACACGCGGCTTTCTGACGCTACCTGCCGTGTGCATCTAAGTTTCTGGGAAATGCTGAGGGTTTTTTTCTCTCATTCGCCGTGCGGTATCAAACATTGCATGAAAAATACACACTTAGAGCAGCTCCTCGTATCAAATATCTCGTTTGTCGCGAGGGGCATGAATGAATTCCCTGAATCAAAGAGCCAAACTGCAGTTAAAGTCCAACATTTAATAATTTGGCAAATAATTTGACTACAGATGTCCATGTAGGTTAAACACCATCACTTTCTCCCGTGTGTGTATTTTGACTCTGAAACTCGCGCGTGCCCAAATAGACACTCCCACACCATCCCACTTTTCTTCCTCTGACACTCCCCCCTAAACAGAGCTGGACACGCCCACTTTTCTGACTTTTTCCAAAGTAGAGGTGTGAAAACACCCTGCTGAAACGAGGGGGTTTCATGGCCCTTTAAAATAATGAGTTTCAGTCCTATAATTTTGTCTAAAAGAGTTTAAGTGCTAAAACTAGCAGAAAAAAATGTTAGGGGTAGTAAAATAGGCCATACAACACACTATAAAATGTCTGCTTTTTCCAAAAATCTGCCTTGGAAAGAAAATATTTGATAAATATGTGATCACAGTGAGCTTTTACTAAGATATCGCCTTAATAAAGTATTCCCATACGGTCAATTATATTTATCATTTATTTTAAAATACAGCCAAAAAAATTATATTTTTCTCATCTCCTTCTAAAAACAATCGTCTTTTTTCATAAAGAAATTTCAAGTTCATTCATTTATAAAGCACATTTAAAAACAAAGGGCTGTACGTAAGACAGAGAGAGATAAAAAGACAATAATAAACACATAGAAGTAAAACCAGGAGGAACAACAGAACAAAAAATATTTAAAAATAAAGCATATTTTAATATATAAAGCACTGAGAATATAAAGCATATATTATATTTTATGTAAATTTACATTTCATTGATATAAATTTGCATCCTTATTTGGAGGTTTGATTTGAAGTTGTAATTTATTAGAAAATTTGTACTTGAATTTGGAAAGATAATATCGCACTCTGGAGAGTTTCCATGAGTAAATCTCTTACAGAGACTCACCCCTCCTCATCAGCCAATCTCTGTGTTCATAATTATTAATCATGCTGACATACGGGCCCTGATTTCTATTCGAAATGACTTAATTTTGTAGTTATTCATCATTTTTAAATCAATTTATTTCTGAAATGCGAAGCTGAATTTTCAGTCTCATTACTCCAGTCTTCAGTGTCAATTGATTCTGAAGAAGACATACAAATATACTGATCTGATGATGAAAAATCCCTTCTTATTATCATCAATGTTGAAAAGTTCATTGTTTTTGGATTTGAATAGAAGGATATGGATTTGAGGATGAATAGAAAGTTCAAAATAACAGCATTAACTTGAAATAGAAAAAGTACAAGTGTTACTTTTAATCAACCTAACGCATCCTTGCTGAATAACATTATTAATGTCTAATAGTATATATATATATATATATATATATATATATATATATATATATATATATATATATATATATATATCTGAACCCACACTTTTAAAGACTTCTTTCAGTGCACATTCCTACCTCTGGTTTCTAATGTGACCGGGTCTGAATAATCTCCAGCGGCTGCTTTGTTACAGGCTCGTACCCGGAAGTTCATGAATTTGGAGTCGAATCTTAACCCTGTTGAGTGAATGAAACATTTAGTTTGAGTTCTCGTAGTTTCCAACAAATATCCATACAGTGCTCAGCATTAATGAGTTCACCCCCCACAGATCTCTCTTTAACATTTGTATCGTCTACAGGATGCTTTACAGCAATATATTTGTGCATCCACATTAGATTAGTCAAAACTGAGGCTAATCTAACAAAGAAACATAAGATCACAGTCCAAAAATAAGTACACCCATATTATCCATTCATTCATTTAATTTCGACTTAGTCCCTTATTCATCAAAGGTAACCACAGTGGAATGAACCGGCACGGGGAGAACATGCAAACTCCACACAGAACTACCAACTGGACTAGCCAGGAGTCAAACCAACACCCTTCTTTGTCATGATTGTCAGTGACCACCTGAGGGCGCTGTAGTTCAACGGACTCTGAGAGTGAACTACAGCGCCCAAGAACTACAAGTCCATACATACCACGCGCATTACACCCGGTTCACTTACACTGATTGGCCATCACAGTTGTTCCTGTTTCCTGTTGATTTCCTGGACTATTTATACAACCATTCCACCTCTGTTTGTCACTGCGTCGTTTGTCTTTCTTGTCTCCGTGATCCCAGTAAGTCTTGAATATCGAGTTTGTGATTGTTTATTTGTTACTTTGCACTGTGGACACCTTGTTTTTCTGTTTGCTGCACTATTGTAAATAAATCTGCACTTGGATCCGCACCTTTTGTTTCCGTTTCAATCCGTAACGTGACTTCTTACTATGAGGTGCCCATATTTTAGTGTATTTTGTATACCTTGTAGTGTGTGTTCGGTGGTCCTGATGTTGTCCAGTTTCTCCCAGCACTGCTCGTCTTTTACGCGCGGCAGACCCTCGTGGTTGGTTTTTCTGTACTCTAAGATGTAATGGTCAATCTTGTTGTCCTCCATTGGCATTTTCCAGCTGACCGTCACCTCGTTGTCCATCACCACACAGTCTATGAGCATGATCTCTGGAGCTCGCGGCACTGGGTGAACAAGAGAAGAGAACGCAGGGGTTTGATTCACAATCTACACTTTGAGGGAATCATATCATGTGCATTTTGTTTGTTCTCTGGAGGTCTGCTTATTGTAGGTTTAAAGCTTTGACGAATCTATTTATTTGTCCCAATCTGACTGGATTCTGATTCGCAAAGCTCTCATTTCAAGATTTAGGGCAGGGTTTTGAGTCCTGATTTGATCTGATTAAATTCGCAAGCTCTCATTTAAATTTGAATTAAGTTTGGATTCGATTTGATTCCATTTGCAAGCTCATTATGAAATATTGGATTTGATTCAATTCGCAAGCTCTCGTTTAAATTTGATTAAATTTTAGATTCAATTTGATTCGATTGGCAAGCTCTCATTTAAATTTGATTCAATTTTAGATTCAATTTGATTCGATTGGCAAGCTCTCATTTAAATTTGATTCAATTTTAGATTCAATTTGATTCGATTGGCAAGCTCTCGTTTAAATTTGATTAAATTTTAGATTCAATTTGATTCGATTGGCAAGCTTTCATTTAAATTTGATTCAATTTGATTTGATTGGCAAGCTCTCATTTAAATTTGATTCGATTGGCAAGCTCTCATTTAAATTTGATTTAATTTGATTCAATTGGCAAGCTCTCATTTAAATTTGATTCGATTGGCAAGCTCTCATTTAAATTTGATTCAATTTGATTTGATTGGCAAGCTCTCATTTAAATTTGATTCGATTGGCAAGCTCTCATTTAAATTTGATTCAATTTTAGATTCAATTTGATTCGATTCGCAAGCTCTCATTTAAATTTGATTCAATTTTAGATTCAATTTGATTCGCATTGCAAGCTCTCATTTAAATTTGATTCAATTTTAGATTTGATTCAATTCGCTTCCCAAGCTTTAATTTAAACTTGGCTCAATTTTAGATTCAATTTGATTTGATTTAAATTCAATTCTTCACTCTATTGAGTTCAGTGGATACAGATTTAATAAAAAAACTACAAATAATTTAATACAAATGTCATTGATATTTGTAAAAATGAACTGAATTCTATTGCCTCATCTTGTCTGTTTTACTAGTTAAGATTTCTATACTTTATACATTACATAAAGTTGTTTGGTTGTCTAATGATTAAATGATCTATGTTACTGTTTGCCTGTAAGTACACACATTTATTATATGTATATTATATATTAGTGGCACATTGTGTATGTTTATGTGAGATATATGTTTGACATGACATGAATCATTTTAATCTGAAGTCATGAGCAGTGTTTGTCTCTTACAGCACAGACACAGAAAGTATAAATACATTGCTTGTGCGTGTGCATGTGATGGTCTGCTGTCCTAAATAACCTGTTAAAGTCTCCTGTATGTCCAAAGATAACATGCAGTCATAAATAAAGCTGTGTTCACTTTCACTACGGCAGCGTCTGATCCTCTCTGCATGTGCTCAGGTTGACTGGGGACACGTTTGACTTTTGTGTTTCTAAATTCACTCTGCTCAAACACCTCCGGGTACATAAAACACTGTCAGGGTCAGGACGCCACCTTTCAAAGCCAAACACCAGGAGCCCGAGGCACAAGAAGTAGGTGAAGCACACTTTTATTTGTGATAAAAGCCCGGTACTGTGCTTATTTTGAAAAGAAATGATGCCAGAATGAGCATGGCAGACAATGCTTTGTTCATTTATGCACGCCTCAAAATGTTTGCATTCATGCATTTTGCTTTGGCTAAGTCTCTATTTCAGAGGTCGCCACAGCAGAATGAACCGCCAACTATTACAGCGTATGTTTTACACAGCGGATGCCTTTCCAGCTGCAACCCAGTACTGGGAAACACCCATATATACCAGACACACCCATACACACTCTCATTCACACACATAACCGGTCGAAACCGGTCGCCGTGGTCAACTCCACTCTGCATCTCGAGCCTGCCGACGTACACGCTGAGCTGAGTGGACAAACGGGTTGCAGCAGGAAAGCCCTCCACAAGGAGGTAAGTGGTTGGCCGGCCGGCCGGCAAGAGCGAAAGGGAACAGCGTCACACCGCCCCGCAGCGTTCGCTTGAAAAAAATTAATGCAGCTGTACGTACCTCCCGGGACGTATTCCGCTGTCTCCAGAAACATCCGCGAGACTACGCTTTCAGAATGAGCCTGGGTTGGTCATTACAGATTACAAATCTACAGAGTCAAAAATCCTTTTACACATATTTTGATATTTTATTTTTCCAAACAATAAAGTAGACTTTAATGCTGTATAAAAATTTAATTTAATTTAGCACGTAAATCATGCGAGAGGAATTGTTGGATGATTAACGTTTTCTTTTAGAGCAACATTATTATAGAAATTTCCAATCTATGCAGTATTAAAAAATGTAAGTGTCAAAATGAGAGTAGTTGTCTTTTTACTCTTTTATAATCATATCTTGAACTTTCAACTTCTCTGTGATAATCTGCCTCTATCCTCTACCTCAAAATGACATTTAATGAATATTAAAGTGCAATGAAGCAAAATCCATACTTTACGTAAAGTTAAGCTGGCTCAGTTTTACAGGATTAACCTCGGTGTGAGCTAATTAATATTCATGAAATACAAATATAAAGACAGAAGTAAAAAAAGACTGAATAATTTATATATAATGTATATTAGGGGTCATCAAATCCAAGTACATGAAGGTGATGTGCTAAAACAGAGAAATGTAATGATGAATATATTAAATTACTTTGAAATGTTTTTTCACATGATATAAGATGGGAGCTTAGCAAAAATGCTCGAGGAGAGGTTATTTTTCAGTGATCAGCAGATTCAAGGACTTTCTTTTTAAAGCGGCATTCATTTTAACTCAAGCACCTTTGTAATTCATACCCCAGCATTTGTAGCGTCCTTAATTCCTTAATTTTCCTTCAGCTTAGTCCCTAATTGATCAAGGGTCACCACAGTTGAATGAACCGCCCACTAATCTAGCACATGTTTTACACAGCGGAAGCCCTTCCAGCTGCAACCCAGTACTGGGAAACATTTTCATTCACACTCATACACTACAGACAATTTAGTTCATTCAATTCCCCTATAGCGCATGTGTTTGGACTGTAAGGGAAACCGGAGCACCCGGAGGAAACCCACACCAACACCGGGAGTCCCATAGACATAATGATGTATGTCTGTATAACTTGCATTTTGTATCACCTGCTATTAATAAACCTCTGTTTTGGTATCTTTTCACTTGTAAGTGTATGTGGATGCATTTATTCACATATTTGTGATTTTTATTTTGAATTATCTTTCACTTTTTTGTATGGTTTGCTTTGTTTTTTTTTTAGGAAAAGTTCCTAATATCAATAAAGACACTGTTAAAACATTATATAATGTCCTAAATCATCGAACTCAAACTTGATTGCTGATGGGCCACAGCACATAGTTTTGCTCCAACCCTAATCAAACACAGCTCATCCACCTAATCAAGTTGTTCAAGACTACTAGGCACTATTAAGCAGGTGTGAGTTAGAGGTAGTTGGAGCTAAACTATTCAGAGCTGTGGCCCTCCAGGAATTAAGTTTGAAACTACTGTCTTAAATGAAGGTATCTATGGAAGTCACTTGATTAAGCTCATGTTTTTTCTTAAGCAATTTAAAAGTTTGGATTTTTCCCTTGTCAGAGAGTGTGTAAACATTTGAAATTCTTAGATTTGTCTATATTCAGAATTGATCTATTTGGTGAAGGTTTTTAGGTTCATTTTCTGAAGGGTTGATGCTGTAAACAAGCGTCTAAACAAGAAAATTAGTGAAGATGATTTTACCTGGGAGGAACTTGAGGGCCTGCAGAGTCTGTCTCTCCTGGCTGAAATCCACCATCATGTGCGTCATATTATCTGTGGCTTTGGGCTTCATGGTCAAGCGGAAAGCAGGAGCCATCGTCACCCTAAAAGCATAAGCAGAAATAGTTTCGCTTTTGTTTCATAGTTAGTGAAACTACACACAATAAAAACATCAATTAACAATTTTCCATATTTTATGATTCCTGTTTTTTTCGTATGCTTTTGAATTTAATTTAATTGAATTCTGGGACAACTTTTGATGCTGAAAACTAATTTTGTTTATAATTTAAAGTGATTGTCTAAATGAGCTTGTAAATTAAAGGCTAAATAGTTTAGTTTATATATTATAGTCATGATATTATATTATATTATATTATATTATATTATATTATATTATATTATATTATATTATATTATATTATATTATATTAATTTTTTATATTATATTATATTATATTATATTATATTATATTATATTATATTATATTATATTTTATTTTTTATATTATATTATATTATATTTTATTAAATTTTATTATATTATATTATATTTTATTAAATTTTTTTATATTATATTATATTATATTATATTATATTTTTTATATTATATTATATTATATATTTTTTATATTATATTATATTATATTATATTTTTTATATTATATTATATTATATTTTTTATATTATATTATATTATATTTTATTAAATTTTATTATATTATATTATATTTTATTAAAAATGTGTATATTATATTATATTATGTTATATTTTATTTTATTTTTTATATTATATTATATTAAATTATATTATAATTTATTTATTTTTTGTTTTATTTTTTTATATTATATTATATTATATTTTATTAAATTTTTTTTATATTATATTATATTATATTTATTATATTATATTATATTTTATTAAATTTTTTATATTATATTATATTATATTATTTTTTTTATATTATATTACATTATATTATATTATAATCATTATGTCACTCAGAGCTAGTGAATCCATACACAATTAATTAATTAGGTTTTTTTTGTATGTATCAACCTAACCCCCATGATTGATTGTCAGCACAAAAACACATGCAGAACATGCACAAGTATATAACCTGTATGCCACGGATTTTCATGCTATAAATATTATAAAAAAGGACAGTCTCTGATTACAAAAGCATTGAAGTTGATTACATATACAGAAAGAAATGTGTTGAATACACATTTACACATACAGAAAGAATTGATGTTGGTTTATGCATCACTTGCAGGAAACACCACTAAATGACTGTTACTAAGTCTGAGGATCAACTTTGCACACAAATTAAAAGCAATTATAGTTTCAGCACACCTTAATGCAGTCAACACAAACCACTACAATGTCTGAATGACCTACATAATAGCACAGAGATAGAAAGGACGACACACACATACACACACACACACACACACACACACAAACACACAGACTTGCTCATTATTGAAATGCGTACCCCTATATACGTTTCTGGAGAGCCCAAAATAAATCCCAGGATCTAGGTTTTGTTTTCACGAATCCATTAGAAAAGCCCTGATTTTTACTACATTTTCAGATCTTACCACGTTCTCACACTGTTATTTACTTGTTTATTTTATTTTTAGCTTTTGTTTTTGTTTTAACTGCTTTCTGGAACCGTTCTTTGCCAGACTCAAACCTCGTCGTTGTAGTCAACTTCTCTCTGCGTCTCCAAGTCCGCCAATGTACATGGCGAGCTACTGAGCAAACTGGTAACAGCGGGAAAGCCGTCCACATGGAAGAAAGCGGTCAGCTGGTAGCACAAAAAAGAAACAGAAGGCGTCTGCGGCCTCATACCATCCTCTAGTGTTCATTATAAAGACAAAATGCAGCCATACATAGCTCTGGCTACATAATTCGCGCTCTCCAGAAATGTATACGGGGGTACGTTTTCACAATGAGCCTGTGCTAGAATTAACAGTGCAAAACAAACGGTGAATGAATGACTCGTGCAGTTGTCACACATTCACATACTGAGGAACGTATACTGTACCTATCTTTGATCTGTTTGGCAGCCTTGAGCATGGAGATAAAGAGAAGGAGAGGAAAAAACAGCAGGTGGTTAGTATCGCCATGCAGGAGAAGAGTGTGAGCATGCCATCAGCTCAGAGCTGGACTGGATATATACAATCAAAATCACACTCACACACACACAAACACACACACACACACACACACACACACACAAAGATGCACAAACATACACACATAGAAATAAACAAACAAATAACACATACAAACATATACACACATACAAATACATACAAACACACAGACACACACACATATAGATAAACATACACACAACACACAAACATATTTAAACATATATGTACACACACATCACAAACACACATAGGCACACAAACATATACACACATAGAGAAGCAAACAGACACACACACACACACACACACACACACACACATATATACATAAACTTATAAACACAGAAACCAACATCACACACACACACACACACACACACACACACACCCAGATAAGCAAACAGACACACAAACACAAGCATATACACATAAACACACACAGGCACAAACATACACATATACATTAACACACACACACACACACAAACAGAAATAAGCAAACAGACACACAAACAAACATATAGATAAAAATGCATGCACACTCAGACACACACACACACACACACATACAAACACACGCACACATATATATACAAACACACACATATATACAAAAAACATACACACATCACACAAACATATATTTAAACATATATGTACACACACACACACGTCACAAACACACACAGACACACAAACATATAAACATAGAGAGAAGCAAACCGATACACACATACATAAACATATAAACACGGAAACAAACATCAATCATGCGCACACACACACAGACACACACACACACACACAAAGGGAATCCTAAACATATAAAGCATTTATATTGTCACGTTTTATTGATTGATTGGTGAAAAAATTCAGAAAAATGTTCAGAAAATTAAATAAGAAGGATTAGTAGAGTGTGTTTTAGCTTTGGCTCACAGTAATTTCCACAACGCAAGTTGGAAAATTTAAAAAACGTTTGCATCTATACAATCACATCAGCATGCGTGTATGTGTGTATGTATGTTTATATATGTGTATGTTTGTGTGTGTGTGTGTGTGTGTGTGTGTGTGTGTGTGTGTGTACCTTACTGAACTCGGCCTCGTCTGAGATGTGCAGCGCATTATTGGCAAACTCCAGCAGCTCTTCTGCGCTCTCTAATGCACTGGTGCTCTGGGTCAGCTGGTTCTGGAGCACAGACAAACACTGGTAATTATGAATCTTACAATAACACATGTTTTCTGATAAAATAATAAATAAATAAATAAATACATTTTCTTTAACATGAGATAAAAGTGCATTTTTTATTTTTAAGCAACATCACAAAAGCAAGTGTTATTCCTAATGCATAAACGGCTAAGAGTTATGTCAAGCAAAAACTTAACATATATAACATAATATTAAAATATCAACTTATTTTGTTACTTGAAATAAAATATATATTTAAAAAAAAAACTATTTAAAAGTTGTCACACAAACATTGTAATGTATTTAAATTTTCTTCAAAACATTAAAAGAAAATACAATTAAAACCTGTATATATTTAATATAAGAAATGGGAGAATTACTTAAATTGAAATTGAGTTTGACTTAAATGCATATTAATTTATTTTTATTCTCTGTCAAATTTAAGTTGACATAAAATTCAAAACCTGTAGACATTTAATAATAAAAATGGGGGAAAATCACAACAAAACTGTTAAAACTTTATCTAAAATACATATTCAGTTACTTTTATTATCCTAATTAAATAAAAAACCAGGCGTCACAGTGGCGCAGTGGGTAACACAATCGCCTCACAGCAAGAAGGTCGCTGGTTTGAGTGCTGGCTGGATCAGTTGGCATTTTTGTGTGAGTATGCATGTTCTCCCTGTGTTGGCATGGGTTATCTCCGGGTGCCCCCACGGTTAAAACACATGCGCTATAGGAGAAATAAATAAGCTGTACGTAGTGTATGAGTGTGAATGAGTGTGTATGGGTGTTTCACTGTGTTGGGTTGCAGCTGGAAGGGCATGCACTGTGTTAAACCTGTAGGCATTTAATAATAAAAATGGGGAAAAACAACAAAATTGCAAAAATGTTATCTAAGATACATTGTTGTTTATTTTTATTTACTACCTTTACTTAAATAAAATTAAAAACCTCTGAATATTAAAAAACAAAAGGGGGAAAACACAACAAAATTTCTAAAACCTTATCTAAAAACAAATAATTGATTTTTATTTATTATAAAATTAATTTAAAATTACATAAAATTGCTAAAATTTTAACTAATTATATAGTAATATTAAAAATATGGGGGAAAAGCAACAAAAACTGGTCCTAGTCTGCTCAGTAACTCATTGTTTTGGTTTGTTTGTTTGTTCACTTTGTTTCATGTTATAATCATATTTTTGAATTCCTGTTCAAACGTTGGTTGATTCACTTTTATTTATTGTGTTGTACTTTTTGTATCTGTTCGATTTTTGAACCTGGCCTGTCCCCTTATTTTTTATTAACACTTCTATTGCTGCACTTGGATATTTTTTGTATTTTTGTGAGCCCATCGTGACATAAATAAGTTTATGAGTGCACAAGCAAACGGCAAAAATCCAAAGGCAAACTAAACACAACATAACAAAGCTTAAAAAGACAACAAAAATAATTAGACAATAACAGACAGCTGGAAACAATTAGTGATCAAGTGAACTACAACGCAGGAACAAACCAAAAAACAACTAGTGTCCAGAAAACCACAAGATGGCACTACAGCAGACATGACACAATAAAGTTGAATCTAATCTAATCTATAATACATCATCATTCATTTTTATTTACTACAAAATTTACACTGAAATGAAATAAAAGACCTGTTGACATTAAATAACAAAAATGGAAAGGAAAATGGCTAAAACCATTATCATTTATTTTTACTTACTCTAAAAACTTAACTATGAAATTAAATTAAAAACAAACCTTTAAATAAAACTACATTTACAATGTAAACAGAAAATTGCCATAGAAAAATACCTGAAAACATAAGACTAATCCATCAGTAATCCGTGATCTGATGACAAGCAGACAGCTGAAACACATTACCCATCACACCTGCCATGCACTGACATTTGTTTCCAAAGCACATTCACTGACCGCCTGTGTCTGAATATCAATATCATCTTCAATATCATTTCATATATCACAAAAACTGCCGCTGTTGTTGTCCAATGTAAGTTGCAGAACAATAAAACATTTAAAAAGGATCTATTACACACCTTTTTACAAGATGTAAAACAAGTGACTGACGTGAGTGTTCCAGCTCAAAATACTCGACAAGTAATGTTTTAATCATGCCATTTTGGTGACTGTCACTTTAAATTCAAATGAGATTGTGACGTTTTCAAGAGAGGGCGGAGCTACAAATGCCTGTGTGTCAGCATAGCAGCAGATTTAAAACTCTGGATGGCTGCTTCTCTCTCAGGTCTGCTTATGCTAATGAGAGAGAGAGATGGTCACTAGTGGGCGGGGCTTTCTCCCTTTGATGACATGTACAAAATGCAAATGTCAATCAAAGTGCTTCAGCAGGCTGTTTTTATTAAGGGTGATTAAAAAAAATAGAATTAATACATTTTTACCATTAGAAGCTGGCTATAATAATTTCAACACAACTGCGTTTAAACCCCTTATAAATGTGATTTTTGCATAATAGGTGCCCTTTAAGATCCACAAATTGCTCTGTATTGGACACAGCCCTGCACTGCCACCTAAAAATGAGCACTAAAGATAGTAGACCTGACACTCAAAACAGCTTTACCCTAAATGTGCACCGAGCTGGAAGAAATCTGCAGAGTTTATTCAGTGCATCCTCTATGAACACCCTACACGTCTGCATTTCCATGAATAATACTATATTTTAGTTAAAAATCAATTATATATTTATTGTGCAGTATGAGCACACTGTAAAAAATATAATAACAAAATATCAAACAACAAATGTTTATAACTTATTCTAATAAGTTATTCAGATTTCAACTAAATTTCTTAAGTCATAGAAAAATTATAATTAGATATATTTTTAGTCAGATTGATTGGTGTAAGTTGAGATGACTAGAGAAGTTCACTTGATTCAACTAAAAAAGTCAAACTGACAGTACAAACAGAATCTTTCCAGAACATTTAGAAATTAAACACATCATTTAGAGACCTTTGTTAAAAATTTTAGAAGCAAAGATGGGCCGAGATCACCAGCTTGACAACAAATAAATGACAAAATTATTGAAAAACAATGTTCCGCAAAGAAAGAGAGGAAGAAATTTGGCTATTTCACCTTCAACAGTGCAGAACATCATTAAACAAATTCAAGGAAGATCTGGAAGAATTTCAGTATGTAAAGGACAATCTTAAAGGTGCAGTAGGTGATTTGCCAAAATGCTAACCGCTTAGCATATTATCTTTGGACGGCGGGGAGGGACTGTGATTCAAAGCCACACCCCCTAAAAAATCGCGAGCACGCGCACTGCATCACAACAGCAGACAACTCACTAGTTCATGTCATTCGCCAGTTAGTTAAAGCCAGCGCCGTGCAGGAATTACATTTATTACTTAGCCACACTTACATGCTATTTCAGAGCGAATATTCAGAGTAGCATGGGAAACTGTATAGGAAGGCTGTCATTGTTCAAAAATGACCCAATGTGAATATAAAAGCAACTTCAGCTCAGTAAAGCAGGTTAGGCGGAATAGCGCTATTTACTGGTGTTTTGTTGTTAAACTAAATATAAATCTACATTATAGATGCTGTCAAAGAACCTTATGAAACTGAAAATAATCACATCAATCTTTCCCCGGGGGATTTCAGTGGCTGAACAACACGACTGTGCATAGAAGTCATTCATAACAGAACACATTCATAACATAAGCTTAGCCTGACTAAGGTTTAAAACAACATGACCTGTCTAACAGTAATATTTCAGCCATGGTGTCGTCCTTCCTCCAGCGTGCTAAAGTAACTCCAATACTGATTCAGGTTTTTAAAAGTTTCAATTCAGCATTAGATTTTTCCCGGTCCGTCTAGTGACCGCGCGGCCGCTTTAAGGGCGAATTATACTCGCGCCTGGCTTTACAGTAATCGGCCCAAGCTTGGCTGTCCTTCGGCGCCTCCGGCTCCGACTCGGCATCGGCGAGCGGCCCGCAGCTCGCTCGTGCACATGCGTTTGTGATGCAGAAGGGCACGCGCTAATGGCGGATCTGCGTGAACAGATGCGCAGAAGTCCGAATCTACATATGCTGACAGACAGTCTGACCTGCTTATCAGAATTATGGGAGATGTCGGTCCGACTCTATTTAATTGGATGAACATTTTTTAGTTTTATGCTTTACCCTGAATATAAAAATACATATAAACACATTTAGATCATTTACTGTAATCATTACTACTGGACTGTGAAGAGACTTTCAACCAGCACAACAGAAAATGTTTCTGAAGACAATCACCTACTGCACCTTTAAGGGCAAGCCTAAACTGAACTACCGTGATCTCCGATCCCTCAGGTGGCACTGCATCAAGAATCCTCATTCATCTATAAGCGATATGACCACATGGGCTCAGGACTACTTTGGCAAGCCTTTATCAAGTACCAGAATGCTTATTTACATCCACAAATGCCAGTTAACACTGTACTGGGCCAAAAAAGGCAGCCCTATGTTAACAGTGTCCAAAAGCGTCGTTAACTTCTCTGGGTGCGAAGGTATCTGCGATGGACTGTCACACAGTGGAAACATGTACTGTGGTCAGATAAATAAGTAGTTAATTTTTTTTTTGGGGGGGGGGGTGGGGGTGGGGGTGGACGCCGTGTGCTCCGGATTAAAGAAGAAAAGGATCATCCAGACTGTTACCAGCAACAATTCAAAAGCCAGGCTCTGTCATGATATGGAGTCGTGTCAGTGCCCTTGGCAAAGGTAACTTGAACTTTTGTGATGCACCATAAATACTGAGAAGTACAGAGAGATTTTGGAGCACTATATACTGCCTTCTTTTCCAGGGACGCCCATGCATATTTCAACAAGACAATGCAAAATCACATTCTGCACACATTACAAAGTCCTGCCTGCGGAAGAAGAGGATACGGGTGCATGACTGACCTGTCTGCAGTCCCGACATAACTAATGGCAGCAAGCGTTTTGTGCGCTGCATATGCGCCCTGCGCACCTCGCGTTTTAACCGCCTGCTGCACCTCGAATTTTTGCCCTTGTGCCCCGTGCTCTCGCAGCTGAAAAAAGTAAACTCTGAGCGGAAAAGAGTGTTACGTCAGTCGCGTCTTTTTCATTCTTCAATCAAATGAAAGCAGAGGCGGGGTTTTCACTGAGGTGACTGCAGTGTTTGTGTTGTCAAGACAACAGCGGAAAATTTTGAAGATGGAGGAGAGACTTGTGGTCCCTGTTTTGAGTTATCCAGACTATTATGACTTCACAAATCTTGAATATCACGATATTATTAAATATTAAAAATCAAATTAATATCAACAGCAACACTCTCGCACAATATCCATCTGATTCAGTTGTTGCCTAGCGACATTAAAGCGACTTTTTTTCTTGTCAACAAAAAAAGCAGTGAGGTGCGCCTCGCTTCGGTGTGATCGGCCCCTTACGCCCCATTCACACGGGGCTTCAGCGTCAACGCTTGACTGAAGGCGTGTCTGAAGTTGGGGCTGAAGCGATCGTCATAGAAGCATCAGCCAATGAAATTCAGTCAGCAATAGGCTACTGTCTAGCTGGTGTATTTGCATACAGCGATCTGATTGGCTGACGCTTCCGTCGGCGCTTGAAAAGTTGAGCTAGTCCCAACTTCTGCAGCGAGCAACACCTCTGAAGCGGCGCTGATGGATCCACAATGCAGTTCAGCAAAGCCTGACATCACCTATTCAAAGTGAATGGGAAGCGTTGACGCTGACGCCCCGTGTGAATGGGGCGTTACTGTCCCAACTTTGTTTGAAATGTGTTGAAGGAACCAAAATTTGAATATGTGTTTACTTAAAATAAACAATAAACAATAAAAATCATGAGGAACACATTAAATAGCGTTTGTTGTGTTGTCTGCAATGAAATACAAGTTAAAGTAAAGTTGGAAATCAAGACTTTCTTTTTTATTTGCGTTTTGCATCCTGTCCCAATCTGATTTGGGGTTGTGTATTGTAAGTTTTATTGTTTAAATTTAAGTCGATGTGTTTGAAAATGTAAAAAAATAATAAAGAAAGTTAAAAAAAAAAAAGAGAGTCCCTGTGGCGGTCAGTGATGAAGATCAGCATGTTTACGTTCGGTTATGTGGGTAAGAATGGGAAGGGAAGAGAGCCTATGGTTAATCACGTATCTGAGCTCATTTCTCTCTCTGCTATTGTTCCTGTTCAGTGGACTTAGAGGGCTGGGCACAATACTGCCATTACAGCACCATGACATCATCAGGCTAACCAAAGCCAGCCACACACACACATAAACACACACACACACCCACAAGACTTCTACTACAACAACACTACAGGTGTATGCACAAACACACAGGCTTGTTTTTGTGAATTACGAGGACATTCCATAGGTTTCCATTGCTTTTATCCTATAGAAACTGTATTTTTATTTCTATCACCCTATCACAAACCTATCCCTGAACTCAACCCTGTATTTTTATTTTCTCAAAAACACATATTCATAACTCTTGTGCTATGTTACCTGCAGCTCGTGTGATTTGCGGAGCGACTCCTGCTTGATGGTACTCGTCATGCTCTCCTTCATCTCATCCAGAATAGAGTACAGCGTGTCGAATTCCTCCTCCAAATCCGACACCACCTGTGTAGAGTTGACCTGAAACAAATTTTGAATCAAAACATAAATGACTGACCAGATCAATTTTTCAAATATGTGACGCTGAACCACAAAACCAGTCATCCGTGTGCACATTTTTAGAGATTGAGATTTATGCATTATGTGAAAGTTGATGAAATAAGTGTGCATGTTTAGAATAGGACACAATTTGCCCGAGATGAAACTATTTTCACCAAAATCACCTGTAGAGTTGTCTAAATTAAGATCTCAGCAGTGCATATTACTAATCAAAAATGCATTAGATATATTTGCAGTAGGATATTTAAAAGATATCTTCATAGAACAAGATTTTTACTTAATATTCTAATGATTTCTAGCAATCAAATCCATCATTTTGACCTAAACATTGTATTTTTGACTAATATAAGACTGGTTTTGCTGTTTGTTTTAATTTAATACTTTATTAATGTAATTAAGTTAGAGCTATTTTATTTTTCTAGCTATCCTAGACCGCTTGGATCATCTCAAAACGGGTTTATATATATCAGAACTGCCTTAATCCTTCGTGGCATAAATTCAACAAGGTGCTGGAAATAATCCTCAGAGATTTACTCCATATTGACATGATAGCATCACGCAGTTGCCGCAGATTTGTCGGCTGCTCATCCATGATGCCAATCTCCCGTTCCACCACATCCCAAAGCTGCTTTATTGGACTGAGGTCTGGTGACTGTGTAGGCCATTTGAGTACAGTGAACTCATCGTCATGTTCAAGAAACCAGTCTGAGATGATTCACGCTTTATGACATGGTGTGTTATCCTGCTGGAAGTTGCCTTTAGAAGATGGAGACACTGTGCTCATAAAGGGATGGACATGGTCAGCAACAAAAGTCGGGTAGGCTGTGGTGTTGACACGATGCTCAATTGGAACTAATGAGCCCAAAGTGTGCCAAAAAAATATCCTCCACACCATTACACCACCACCAGCCTGAACCGCTGATACAAGGCAGGATGGATCCATGCTTTCATGTTGTCGACACCAAATTCTGACCCGAGCATCCGAATGTGGCAGCAGAAATGGAGACTCATCAGAGCAGGCAACGTTTCTCCAATCTTCCTTTGTCCAGTTTTGGTGAGCCTGTGTGAATTGCAGTATCAGTTTCCTGTTTTTAGCTGACAGGAGCGGCACCCAGTGTGGTCTTCTGCTGCTGTAGCCCATCTGTTTCAAAGTTGGATGTGTTGTGTGTTCAGAGATGCTCTTCTGCAGAGCTCCATTGTATCGAGTGCTTATTTGAGTTACTGTTGCCTTTCTATCACCTGGAACCAGTCTGGCCATTCCCCTCTGACCTCTGGCATCATCAAGGCAATTGTGCCCACAGAACTGCCGCTCACTGGATATTTCCTCTATTTTAGAGCATTCTCTGTAAACCCTAGAGATGGTTGTGCGTGAAAATCCCAGTAGATCAGCAGTTTCTGAAATACTCAGACCAGCCTGGAACCAACAACCATGCCACGTTCAAAGTCACTTAATTCAATTTTCTTCCCCATTCTAATGCTCGGTTTGAACTGCAGCAGGTCATCTTGACCATGTCCACATGCCTAAATGCACTGAGTTGCTGCCATGTGATTGGCTGATAACAAATTTGCGTTAACAAGCAGTTGGACAGGTGTCCCTAATAAAGTGGCCAGTGAGTGTATATGTGCATGGACAAAGATAGCTCAGTGTGTTGGTTCCCTTTCATCCCTTATGTAATGCATTATGTAATAAATGATATCGCAGTACCTCGCGGCAGATTAAATGTGTGTTTGCAGGTGTATCCGCTGCTGTTCAGTGTTGCTGAGTTCGTGCTGTTAAAGTGCTCACCTGAACCCGATCCAAAGTGTGATTCAGCGTTTCAATGAAATTATGGAGCTCCTCATTTTTGTTTGCTAATGTGGCGATTATCCTCTGTAAGGCATCCTGTGAAAGAAAGCAAAAACACTTTAAACACAATAACAGTATCTCAGTCAGAGTCATCATCAGAACTAACGCAATACAATACACAGTTCTACTGTTAAATTGAGCTGAATCTAGTTTCAGTGACACTCATAAGCATCACATGCAAATCAAGATAGAACATTTAGAAAAAGCATTTAGTTTAGAAACACAGAAAAGCCCTCAGAGGAGCAGAGATTTCATTAAAAAGAAAAAATATGCATCCTTAAACAGAGCAATTACTAGGGGTGTCAAATCGAAATCGATCGAAATTTATGCTCAATTTCGATTATCGAATCAAAAATTAGAATCGTCGATGCTGCCACGCCCCCATGTCACGTCAGCTTGGCTTGCCAAGCGGGTAAAAAACAGGCTTGTTGAAGTGCTTGTTAAACTGCAGACGCAGGAGACCCGTCGACAGAGCTTAAACCCTCTCCTCTTTCAATGAAGTCGCTGGTGTTTAAGCATTTTGGATTTCCAGTGAGTTATGTTGACAACGTTCGTGTTGTCGACAAAAAAAAAACACAGTTTTGCAAGCTCTGCTATGTATGTATTACGTACGGTTCGTCCGATAGACAACACCGGCATCACGATCCTCCGCCCGCCCCCGTTGCAAATCCGCTCGCGAAAAGTTCACACTCAGGCCCTGTTTACACCGTCTTTGTTTTTAAATGGCATTTTAGAACGACAACGATTTGACATCCACAGTGGCGTGTAGCATTTCTGAGCAGCCCTCCTTCCTCTCTACCTCTGAAAATGCAGATCACGTGACCACACAGACACAGACGCACACACAGCCATGCGCTCGAGACAGCAGGTCCAGGCAGTCAGAGGACTGCTTCAATCTTTCACTCACTTGTACTTCGTCATTTTAGCGAACACCTCAGATACTGTTGGCTGGTTCCTGTTGGTTGTGCGTCTTTTTTACTGACGCCATTATAACGACACAGATCACTGCCTATTCACGAGTCCCGCAGAAAAGTGATTGACAGGTGGTAATTATGTGTGTATCTTGCCTTTATTCATTTACTGTATGATCTGTTTATGGGTAAAACAAAGACCATGCAGGTCAGGTAGTTTAAACGGTAGGCTACAAATAATTAATTGCTCATTAATTAATTAATTATTCATAATCGAAAATCGAATCGTGCCTTTAGAATCGAAAATGTAATCGAATCGAGGATTTGGAGGATCGTGACACCCTTAGCAATTACTAATTATTTTGCTGTAAAGTATCAGCCGTTGCTCTTCCCTCTTTACTTTCTCTGTAAGGCAGAAACACACTCCGCTAGATCTGTGTATCACGCTTTTAAACAGCATGCTTGTTGATGAAAACTAGAAATAAAGGACCAGAAACTGAACAAACACCTTCAGCTGGAGGATTTAAAGAAAATATGAACATTTCAAAAGGCAATCATCATGTCTAACGTCTATGCTTGTACACATTTAATGAATGACACAGCGATCTTTTCTAAACTGCATCACTGTATTACGTTTTAAAACCAGCACTATTAATATCAGCCTTGATTTTGTACAGCAGAAAACATCTGACCTTTTTTTTATATACATCTCTATCTATCCTCGGAGGTTTGTTCAGCGTGTCCTATATAGCAACTCATGTGGAAATCTCTCAGATGCACTGCTGAGGAATAACATGCTCTTTTATTTGCTTTGCACTTTAGAAAAATCCCTTATTATTATTCTTATCATGCATTCAATCATGTTCTTTCGCCTAGTCCCATATTTATCAGGGGTTGCCACAGCGGAATGAACCTCTAACTATTCCGGCATATGTTTCATGCAGTGGATGCCCTTCCAGCCGCAACCCAGTACTTGGAAACACCCATACTCTTATTCACACACACACATACACTACGGCCAATTTAGTTTATTCAATTTACCTATAAAGCATGTGTTTGGACTGTGGGGGGAAAAAAACATGCCAACACGGGGAGAACATGCAAACTCCACACAGAAATGCCAACTGGCCCAGCCGGGACTTGAATTAGCGACCTTCTTGCTGTGAGGCAGCAGTGCTAACCACTGAGCTACCAAGCCGCCCTTGTCATGACTTATTGGTCATATTTTGTACAGTGTAGTTTTAATTAGAATTTAAGTGTGTGATCGGTTTATTTGCATTTTAATTAGTTTAAATTAATGCACTGTTGTTAATCAGTTAAATTAAGTTTCCTGCATAAACTTCGGATTTATTAAACATTATTTTAAGGTGAGTGATTGCAAACATTGTATACGGGCTGAATTTAAACAAAAAATGAAGTTGAACATTACTAAATTTAATCAGTTTATATTGAGCCCATATAAATTGTTTGCAATCACTATATACTATATATATATACTATAATACTATATACTATAATACTATACACTATATATTACAATAATGCCTTTTTTTCAGTGTAGAAGCCACACGTCTAAACTTTTAGTCTGCCAATGTGCAAACTGTTGTATGGTTTTCTATAATTAACTGTGGGGTTTCACAAACACAAAAACTAAAATAACTGACATGGCCAAGTAAGAAGTGCACAGAAATGCAGTGTGTAATTCTCTGAAGGAGAAACATAGTGATGCAGCTTTCCATGACAGGGCCATATATGCAAAGATAATCAAATTTCAGTGAAAGCGAAGGACGATCCTCTGGTCACAGGTGGGGAAACAACGAATGGACATATTCGTGGCTCAAGAAATGAGGTTTAAAATGCATTGAAATAAATAGTCATTGAATTTAGTTTCAGACCTGAAACTTGCCTATATAGCACTTATTCATTGTTGCTCTTAGTTGTGAAAATTGCTTCCTTGTCCTCATTTGTAAGTCGCTTTGGATAAAAGCGTCTGCTTAATGACTAAATGTAAAATGTAAATGTATTTACTTTTTTAAGGTCAGTGGTTGCAAACAATTTATTTGGGCTGAATTTAAGCAAATAAATTAAGCTGAATATTAGTTTTGTACAGTTAAGTAAACAAACAATACTGAATGTAATTTGTTTGTTTAAATTCAGCCCATATTTTCTGTGTGCAATCAGTTTACCTTGAAAAAAAAGTAGCAAATCAAATGAATAATTTTTTATTTCCATCTTGTTGCCTTAAAATTTTGAGTTGAGTCAAATTAACTTTTCTGGTTGTCTCAACTTGCATCAATCAAACTGATTCAAAATATTAAGTTAAACTGTTTACATTTTTTTAAAAATTGGCACCAGATGAATGTATTAAATGAAATGTTTGTTGTCTTGACTTCTTGTCATTAAATTTTTTACAGTGTAGCGAATGCAGAAAGTCTGATCGGAGAAACCCAATATCCTTATCTGATCAGATGCTGAGAGAGAGAAAGAGAGAGAGAGAGAGAGAGAGAGAGAGCAGCACACCATGATTAAGCAGACTGAGGGATTACTGCACTCTATGTTTAGCCTAAAGAACAATCACTCCAATTAACTAACAAAGAATAATAGTATGCATTTAAAGCATGCGCTACACCATAACATAACATAAACATCAAAGCAAAACCATTGCGAAACAACAACACCAGTTAAATTATTATTATTACTGCAGAATTAATTCCTTGGTTCTTATTGCTTCTTTGGTATGATATGAACAGAAATATTCACACACCAATCGAAGCTGATGCATAAATACGCAAGGATTCGTAAAATGAAGATGATTCATTTCTAAATGACAGATAACTTTTATTAATCTTTTTTTTTCATTTGTGAATTACATTTTATCAAATTACACACACACACACACACACATATATATATATATATATATATATATATATATATATATATATATATATATATATATATATATATATATATATTATGTGAAATTATTTATTTTGAGGAAAGTCTTGCTAAAGCCACATCGAGTAGATATAATGAACAATTCCAAATGTAATATTTTGCACATTTTGCAATGAAATTTGATAATAGGTATATCTAATATTTATACAGGTATACCAATTATATACTCAAAAAAAGGACATTTGCTGTTTGTTCAAACTAAAAATGAGCTGAAAAAACACAATTCCCCATTTATTTTGGGACAACTTAATTGTTTTATGTTCAATCCACTTACATTTGTAAAAACTAATAAGTAACTTCATTTCTTTATGTTGTCCCAACACAAATCAAATGTGTGGAAGCCAGTATTTTTAACAGTGTACCTAACAGGCACATGATATATGTTGTAGATCAAATATTATCCAAAAAGAACAGCATAAAAACTAACCACAAGCAGCAAGATATGACAATGATGTACTTTGCTAAGCTATGTCTTAATATAAATGCATATACTGCAATGTGAATACAAAAAATAAGTGTGCAGCAATGCTAATTAATACTACCCGCCTCATCACTAAACTGCATTGCAATGACTGTTCAGACACAGTCAACAATAGGGTAGAGCCTGAATGACGCAGAGCTTACTATTCTGGTCAGACATCCCTAAACCCTTCAAATCCAGACCACACTGTAAAGTCTGACTCCAGGAGAGAGTGATGGTTGAGGATAAGGAGTTCTGGGACTAATCCAGAGAAAGAGAGAGAGGCTACTCTTAGGTCAATCAATGGAGAACATCACTAGTTAACAATGTACGATTTTAACCCTGATTTTCACTCAACAAAAGCCCGATAATATTAGTCATCCAACTTAACAATCTGTAATGCTGCAATGTGTATTTGAATAATGATGGTCGGTTCCTTGACTTGAAGTTACTGTATCATTATTATTCGCACCTTACAGGTGTTGATCTACCTTAGGGTTTCCTTTGATTGTTGAGCATTTACATTTTGTAACATTTAGAGCTGCACAATTAATCGTAAAAAGATCGCGATCTCGATTCGATCCCTTAGCGCGCTCTACTAGACGTTATTTAGTAAACAGAACCTGCTGTGAGTAACAGGTAATAAAGTTGTAAATAATATTGAGTTTGTGGCACAGAGTGATGGTTTGGGTGCCGCACGTGAAATATGATCAGCACTAAGCAGTGAAAATGAAACTGAAAGTGTGCACAATATTTAAATAATCATATCGCATTTTAGAGTTATGACTGCGACAAGCATTTGATTGTTTTTTTCTTTCATAGCGAACATGGTTGTGCATGAAAATAAATGTTTACAATGTCAGTATAACTACTCTCGCCTATATATCTGATCTTATGCATCAGAACAGCAGAGTCACTCGCTATTTTCAAGAAACGACTAAAAACTCAACTATTTAGTCTCCACTTCACTTCCTAATCTGCAATTGCCTCTCTGGATATACCACTAACTGTACCCAATAAAAAATAAATAAATAAAAAATAGTAATACTACTAATACTTTCCCTCTTAGACTTTACAGACCTGAAACTTGCCTACAGCACTTATTCATTGTTGCTCTTATAGTTGTGTAAATTGCTTCCTTGTCCCCATTTGTAAGTCGCTTTGGATAAAAGCGTCTGCTAAATGACTAAATGTAAATGTAAATATATTGTTGATTTTACCAGTGAATTAAATGGTCTAATAATGTTGTCAATAATTGCAAGCATATATCTCAAAACATAATTCAACATCAGAATCATTATAAGTAGAATAGAATTATTTATAGAAACCAGTAGAACAACACATAATATTTTTATTGTTGTTTTACCATATGTTTGAGAAAAAACAATAATAATTGCCGACTCATATTAACCTTTATTTTACATTTGCAGAATCGAGAGAAAATCGTGATCTTTATTTTAAGCAAAAAAAATAGCGTTTCTCATTTTAGCCAGAATCGTGCAGCTCTAGTAACATTTTATTTATTTAGTTCAAGAGCTTCTTTAACAAATGTAAAAAATTAACAAAGGTTAAAATTTTAAGTTTAAAAGTTATCAATACCGAATGATATAAAACATGATATTGTATTTTTTTTTTTTTTGCATTATCGCCCAGCCCTAAACTAAACACACTGTCAGCATATAAACATGCTTGAGATGACATATGACACATAAAGACATGTGATGCGTGAAAAGAAGACAAAGAAATTAAACAAATAATCACGTGAGCAGATCTTGGAAACACTGCCACTGATGTTTGTCTCTGTCATGTTTGCCATTCAGCCGAGTGTTTAAACTGCTATAGATCTGTCGAAGGATTCACACACTTGAAACTGTGTCTCTGCAACATTCAGCTTGCACTTCCACTTTCTTCAACACACAACTATTGACAGTCAACGGCAAAGGGGAAACATGAGAGCTGACCCAGATTAGACATATAAGACACGTTAGCTTCCAGCTATCTGTGTTTGCTCTTTGACCACCACAAGATCCACACCCTGAACTGCAGAAGTGAATGCAGCATAAAGAATACGCTTTGCTTTTGTGACAGATTCACTAGCATGTAAACCTGATCTAACTTTCAGGGGCTGCAATCTGATCCCGTCAGGCTTTCGCAGACTGCTGGACTTTTAGAGGAGCTTCAGTTTGAGTTCCAGGTGAACGGCGTGGCTGAAAAGTCCAACCGTCGCGTCTTACAACCTCTGTGAAATCAGACTCCTTTGCAAGACCCATAATGAAATGACCCACTTCCCTACAACACAGTCAGATTTCACTCATGTACAAGGATATTCCTTCCTCTAATCCAGTGGTTCCCAAAGTGGGGGTCGCAGGACAATGACAGGAGGACTAATAGACTAATAGAAAATTTATTTTATTAAACTATTTAAAGTACTATATTTATTCCATAACCCACAGAACATAAAAATAGTAGTTAATAGTTACACAAAAAAACAACTACATGCAAATAAAAAGCCATCAGTCTTCGAATTATTTTTCATAGGATTGTTTGTTTATGTTAGAGCAGCAGGTTTAACTTGGTGACACCTTTATGGCAATCAAATACATTAAAATTAAATACAGGCCACAACTGAATATTGAGAGAGATCTCTGAGTGGCGGTCTCCAAAATTAAATCAAAAAGAGTCTTGTGCTGAAAACATTGTGTCCATCAGTCTCATTAGGTGAGGTTAACATTAAGTTAAACAAATTAATAAATGACTATTTTAAATTATAACCTATGGTTGTTAAATTGTGGCACTTTTATGTTGTCAGTATGCTCAAGTTTATATAGGCATATCATTGTGTGTGCAACACTTATTTAAATATAATAATTTAAATGAATAAATAAATAATATTGTGAGGGTCACGAGTCACTGGCATTGTTATATAATATACAGTTGAAACCAGAAGTTTACATACACTCTATAAGATAAGATAAGCATTTTTTTTAAATGTCTGGTGTTAAAAAATACTAAACGTTTACTATTTTAGGTTTGTTAGGATAACCTAAATGATTTACATTTGCTAAATGCCAGAATACTGAGAGAATTGTTTTTTTTTTTGAGAATATTTTATTAATTTCTACACATTTAAAAGTTTACATACATTTCCTCTGTATTTTTTAGCTTAGCTTTTAAACTGTTTAACTTTGGTCAAATGTTTTGGGTATCCTTCCACAAGCTTCTCACAATAGTTTGCAGGAATTTTGGCCCATTCCTCCTGACAAAATTGGTGCAACTAAGGCCCCGTTTACACTAGTGCGTTTTAGTTTGAAAACGCATAAGTTTTGCTACGGTTACGCCATCCGTCCACACTACGCCGGAGTTCTCGAGCGCCGAAAACAGAGCTTTTTGAAAACGCTGGAGAGGCCGTTTTCATTCTAAAACGCTGCTGCTCCGTCTCAGTGCGGATGGGGAAAGACGGAGACATCTGAAAACGGAGGCGGATCTGATTGGGGCTTTTCCTCAATATTAAGTAGCCCACACACAGTTCAGTCACGCATCCTCTTCTTGTAAGTTCAGACTTCGCAAGTTTGATCAGCTGCAGTCTCCCCTTTCTCAGTTTGATATGGAAAACATACCGAGGACACGGGTAAATCTTCAAAGGGAACAGTGTACTTTATAACTTCATTCACATCACCTTGGCTACGTTGTTTCACTTTCTCAACAATAAAATGTAAACATGATTTAAGGAACTGCCTATTTTCTTTTTAATATTAGCAACTTAACAGACAGCAGAAATGTTGAGGCGTTGTGCTGAATATATGAGCGTCATCTTCACTGTGTGGATATTTATAACAAAACGGAGCCGATAACAACTGCCTCCTTTCAATTTCAGTGAAAATACGAAACACAGCCTCTCTTTTGCTGAATATCAGTTTTAATAATCGATAATTATAAAAGTATAACATACAATAAGTTTATACATTGTAGGAAATAAAGGCAAGCGATCAGTCAATGTACCTGGATTAATCATTAACTTATCTTTGCGCTTAACCAAAACATGTTACCCGTGAACAAGTAACTTAATAGATTACAATGATCAAAGTCAGGGAATTGGCCTATGTCGTTAGATAAAGACAACAACATGAATGAAATATCACGTTTAGCAAATATAGTGAGATTAGATCCAGCGGGAGATGCTTGATGAGCAGTCCGACTAGCAGAGCTCTCATCTGGGTAGAAATGCTGGAGCGCTTGCCCGAGAGTGTGTGTGTGGTCATGTGATGTGCGTTTTCAGCGTTTTGGTGTGGACGGAGAGCAGTTCAGAAACGCTGGGTAAAACGCGAGTGTGGACGCGGATCGTTTTCATTCTACAACGCCGTTTTAAAACTAAAACGCACTAGTGTAAACGGGGCCTAAGTCAGATTTGTTGGCTGTCTTGCCAACTCTGCCCACACATTTTCTACAGGATTGAGCTCAGGGCTTTGTGATGGCCACTCCAAAACATTCACTCTGTTGTCCTTAAACCACATTTTAACTAATTTGGCAGTATGCTTAAAGTCATGGTCTGTTTGGAAGACCCATTTGTGGGTAAGTTTTAATTTCCTGGCTGATGTCTTGAGATGTTGCTTCAGTATTTCTACATAATGTTCTCTCTTCATGATGCCATCTATGCTGTAAAGTGGACCAGTCCCTCCTGCAGTAAAACAGCCCCACAACATGATGCTGTCACCCCCATACTTCACAGTTGGGATGGTGTTCCTAGGCTTGTAAGCTTTCCCCTTTGTCCTCCAAGTGTAACACTGCTCATTATGGCCAAACAGTTCAATCTTAGTTCCATCAGACCACAGGACATGTCTCCAAAAATTATTCTGTTTCCCAGTGTAATTAAGCAAATTGTAATCAGGCTTTTTTATTGATTCTGGATTGTTAATTTCCCCATGTAGTCACACAAGGAAGCAGTGTGTTTAGGGTTTCCTTAAATACTATTCTACAGTTGTGCCTCCAATTAACTCAAATGTTGTCAATTAGCTTCCAAAACCTTGACATCATCATCTGAGCTTTTTCAGAGGCAAAATAATCTTATTGTATGTAAACTTGACTTTCAAGAAAAGTTATAACAATTTCTCAAAAAATATCTCTCTCATTATTCTGCTATAAGGCATAAATTAGAGCATAAATTAAGCAGAAAATCTCATTTTAAAATCTACATCTTATATCAGTGTAATAACACATATTAGCCTACAGAATGGGCCACAATCACACAGTGCTACTGTCATTTAAAATACATATAGCACTTAACATAATTTCTTATGTAACCAGAGATCAGCCCATGTACACATCTTATTCTTATATAAATCCTCACTTTCTTTCTCCTGAATATAGCTACAGGTCAAACCCTATTTTTAAAACACAATTAACTTCAATGTCAATCCACAAAGGCCACAAAAACAGATAATATATAGAGTAAATGAGGTATATTTGTTTACATTTCGTTGTTATGAAAGCAAGACAAGTGTCTATTTCAAAAGCTCTAACGCTACGGTTATTAACGGTGCTGCGTACACGATGAGCAAGATAATAAGCGTTCAACCTCAATATAAAGCCGAGATATTTCAGATATTTGATTTTAAAGGGACACTTACTTTCTGAGAGTCCATTACGAGGATAGCAAAACGATTGAATCCAGTTCATGAACAGGGAAAAAGGTCGGTACTCGGGAGCGATGAAGGAGCTCGATGATTCCCTTTGGAGCAGGGAGTGAACTGCGCATGTCCACTGTGTGTCTTTCTATGCGGCATGACGTCACCGCCAGTGTGTGCGCTCGGATCACTACACGGGTTTTTGTGACTGCAAGACGGCCGGTCAGGTTACACACACAAGGGGCCCACTTCTCTTTTGGCGACACAATTCAAACACAATGTCAATAATTAAGTAGTTATGTTCAAATCGATCGCACTGTGATCGATCAAAGGGGTAGTTCCCAGAAAAATGAACAATTGCTCACCATTTACTCACACTCTAATGCCTATTTTATGTATTTATGATAGCCTTTTCTATTTATGTATTTGTTTTATTATGCTTTTACACATCAACAAAATACCTACAGCAGGTTTAATTATATATATGAGAATATAAACCAAAAGAAAAGCTATAAAATGAGATTGAATGTTGCTTATGTATTTATATGAGGTGTTTGTGTGAGATTGTTATGAGTATTTGATAAATAATTTACTTTTAAGATCAATTAGATCTCTAAATGTGTGCCTACACTCACCGGCCACTTTATTAGGTACCTGTCTAACGGTGTGGGGGAGATTTTCTTGGCACTCTTTGGGCTCATTAGTACCAAATGAGCATCGTGTCAACACCACAGCCTACCTTAGTATTGTTGCTGACCATGTCCATCCCTTTATGATCACAGTGTCTCCATCTTCTGATGGCTACTTCCAGCAGGATAACGCACCATGTCTTAAAGCGTGAATCATCTCAGACTGGTTTCATGAACATGGCATCGAGTTCACTGTACTCAAATGGCCTCCACAGTCACCAGAGCTCGATCCAATGGAGCACCTTTGGGATGTGGTGGAACGAGAGATTGGCATTATGGATGTGCAGCCGACAAATCTTCAGCAACTGCGTGATGCTATCATGTCAATATGGAGCAAATTCTCTGAGGAATATTTCCAGCACCTTGTTGAATCTCTGCCACGAAGGATTAAGGAAGTTCTGAAGGCAAAAGGTGGTCCAACCTGGTACTAGTAAGGTGTACCTAACCTAATAAAGTGGCCGGCGAGTGTATATGGTTTGTGTTTGAAAGAAAAAAGGAGGAATAAAAAAAATATATAAGATATAACAACAATAATATTAATGTTAGTTGGTAGAAGAAGATGATTCATAAAGGCAGTAATTTAAAAGGAGATTAAATTGCAAAGAAAAATGCATGAGAGTAAATAAATTAATAAGGAGAAAAAGAAAAGAAGTAGCATTTAAAAATGTCTTCTGTTGAACACAAAGTAAGATATTCTGAAGAAAATTTGGGGAAAAGCAGTTACTGACAGTACCACATAAAATAATATGGAAGTAAATTTTCAAACATTTTTCAAAACATCTTCTTTTGTGATCGACAGAAGACAGAAACTCTAAAAGGTTTAGAACAATACAGGATGAGTAAATGATTAATGAATGTTCATTCTGGATGAACCGTCCCTTTAAGAAGATCATCCTTGACAGTTTGATAGTAACACTAAAATAAAAATAATGTATTTCATTGCTTGACTTTTTTATTTATATTAATACAGAGAATACCAAACAGTGCTTCTTTTAAACTATTCCTTTTTGGAGAAAAATAACAAATAATAATAATAATGATAATAATAATAATAATACCCATGTCCTTTTATGGATTATATTGAAATAAAAATTAGATGGAAAATATGTAAAAGAAATATATTTAGGTGTAAATAGCAGAAAGGGACCGTCCACTCCCCCCGATAAGAATGCTGGAAAAAACTGTCATTAGTATTATTGTAGTTTTAGTTTCCATTGTGGCGGTTCATTCCGCTGTGGCGACCCTGGATTAATAAAGGGATTAAGCCGACTAGAAAATGAATGAAGAATGAATAGTTCCTATTGTGGATGTCAATGGTTCCCGGTATTTTCAGCATATTTTGTTTTGTGTTCAACAGAAGAAAGACGTTCATAAAGGTTTAGAACCACTTGAGTGTGATGAAATGATGAACTTTCATTTTTGGGTGAACTATTAAAGACATAAGCGAGAAAAGGAAGAACTGCTGCCACACAGTGGACTGACATACACATGACACCTCCAATACAGAGTCATGATGAGCAATCACTGATAGTCAGGGGGTTTATTGCTTCTCTAGTAGAGGTTTGATCCAGATTACCCCATCATCACACTTACCTTGAAATTTCTAGCAAATATGAAGAGCTTAGGGCGTCACGGTGGCGCAGTGGGTAGCACAATCACCTCACAACAAGAAGGCCGCTGGTTCAAGCCCCGGCTAGCTTTTGTGTGGAGTTTGCATGTTCTCCCTGTGTTGGCCTGGGTTTCCTCCGGTTTCCCCCAAAGACATGTGGTATAGGTGAACTGGGTAAGCTAAATTGTTTGTAGTGTATGTGTGTGAATGAGTGTGTATGGGTGTTTCCCAGTGATGGAAGGGCATCCGCTGCATAAAACATATGCTGGATAAGTTGGCGGTTCATTCTCCTGTGGCAACCCCAGATTAATAACAGACTAATCTGAAAAGAAAATGAATGAACGAAGAGCTTGACTGATCTTTGATGAAGTTGCACACCACAATTAAGAACCATGAAGAAACATAATTCTGAAGTAAACATCTAATATAACTTCCAGATGACCATTAAAGCCACTGACATACAGAACTTTTGTTGTCCTTGTGAAGTAAATAGATAAATAACACAAATAATAATACGGAGTAATACAGAATTGCTCATGGAGTTGTATGGCAAGCCAAATTAGCTCAAACTGCACTCAACTTTACTCATTATGGCATTTTTACTGGCAAGAATTTAATCAAAGAACTCTCAAATTAAATTTTTACTATTACGAATGCACTAGCAGAGCTCTATAATTAAATTAGAAAGCTCTTTTTGTAATTGTACAATCAAAAGTTGAGTTACACAGCTCTATATTTTAAGGCACAGTATGTCGTTTTTGCCACTAGAGGGTGTGTATTCACAACAAACAAAGGCATAATGCCCCACCCGTTACTGAAGATCTCGATATTTTTCTCATATCATAAATAGGTTTGAGTAAGAAGCAACCTACCACCATTAGAGTCTTTACCTCCTGAAGATAAAGTCAGTGACTAAAACCCAATTTATGCAAGATTTTCATCTCATTATTATTATTTTTATTATTATTATTCATTCATTTTCTTTTTGGCTTAGTCCCTTTATTAATCTGGGGTTGCCACAGCGGAATGAACCGCCGACTTAAGGGTGATTTATGCTTCTGCGTCAAACGCCGGTGTATGCTACGGCGCTGACGCATAGCCCTTCGCCGTGGCTGACGGCGTCGCTGACATGCACCTCTCAAAAAATGTAACTACACGTCGCATCGACGCGTAGCGCAAGCTCTGTGATTGGTCGGCTTGGTTGCGCTGACGAGTCTGGGCGGGACCGAGAGCCGCGTGATTGGTGCGAGCCTGATGGAGCGATTGTTTACAAGTGTGGAGTCCCGTGAAGGAGCTCCGGATGGAAAGTTTTGGTTTGTGTTTACCTCATAGTTAAAGTAGTTGCACATCCGCCGGTTCCTGCCTCAAAATGAGCGAGTTTGAGCCACTTGTACATCCCGGAAGTGTTCAGGAAAAGCAAAAAAGCAGCGAAGAAACTCGACACAGAGGAACATTAACACCTCACTGCCAACTAGTGTTTCGGAAGTGTTAATGCAGACCAACAGAAACAGCGCGCAGAAGTATAAATGCACAGCTACGCGTGTTGCATGTGCCGTGGGTTACGCCGGTCACTTGACGCAGAAGTATAAACCAGGCTTTAGCCAGCATAAGTTTTACACAGTGGATGCCGATAATCTTCATTGTATCTTGTAGTGTGCGCACATTTAAGATTTGTGGAAATAAAATCATCAAAGATTCTCCTCATGTAACGTTAGTCATGTTTTGAATCTGCCATTATGCAGACTCATAGGGGTTTGTAGCTCCGCCCTCTTTTGAAATGAGCACAATCTCATTTAAATTTAAAGCGTCAGTCACCAACACAGCACAATTTGAATCAAAATTTAAAAGGGGCAGTTTCAATACAATATATAGCATTATTTGTGAAGTATTTTAAGCGGAAACACTCTCAGAGACTTGTTTTACATCTTCTAAAAAGGGTTTACTTTAAGCTAATTTGGCTTGCCGTAGAGCCCGGCTGTGTGGCTCGTGATGTCAACTAGCTCACTGATTGGCTGATTTCCACGTCAATCAAACCCTGAAAGTTCAAGTAAAGTAGAGGAGCCGGTTTGGAAGAGGAAGTTGTCGGGTAGTTACCGAAAACACTGGGACGGTGAGCTCAGCTGGATCTCCTCATATCTTCGGTAACACAACTTTTTTTTTTAGTATTACTGTAGTTCATCTGGAGCCGTAATGGAAGGACGACACGACAATTCACCAACGCAAGCTTTCGACAAGGACGTGCTGGAACTGACGGTTGAAGATGTTTATGACATTTCATACGTGATTGGCAGAGATTTGCTAAAAGTAAACACGGGTGGAAACCGGGAGATCTCGGATTTACAGTTCAAGATCGTCCGCGTGCTGGAGATGTTCGAGACCATGGTGAACAAATACAACCTGTCGCTGGAGGAGCTGAGGATGGAGATGGACAACATGAGGACGGAGACGGACAGGGTTGTGGCTGAAGGTTCTAGTGGGAACATTAATGTGAGTGGCTTCAGGTGGAGTTCATGCAGAATTAATCCGGTATTTATTATTACACATGTCTGGGCTTCTTTTGATTCATTAGCTGCTGTTCAGATTAGGATGCTTCTACTTTGAGGTAAAGTTGGTTTTGTATTCAGACAGTCAGACTTTCTCCTTAATAATATAGTTTTAAAACAAAATATTAAATAGGGAAATCATATTATCAGCCAATGACTATCATAGTACAGTCAATTGAATGGTGCTAATGTTGTTTTAAAGCCTTTACTTGAGATGTCAGACTAGATATTCCACGTTAGCGTGGTAACCCTTATAGGGGTTGTGGAACAAGTTGTCACTGAACGAATGTGTGAATATAAAACCAACTTTACCTTAGTTGTTTTTACTATAACAATAGCTATAGATTTTATCCCAAATAAAAACAGAAAAACATGGCTAATAACCATAAATTAACAATAATATCCCCCCTTTGGACGAAAATACTATTGTATAACCAACTTTACCTCAATTGTTTCTACTACAACAATGACTATATGGATTTTATTCCAAATAAAATCAGAAAAACATGGCTATTAACCATATATTAACAATAATATTCCCCCATTGGACAAAAATACTATAATAAATAGCCATGTTTTCTGTTTTTATTTGGGATAAAATCCATAATCATTGCTGTAGTAAAAGCAATTGAGGTAAAGTTGGTTGTACTATAGTATTTTGCCCTGTATGGGGGGAAATTATTAGTAATTTGTGGTTAATAGCTATGTTTTTCTGTTCTTATTTGTTATTCATGGCTATTAACCATAACTTTACAATAATGTTCTCCTATTGGACAAAATTGCTATAGAAATGTTTTTTTTATTGCTTCTACTACGACAATGACTCTGGTTTTTATCAATAATAAAAACAGAAAAACATGGTTATTAACCATAAATTAACAATAATATTCTCCTATATGGGACAAAAATACTATTGTATAACCAATTTTACCTAAATTGCTTCTACTACAACAGTGACTGGATTTTATCACACAGAAAAACATGGCTATTAACCATAAATTAACTGTAATATTCTGCCATATAGGACAAAAATACTGTAGTAAAACCAACTTTACCTCAATTGTTTCTACTACAGCAATGTATCTGGTTTTAATCACAAATAAAAACAGAAAACATGGCTACTAACTATAAATTAACAATAATATTCCCCCATTTGAGACAAAAATACTATAGTAAAACCAAATTTACCTCAATTGCTTCTACTACAACAATGACTGTATGGTTTTTATTAAAAAATAAAAACAGAAAACATGGCTATTAACCATAAATTAACAATAATATCCCCCATAAGGGACAAAAATACCATAGTAAATACTCTAGTGTGTTTGAACCATGCTATAACAAAGCTCTTGAATTGGTATGTTGTTGTAAATCTACTTTGGTAATACGACAAATATAGTAATAACCAATACTTTACTAACTTTTCTACAGATATATCACAATACGCACAATTTACTGTAGTAAAAACTAAAGTATACTACAGTATACAGTTTATCAGTTCACAATAGTTAATACTACAGTGTTCTGTTGCATTCATAAACAAAGTGGTGTAAATACTATAATACATATAGTATAATAGACTTTATTATGGCTCTACATGTGCAAAATAGTAATACACTATTTGAATGAAATTATACACATTTACTATAATAATACCATGGTTATTTTTCATAAATGTTTACTAGTTAATTACAAATAAATCTAAAAAGCCATTGCAGTTAAGTCTTGGTAACCACACCAACTTTAAATGAACCACAAAACTATGGTCTGTTAATCTGCCGATAACAAAATCTATTAAAACCATAGCTAATTTCCATATTTTCCAAAGCACAATTACTGATTCAACATAGATTAGGCTCAGTCAATACTATAAATAGCCTGATGTTACCACAGAACTAATTTGCATTGCTGGTTTTTCACACAGGTCTCTTTTAGGATGATTTGTTTATCGATTGTGCAGACTTAAACACAAACATTTTCATTCTTTCATAGCAGACTGTGGGGCCAAATAAGCTAGTTGTGGATTTAAAAGACCCAAACCGGCCGCGATTCACCATGCAGGAGCTGAAGGAGGTTCTGCAGGAGAGAAACAAACTCAAAGCCCAGCTGTTAGTGGCGCAGGAGGAGCTGCAGCTCTACAAGAGGTGAAGAGCGCACCACACACAGGCTTTCAGAGCTAATGGAAAGACTTTTATTATGGTTTTAACCCCTTTATTTTACCCATATAAGGTAACTAAAAGTTTTGTAATGAACCCCAGTAATACTTTAGGGGTTTTCAAGTTAATTCATGTTTATTTATATAGCTCTTTTACAATGTAGGTTGTGTCAAAGCAGCTTAACATAGAAACTCTGGTTAATTTTGGGTTTTCATAAGTATTTCAATAAGTATTGTATAAAGGATCATTAATAATAGCAAAGGCAATAATGCATTTTAGTCATACTTCACCTTTCTTACATCCAAAGTACTACATCAGATCTATCAGAACCAATGTAATTGGAATATAAGGAAAATAATGTGTTTTTATTACTGAAATGACAGATTATACAGAAAATAAATGTACAGATGCAAACATTTATTAAACTTTTACTAGTGTAAACAAAAAGGTGAAAATTAAACCTTATTATTTCATGCTAATGGAGGCTGGATGTATGATTCTGCAGGAGGAGACAGTCAAAAATAGCTATAGTGCAAGTTAATATTTAATATGGGTTGCCACAGCAGAATGAACCGCCAACTTTTCCAGCAAATGTTTTACACAGCGAATGGCCTTCCAGCCCAACAACCTGTACTAGGAAAACAAACATTATTTTTATAGGTAACTTGATCTAATTAGTTTGTTTCCACCTGGAGAAATTGTGAAGCGCAATTGATGTGATCCAAGACCTGTGAAGAGATGATGCCAACCATAGAGGATGTCTAGAGGTCTCCATAATCCTGGACCAGGCTGTATCCTGAGCAGATGCTGTGGCGGTCATGGAGGAGTGGAGACTGATTCCTGAAAGATCCCAGTGACAGACGAGTCTCTGTATTGATCTCGTGGGTCAGTCCGTACACCCGCTGGTGACCTACTCACACCTGCAGCTTCCCCACGATGGATGTCCAGCGTTCTCCAGCACCGAGACAGCAGCTCTACATAAGGAGTTTGGCCAGAGGAGAAATGGTCGAACCTGGTTTCTCCGTTTTTTCCTTCACTTCCGCCAGTTGGTGAAGTTTGTTCCTCCTCTGTCACCATTGGCTTGCTTGGTTTGGGACTTGTGGAGCTGCACATTGATGGATTTGCACTTAAGTGTTTGGACTCTCAGCAGTGAATATTAAACCACACTGAATTGAACTGAACTGAACTTCAACTCTGAAAAATGGACTGATGTATTGAAGGCCAGCTAGTAAGTGCTGTGCAGGTAAACCTTACTCCTCTGACCTCTAAAGGTGCTCTAGCGACTGACGCTAGTGGCCTTGGTCTTCAGCCTCCTTGTTAGAGCAACCGACTCCCATGCGGAAGGTCGCCAGTTCAATCCCAGCTCGGAGCGACTTGGGTGGTGTAGGACTGGCGGGGTTACACTGACACAGTTTCACAAGATCTTTAACTCTTAGTCTTCAGTTTATCATCCATTCATCTGTGTGTTGATGTTTGTCTGATGTGTTTTCAGTGGAGTCCTGAGTTCACAGCAGAACATGGTGGAGGTAAACCTGGAGACGGTTCCTCAGTCTGAACCCTTACGCTCCAGCATCACAGAGGAGAGCAAAGAGAAGAGCACCATCCAGAAACTGTGAGTGGTTTTCTGGTTATTCAGTGGATTATACATTACATATGTTCATCCAAAAGTAGGAACAATGGGAGATGTTGTACACTAGCTGACAAAAGTCTTGTCGCTTAGCCAAGTTTTAGGAACAGCAAATAATAACTAATGATAGGCAAAGGCCTCTAGATTAAGCTTGTTTTACCCAAATAAAATATGATCATGCCTTGATTATGAATGATTTCATTAGGACAGTAAGGTCTGACTTTGCTTAGACTAAAGTCTGGTCACTGAACAGAAATAATGTCCAGTATAGAATATAAAGTCCTGCTGCAGTGGAGACAGAATGAATATTGTGTCTGACTCCATCATGAGCCTGGAGGACTGCATCCATACATCTCTGCCATGACTCAAATCACTGATTAATAAAGTCATCTAAAATGAAGAAGAAAGTCTTGCAGGACTCCCAAAGTTCTTCATCTTCTTCTGGATTCATCTTCAAAGCCTCCTCCTTCATCTTACCCCACACATGCTCAATAATGTTTATTTATGGTGACTGGGCTGACCAATCCTGGAGCATCTTGACCTTCTTTGCTTTCAGGAGCTTTGATGTGGAGGCTGAAGTATGAGCAGGAGTGCTATCCTGCTGGAGAATTGTCCCTCTCCTGTGGTTTGTAATGTAATGGGCAGCACAGATGTCTTGATACCTCAGGCTGTTGATGTTGATCATCCACTCTGCAGATCTCTCGCACGCCCCCATACTGAATGTATCCCCAAACCATGACTTTTCCTTCACCAAACTTGACTGATATCTGTGAGAATCTTGGCTCCATGCTGGTTCCAGTAGGTCTTCTGCAGTATTGGGGGGGATGATTGGGATGCAGCTCAACAGACGATTCATTGGAGAAATTGACCTTCTGACATATTTTCAAATTAATAACTAGAACACAAGACCCTTACCAGGTAGTGTAGATTGTAATCTTAAAGGGATAGTACACTCAAAAATGAAATGTCATTATTTTTTATTTCTTCTGTTGAACACAAAATAAGACATTTTGAAGAACGTTGGGGAAAAGGTAGCTTTTGACGTCCATAATAGGAACCAAAAACAAATAAATACTGAAGTTAATGGCCGTTTTCTTTGAGCATTCTTGGAAATATTTTTCTTTGTGTTCAACAAAAGAAATAAATTTAGTAAAAGATTGAAAGTTAATAACCGTTTTCATTTTACCTTCAAGTTTTGGTTCAGATTTTAAATAATGACATTATTAAATTATAATTTTCAACATGAGTAAGTTAATTAAAACGCCGGTCGATACACTGTTGGCCAAAAGTTAAGAGTATTTAAATTTAATTAATTAGTTTGTGTCTCTTTTGTTTACAAATGCTGCATTAATAGATACATATACAATTGAGAAATATCATTAGGATTTATTATCAGTTTTTAAAAGTATATTCTTGAGATGTACAGCTGATTTTAAGGCAGCCATTACTACAGTCACCAAGTTCACTCAGTTCTTCATTCTGATCTGCAGATTTTCAATTTGAATAAATAAATACATAACTAGATTAAATTGATATGTGTTTTATTTAATGCATGTATGGCAGTATTGTAAAGCTGGGGTGGATGCCTGTAATCCTGCCATATTCTCATGCAGTTTTCATTTATTGAAGATTCACGTGAGTTGTGGGATGATGAAGCAGGTTTGAACTTTGCTCTTCTATCTCGAGTTGTACATTTGTCTCAGTCACATTCATTTGTATAACGCTTTTATGATTCATATCTTTTCAAGGCAGTTTAACAGAGACATGCTTCACAGGGAAACACACTGCATGAGCATCCAGAGATGACCGTAACAAGGGGATATTATGCACAATAATATTTCACTCATAAAATATAATGTTATGTATTAAAAAGAACCTATTATGCAAAAATCACTTTTATAAGGGGGTTAAACGCAGTTGTGGGGCAACATTACGTGAATATAGTCAGCTTCTAGTGGTAAAAATTGATTTAATTCTATATGTTTATAATCACACTTGATATTAACAGTCTGCAGAAACACTTTGATTGACATTCTCCCTTTTGTACGTGTCGTCAGAGGGGGAAAGCCCCGCCCATTGGTGCCCATCTCTCCCTCATTAGCATAAACAGCCCTGAGTGAGAAGCAGCCGTCCATTAGCCATTAGGTTTTTCATCATCACTTGGAGTATTATGTGATCATTATCATTAAGTGAACAGATTAAAGTGCTCCATATATTTAGTCATTTGATGCATCATGATAACAGGCCTGGGGATGGAAATCAGGGTTTCTACAAGTTTCATCAAGTCCCATTTAATATATTTTAAGGCCCTTTTAAGACCAGTAAGAATGACATTTAGACTTAAGATGTAATTGTTTTTAGTTTTTTTCCCCCTGAATAGGGAAATAATTTGGGGAATTTGCTGTAATGTCGAACAGCTGTGAATTGTATCTCTTTGCAACAAAAAAAAATTTAAATAATGTTATTGCGATTTATTGTTGGTCATTGGATGGATGTTTGCCTGACTGAGTAGCTTTACTTGGACAAAGGGCTGTGAAAAATGATTCAAGTTAACAGTTTAAGGCCTAACATTTTGTTTTTGACATTGAAGACTTTATAAGACCCAGCGGACACCCTGGAAATGTTTTAAATTGTCCATTTGAAATGTTGCTCAACCCCGCTGTTAACATTGTTTACATTCATTTCAGGTTAAAAACAAACAAACAAACAAATTAAAACCCATTTTTAATTTGATTATAATATCCATTGCGGCATCAGTTGTTTTCTTAGTATCTCAAATCAGTTGGTTCAAAGATCTGGCTTCGCTAAGCCCCGCCTTTTTATGTGCCTACTCTTCTCTGATTGGTCAAATATGGACAAACTCAACTCTTTGGCTAATTTAAATTTTAATAATAACAACATCCTTATTATTATTCACAACAATCAAACACAAAAAAAGTCTATTAGTTGACTCTTGGGTTGTTATTATTTTTAATGAAATTTGAATTGTCCCAACTGTCCATATTTGACCCAACGTCGGGTTAATGCAATACGCAGCTTTTTATATAAACCAAGTTTCAGCACTTGTAAACTAAAGCCTGATTTATACTTCTGCGTCAAACACCGGCGTATGCTACGGCGCTGACGCATAGCCCTTCGCCGTGGCCATCGCCGTCACTGACGTGCACCTCTCAAAAAATGTAACTACACGTCGCAACGACGCGTAACGTAAGCTCTGTGATTGGTCGGCTTGGTAGCGCTGACGAGTCTGGGCGGGACCGAGAGGCGCGCGAATGGCGCGACGCCGCGCGAGCGATTGTTTACAAGTGTGGAGTCCCGTGAAGGAGCTCCGGATGGAAAGTTTTGTTTTGTGTTTACCTCATAGTTAAAGTTGTTGCACGTCCGCCGGTTCCTGCCTCAAAATGAGCGAGTTTGAGCCACTTGTACATCCCGGAAGTGTTCAGGAAATGCAAAAAAGTAGCGAAGAAACTCGACACAGAGGAACATTAACACCTCACTGCCAACTAGCGTTTCGGAAGTGTTAATGCAGACCGACAGAGACAGCGCGCAGAAGTATAAATGCACAGCCACGCGCGTTGCCTGCGCCGTGGGTTACGCCGGTCACCTGACGCAGAAGTATAAATCAGGCTTAACTCTCTCTCTCTTTTTCAGGTTCTCGTTTCGACCGAAATGATACGTCTGCAAAAAAAGGATTCAATATAAACCAAACCAATCAGAGGCAAGTGAAGGAACTGAGTGAGGAGAGACGGGAAGATGTCATCTGTTCTTTGTTTTAACAGTACTGACCCATTTCTGACTGGAAATACCCAACTGCTGGATTTAAATGGGTAGATTTTAACCGTGTGGCTGTCTTTACTTTCATCTAGTATTAAGCCTTATATAAATGACCATCTTAGAGGCTTTTAGAGCCTTACTATGCTTTTGTATTATCATCACAACACTTTAAATATTCTAATACAGTATTTATTTACCGTGCTAATATTGTATGACAATACTAGAATCAGTTTTAACTCAATCATGTTATATGAAAACACATATTTTGGGACTAATTGAGACAGTACTAAACTAAGTGAACTGGATTTCATGCATCGAGTCTCTGTGCACCACATGACTTTTGGGATCTTTCCATCTTTATTATGCAACTGTTGACAAGCTTTTGCTTTCAATCTCTAGTCCCAGTTATAATAAACATGGGATCATTAGGGAAGCACCAACCTGATTCCACCAAGCAGGACATGTTCTTGGATTAACATGTATAATGATTCTGGAGCAACACTTCTATCAGCCAATCGGAATTAAGATATACATTTACTGTTTATGGTTCGGTTTATGCACTTCACCATGGTTGTTATCCATTATTCTCCTCTGATTCTGATAATTTGCCATTATGGTTGGGGTTTAGGGGTAGGGAACAGGTATGGATTACATTTTCCAACAAAAATTATGTAGACCATATATGTTGATCCAGAATCGCATCACATTTGGCAAAATCATGCTGAGTATTAGGGATGCTAGAGTGAAAATAAAGAGGTATTTCTACTAAAATCCAATGCTGTAGGCAGCAATGTGTAGCACACTAAATCTATTATATGACATGTGGTGTTTTGTAAATCATATGAATGTAAAAATTCAGATTTTCCTGCTGTCGATTGATTACCACTGGCTGAATGTATGACAACTTGTCCACGTTTCTGCAATGCAGGACATTTAGAAAGTGATTTACGTGGGTTGACTAAAGTTGACCACATTTGTTAAATATATTTAAATGACTAAATCAAAAGTATATCTGGCACAGTCTTTCATTTCCTAAATGGTAGTTAAAAATGGAATTCAATAATCTCCAAATTTCAACATGCTTTTCTCAATTTTGCCATTTTTATACACACAAATGTTTTTAATATGCTTTTATTTTTTTCTTCTTGGATCAAACTGGTTTGATTGTTCTTTGTCAGATGTATTACATTTAACCGAATGCAATAAAAATCCAGTATAGTCCACTAATATTCATTTTCCTTCAGCTTAGTCCTTTTATTTATCAGGGGTCGCCGCAGCAGAATGAACCACCAACTATTCCAGCATATGTTTTACACAGTGGTTTCCCGTCTAGCCGCAACCCGGAGGAAACCCACGCTAACACCTGTGTGCAAACTCCACACAGCTATGCCAACTCGCCCAGCTGGGACTCGAACCAGTGACCTTGCTGTGAGGCAACAGTGCTAACCAAGAGCCACAGCACAAATATTCAGCATATATTATATTTCCTATAAACATCTATACATCACATATATTAATTTCTTAGTTGATTTCTTAGTTAATTTCTTAATTGTTTTATCACAATATAGTAATGCCTGACAACCTGAATATGTTCCTAATTTATCCCTTTTTTGCTAGTCTATATTAACATTGATTTTTAACTGGTGTTTCAGATGGGCTGCACAAAAGCATGGGGGAAACCCTGACACTGCAATATTTAGTTTTTCTGAAAATAATCTTGCGATTATGAATTTAATTTCACAAAATGATCCTATTGGAAAACAATTCCTAATTTAATATTGATTAAAATGATTTGCACAAAAGTTCATCTGCATAAAACGCAAAAAAAAAAAAGGAAGTTAATTATGCAAAATAAAACAAATAAAAAGACAGAACACAGATAAAAGTGAAAGAAACAACACCTCATGGGTTTTGTTGGAGTCGAACTGTATTGAACTAGTAGAAATTCAATAATCGAATGTAAAATAACGCTGCAAAGTCTTAATTGTATTAACAAACACAATCTTTCCTTAAAGTGATCAATTTAATAAATTTCTCATCCCCAAGTAGTTTAGATCTCAGTCTTAAGCTGCAGGCATAGTATACTTCTCTCCCCATAGACTTCCATTAATATGCATTGCGAATGCAGTAGACTGGAAACGCATGCTCGTGCGACAAGTTTCGCAGTTTGCCGCATTGCAAAGTGCAAGCTTGGTGAATTCTGACCTGAATCACGTGGTTGCATGACCAATCAAAGATCAAAACATGACCTTTCTGTACAGAAATGTCAAATATGCACCAATCGCTTGCTTTTTAAAAAGATAACATCCAATCAATTTGTTTAATCCCGCCCCTTTTCGCAGCACCATACAACAGATTTTCACATTTAACTCTAGTGTGACCGTGGCACGACACTTCTAAATAAAAATCTTTCATATTTTTGAATGAATCATATCATTGAATATTTTAATTATCGAATTTAATTTTGCAACAGCTCCACGAATAATGGTTTAATGGTACTTGGTTAAGCATAATCCCAACTTGAAATTGAGCCGATGTGACTTTATGCATATTACGAGATCAATGCCAAAACGATATTTTGTGCAGCTCAACGCTGCCATTATCTTTGTTTTATATTGCGGAATCAGGGTTTCGTCAGAATAAGTGTCTTTATTTCATAAGAGGGCCGGATGCTTTATTAAAATAAACCCCCTAAAATGACACCAATATACAAACTGTATTTACAGCTGAACACTTCTGCACACCATGAACTAAAAGCAAATATACTGCTCATCTAGTGCTTTAATGATCCTCAAGTTTAGAAATAAAAGACAAATAAAATAATTGAAATCATTTGGTTTAAAAAACTCTGCTATAATTGTGTTCATTTTGCATATACAAATGTACAGTAACAGCACCCACCTGAAAATTCACATCCCATAGGGTTACACAGCATTCTACTCTGAATAAGCTCTCATTAAAATGAATTGCTGAATGAATACTCAATATCTGCTCACCGAATATCATTCTAAATGTACACCTTTAAGTTTAAAATGAAAGGTTTGCAACAACATCAGCACACGTAAACAGATCCCAATAATCGACTAGTTCTCAGATTCTCACATCTCTGACTCTTATGTTGTGGTAGCATTGGTCTGAGCAGACTTACAGCAGGTCAGCGCACAGTGTGTGTGAGACAGTGAATCAGTGTTTGAGCCATGGATGAGCGGCGATGGCTTCTTTACTGCGGTCTCCATAGTCGTACAGCAGCTCCTCGTCAGCTCGGATGTCTCTGGACGCCAGGAAGATCAGGTGAGGTGTGCCGTCGATCTCATGCAGTTTGGTCTGAAGGTTACCGTTCTTGCTGTGGTTGATCAGTCGGCCCAGTCGCTCCGTTTCCTTGGTAGCGTCCACACTAGAAAGTATGCAGAAAAACTCAGAGTTCTTTCTTACATCTTTTCCAAAGTTGACCCTTTCCAGATTCATTTTCAAAGTGGTCACTTTACAAGTGTGTCAACTTATATAAATATGCATGCACCATAATATTTTATCAGAGGGTATTAGTTGTAATATTCAATAGTATAATTTTCCAAGAGAAATATAGCCGCATTTCCACTATTGGGCCAGTGTGAGCCAGGGCTTTTATCGGGCCAGGCCAGGCCAATCGCCCGGGAGGTTGAGCAGTGAGGCCAAAGTCATGTGGCGTTTCCACAGTCGGGCTAGTAGCTCTCAGCGCGTCACGCAAACCCCGCCCCCAGAACATCCCCCGAATCGAACGTCACTCAATCCGCCCACTTCAGCGGGAATCAGGCAGATAAAGCACACCACATCATCACTATTAGGACAACCAAAACAAACAAATGACACGTCACTGTACAGCAGTACAATGTATGTCTATACGCACATGCCTGTGTGTTCTCATTCATCATATTCTGAATAATTCATTTACTCGCCGACCGACCGTTGGCATCGAAATCCAGTGGTCTTGCCACTAACGGAGGGACCCAGCGCAGCGAGCGCACACATCCATAATATAACACCACATATATAAAATTCTCAGTTAATAACTCCATATAAAATGTATTTTATAACATCCACAGTTAGACAGACGCTGTCCAACATTCAGCCCAAATGCTCCGGAGAGAACTGAAACATGAATTTTTTTCCTGTAGGCTTTATGACACTTAATAGGTGATTCCCTTTATTTAAAGATGTTGCTTATTATAAAAGGAAAGTGTTAAATGTTTCAGCAGGCTTTTGAATAATGAAAGATATATGGCTTTAAAACGGTTTGATTTAGTATCTAATTGCTATAGCTAGCTTTTGTTAGTTTTATATTGGTTTTATTTATTTAATGTGATTTTATTATATCCGATATTTGTAATTCTTGAAATTATTTCAATATAGGGCTATTTTATCTAGATATGACACTATTGTTTTGAGCCTACAAAAGTGGACACGAAATTTGTAAAGTTTAATGTCTTTCTGTTGTATTCATATGGTGTATTATCACCGAAATAAATAAAAACAATAAAAATTTGAAAAAAGCCACTCGCGGCATCAACAGAGCTTTGAAGGGAGTGCTCTTTCCTTCGGTCTCACACACACATACAGGCATCTAAAACGCGCACAAACACACCTTTTAAACTTGACAAAAACTCTCGAAAACTATTACCGTCTGCTGCGTCTTTAATATGATGTAAAGATTATTCTGCGTTATTGAAACATCAAGGAGGACGCAGCAAAGTCACTTATAAATTAAAACTACTTTATTTTATACAACAACATTTAAAAGGGAAACATAAGGGCGATCATACGCAAAAAGACCCCATAAGGCTAGATGTTTTCTTTCCCTTATTTATTTGTTTATGTGTTTGGCGCATGTACTCGTGTGCGATCGGAAAACTGTGCCTGTCTCTCCTTGCACTCCACCCCAGCTGGCCCTCTTTGGCCCAAGGTATTCAGCAGCCCGAAAAAGGGCAGCCGCTGGCCCCAAGAAAGCCCCGATTTGGCCTGATTAGTCCCTGAAAGTGACAGTAGAAACGCGACTGGCCTTTGCTCACTCGCTTTAGGCGCGATTGTGGAAACGTGGCTAATGTAAGGCATGTTTGCCTAAAGCTCAAAGTTGAGTTGGTCATTTATGGATGTTTCGTTTAAGTCGTTTATGCAAAAGCAAACAAAAAAACAAAAACTAATACATAATATATTTTATTAGTATAATTTTATACTATATTAATATATATTATATTAATATAATTATAATTATAATTATAATATAATTAATATAATATAATTATAATAATTATAATTAATTAATATAATTAATATAATTATAATTAATATAATATAATTATATTTATATTAATATATATTTATTAGTAAGATAAATGATAGCAAAACACTTTAAAATGTAAGCATTTCAAAGCACTTTTTATACCAAATCAGACTAAAATTCAAGCATTTTCATGGATTTTCCAGCACCCTTAGTAACCTTGAAAATTGGTAAGCCTAGTCACCTTTTATTTTAAAGTACAATTCTCAACTATTAAAAGTTAGCAGTTGGGTTTTGGATTATAGAATGTGCTGTATACACTCACCGGCCACTTTATTAGGTACACCGGTCAACAAATTTCTTATCAGCCAATCACATGGCAGCAACTTAATGCATTTAGGCATGTAGACATGGTCAAGGTGACCTGCTGCAGTTCATACTGAGCATCAGAACGGGGAAGAAAAGGGATTTAAGGGACTCTGTACGTGGCATGGTTGTTGGTGTCTGATCTGAGTATTTCAGAAACTGCTGATCTACTGGGATTTTCATGCACAACCATCTCTAGGGTTTACAGAGAATGGTCCGACAAAGAAAATATCCAGTGAGCAGCAGTTCTGTTGCCACAAATGCCTTGTTGATGCCAGAGGAGAACGGCCAGACTGATTAAAAACTGAAGTTAAGCTCTACTCTTAACGCTGCAATGTAAAATCTTGCATTCAAGCATAATGAAAATGATGAACCCAGAAGCAGACACTGGAATCAACTCACCAGTAGGTTCTGTCGTGGTAGCGGAAGTAGTACATATAGCAGCCTGTCGAGGGGTCTTGAGCGTACTCCGATTCTCTGGCTTTAGCGTCAGCAATCTCGATCAGATCCCCATGATACTCCACCACAAACTGATCCTTCTGAAACAATCGATCCGCAAAAACCCCTCTTCCTTTACCATC